AGTGGGGATCTCGTGTTTAGGGGAGGCGGATTGGGTGCGGGGGGCGAAGCGGGTGGTGATGGGGCGGAGGTTGGTGGAGGGGTGCTCGGCCATGCTGAAGCGGTCGGCGGTGCTGGATCGGGAGCGGGGTCCGTGGCGGCTATGGTGGGAGTCATGTCGTTGGCTAACATGTCGTCAGTAAGGTTCGAACTTCGACTGCATCACTCTCCGGGTACGTACGAGGTCGGCCACTCCCGCTTCACCTGCAACAGCACCTCCCGGCAATTATCGTAGTACGCCAGCTGTGCGTCCAACATCCCCGTCAGGTCCGCCGCGCTCTCCACCTCTGACTCCTGAATCTCCTGCATCCGCCGCAGCACATCGTCGCTCGACTCCTCGTACTTCGCCTTCTGCGACCGCAACTCCTCTTCCACGCGAAAGTCCTCGCGCTTGGCTTTCTGCACCTTAGCGAGGGACGCGTCGTACGCGAGTCGGCGCTGTTCGAGCTTCTTTCGGGCGGCCTGGGAGTGTCAGCGTTGGTCCTTCATGCTCCGTGGATGGATGCGTACCTGATATTCTTTCATCTGTGCGAGCGAGCGTTCAAGCGACTCAAGCCAGCTTGATGTCGCCGCAGTGACGTACCCCTCCTGCTTCCGCGCGATGATCTCGTTCGCTCGACCGAGAGCTATATCCCTCATTAGCCTTCGTTTGTATCCCAGGACATCGATGATCATACTTATGAGGCAGTTCCCAAACTCCGAATCGGTCTGGAAGTCCTGTCCATGATTGACCATGGTACTCCCAAGATTGCCGACCGACAATGCCTTCTCCCGGTCGTCCCCTTCCTGTCGCTTCGACAACGACTTCATGTATGTGGTCATCGACTTGTGGAGACTTTCCATGCCTATGTGATCCCATCAAGTCAGCTTCCATGTCCACGATTCCACCAGCTCGTAGGACGGGCGTACCATCATGTCTCATCGTCATCTCCACCTCCAACGCCTTGAAATCTTCCGTCGTGTTAGTTTTCGCCTCCCCGCCCATGCGCTCGCCCGCCCACTGCTTCAATCGATCGAGCTTTTTCATGTTCATCATCGTGTGTATGGCGTCCGAGTATATTCGCAGGTCTCAGCGATGGAAATGATGGAAGGTAGAAGAGGAGAGGGGAGAAGATCGGCCGGAATTAAAATAAGGGGGAGAAAGGACCTTTCAAGGATATTGATTATTGATTGTTGCCTTTCTCCCAAGACCTCCAACGTCCAAACAAAGGCTTCCTCAGGGATGTTGATCAGATTGATGGCGATGGGTGGGGTGTGCGTCAACAAGGGGGCCAGGTCTGGACTCTGGGCTCTCTGGTGCCGGCCGTGGTGTTGTGCAATAAATGTAGGAAATAAGTTTTATCGATAACGGACGGGTTCGCCGCCGGTCACAAAGCGATGGTTGGGTTTAATATAAGCGAATGAAAAGAATATGAGAACGCATACGGGATGGATGCGAGACGATTGATGTATTCAGTCGGATGGGAACGATTAATCTGTTGGAAACGAGAATCGAGGGAGACGACAAGCCCTAGATATTGCAATGAGGAAATCAATGGGGAAGGGCGCATGAAACACACGGTTTGGGCAGGTTAGAGACCGCTGGTCGGCGGTTCACCAGGGGAAGAGCGTTGTCGATCGTCATGTTCCACATGCAGCGGCAAATACCTGTCGGGAGACTAAAATGCCATCTCCACTGCGCAGATTTGCGACGCTTAGCGCCGGACAACGATGATCGGGCCTCGAATAACGATGCAGGTCGATGGCCTGGATGTTACACGCTGAAGTGGAGGGGGCGCTTTTTGTGAGGCCTTTTAACCAACGTTGTTTCGTGCTGCGGTGCTCCACTGCTGGGGATTGGTCGGGCGGAGAAGTTTCATAGACGTAGCCCCGCGCCCCTTCAGGTTGGTATCAAAAGTATGGGCTATCGATGGATAAATTTAGTCGTTGGATGGGAACTCGTCGCTTGCTGGTGTGGAGTATCACCAGACTGTGGCCATATCCCAACGTGACTGAGACTTCGATCTCCAGTATATTTGAATCAGAAAAACTGGAGCACAATCCCAACCGAAGCATACTGTAGAATACACGCGGTCCGCTCCACAACACCCGACGAATCACAGTCACTCAGAAGCAGCAGTCCAGAGATCAAATCGCTAATGTCCCTTGATTTTTGTGATAGCCAGAGACCAACACCCAGGCCGCAATGACATCCAGCCATGAATGATATGCATAAACTCCGATTGCCGTGCCGACCGCCGCAGTGTTCATCCCCTCTAATCCTTCGTCTTCTGGGTTCCCCGCAGCAGACCCGTTCTCCGCGCGGCGATGAGACCGGCCTTTTGACCTTGTGTGGCGTACCGGGAGATGGTCGAGGCCTTACCGATATGTTGATGGTTACCACCACCGTGAGGCTGTGGACGCGGGTTAGTGGGATTCCCGAGGGATGATGCGAGATACGTACATGGTCGACGGGGTTCATTGCCACACCACGAGTCTTGGGCCATGAGTTGCGCTTGACGGCAAACTTATGCTTCGCGCGAGACGCCTCTGTATCGCTGTCAGTCATGCTCTTCGATCCCGAAATTTCATGTCGTACTCAGCAGCGGCTTGTCCGTTCGTCCACCACCAGCGACGATGCCCACCATGCCACGAACGCTGCTCTTGACAACCTTCTTCGCTCCGGACGGGAGCTTGACACGGGTGATGCCCTCATCGGGGTTATGGCCGATGACAGTGACGTAGTTGCCGGAGGTCCTCCCCAGCGCGCCACGGTCACCCGGCTGCTCCTCGACGTTCGTCACCACGGTTCCCTCAGGGACGGAGCCGAGCGGCAGCACGTTGCCGACCGTCAGGCTGGCGTACTTCCCGGCGTAGACGAACTGCCCGGTGTACATGCCCTCGTTGGCGATGAAGGTCTCCGTGATGAGCCGGTATTTGTACGGGTCGCGGAAGGTGACCTTGGCGAGCGGGGCGCCGCGGCCGGCATCGTGGATGATGTCCTTGACGATGCCGCGAACGTAGCCATGTCGCTCGGAGTAGTCGAGGGATCGGAACTTGGCCGGGGCCTTGTTCAAGCGGGTGTTGGCCTTGAAGATCGAGCCGCGGCTAGGATGGTGATGAGCTGGTGATTCGATCAATGGGATGTGTCTTCTCTTACCCCTTCCTCTGATTTCGAATAACGCGACCCTAGAAAACTCCGTCAGCAATTGTTGCGATTTCGCGAACATCTCGAATCGACGCCGGCTCCTCGACAACCATCCGGGACCATCTCCATCTCACATATCCAGGTAGAGATGTCCTCGATGTAGGAAACGCCAAAGAATATGGATCGACTCACCATCTTTGCTCCTTCTGAAACTGCAAAGGGGTCTTGTTGTGTGATTGACGAAATGTATGGGCGGAGTGGTGGTAGAATTTGGTGAAGTTTGAGTTGTGCGGTGCCAAGGCGAAGTCGATTAGATAAGCGGAGCGGATGCGCTAGTCCACATCAGGCGAGCCTTCACGCAACGTCCGTCCAGCACCAGAATCACTCCATCGCTCTTCATCGTGTCCATGCAGCTTGAATCTGACCAGAAAATGCGAATGATGGTGTTTCGGCGCGATATATACGAATTAGGATCCCTATTTCTGGACTAGAAATGATGTGGGTGTCTGTTGACCGGTTCCTTTGATATCTTTGCTGCTCCACTGGCGGCTACATTATTTGCCTTCTGAGTCAATTTTTCCTATTTGATCTTACTTCTTCTCATTATCTTTATTCAGTTGTGGAATCGTCTTGGATGGCGAAGGCGGATGTTGCGTTGAGAAGGGCTGTTCGCACGCCGTCTTTGGCGAGTCGTCCCCTCTAGCACCCTGGGACTTGCGTCTCATCTTTCGCATCATGCTCGCATCATGCTCGCATTCCAGCTCTCAATCAAATCCGACTGCCTCGAATTCATCACGGAAAATGTTCTACGGACTCCTGGGTTCCTTCTCGGGTCAAAAGTCTCTCGATAGTTATCCTGAAAGTCTCAATTTCCATCACATATATTGATATTTTCTACATGGCATGTTCGTCGATAATGGCTGAAACCGGCTTGGGAATGCCATCATTCGGCGTAGGAAAGCAATATACGCTGTGTGGTACGGTGGGAGCCCGTTGGGGTGTCGGTATCGTTGCGACCGGTCGACGCTGGCAACTGGGGGGACCACGACCAGCCCCCCAATTTCATCTACCACGAACGCCAAATGCGTCGGGCACTTCATATACTGCATCTCGAAGCAACATAGGCGCCCTCCTCCGAGCTGCAAATGGTGCATCTTGATGGGGGTTGCTGTACAGGTGCTCCGAGACCACTGGTAATGACCATTGGTAATGTCACACGAAGAATGCATCACGGATCTGCTTTAGCTGGATTCGTCAATAGGATGCATCACTAGAAGAGCAATGGACCACTAGGCGTGAGCACCAGCATCGCTTTCATGGTATTTCCAGTGAGTTGCCGTGCAGCGCCCATATGCTAGGAATGATGGTTTGGCGTGGATGGGACATCATTCAAAGGAACCTTGCTTCCCTTGATATACCAGAGACGATATATCCTCCTGGAGCTGTTTATTCTGCAGTCCTGTCCCTCGTCCTTCGAAATCACTCGGGAGGCTCCCGGAATGGCTGGAAACTCAATAGACGGCTCCTCCGGACGCCTAAGCAACCTCACTGAAGATAGTTATCGGAATCAAAGTCTATTCTTTCCAAAACGTGATCTCAACACAACATTAATTGCGAGTGCTGTCATCCCTGCCCAATCAGCGTTGCTGTCGTGGCTGGCTCAAGTCGCTAGCTCCGTGCACCTGAACATCACCACCTTGAATTCCCACATCCACCTTCCTCCCAAGTCACAATAGAACCACGCTGTCACCTCCACATGCAAATTTCACCATGGACGACTCTTCTTCACTTTCCTCCTTGTCCTCAGCACCGCCGACAGATGATGAGCGGATGGAGTTGGAGAAAATCGGCGCCAACATGTCTTCCGGTCGTCCTAAGCCCGGTTCCATCATGAAAGAGCCGTCTTCGAGTCCTCCTCCGAAGAGGAAGAGACCTGCCTCTCCTCCTCATGAAGAGGTCCTTGCTGATAATCCAGACATTGCAGTAAGTCCCTCAACGCGTTCATGACGCGTCTCCAGTTATGCCTCGATGTCAATCGCGCGAATGGGATCCCGTAGCTAACCTATGGATCTATATAGTTCCTCGTGATGTTCAGAAACCGCTTCTCGGAAGCTTTCCCTGCGAAGACAGCCCATCTGGGACCTCAAGATATCGAGCGTGGAGTTGTCGATTCGTACCCGTCCCCACAGGTCGAGAATCTCCTTTGCGCCCTGCTCGGTCTCGTCTTGAACCGGAAGAAGCTGATAGAGTAAGAATCGCCCGAAGACGCGACATCGACGCGTGATACACGAAATATATGATGGAAATGGTTCATATGCTAAGAATTTCACCGATAGACGCGCTCATTATGGCCGAGCTCTCGAAGACGCGATCTCCTTCCACAAGAATGAATGGCCTCGAGCCTGGGGCGGCGTCAACCCGCTCTCGGGCGGGAAGTCATTCAATTCCATGGCTCCAGCGGAACGGGTTCGTCCTCTCCACGCGTATTTGTCCATCATGCTGATTTATATTCCCAGCTCACCCTCCTCCGAACCCTCGTGCTCTGGGCCCTCCACAGCTCCGAAGTCGTGTCGAAGACGGTCAAGGACTCCTACAAGCAGAATCGGCACGAAGACGACCTCAACCAACCGCTGTCGGTGCAGCCATGGGGCCGTGATGGGGACAAGAGGCAGTACTGGCTGGTCGAAGGCCAAGACGACACCCCGTTCCGACTATATCGCGAAGGCAATCGGAACCTGAAGAATATTACGTGGTGGAACGTCGCAGGAACAATCGATGAACTGCGAGAAGTGAGCGCCAGGCTACAGCAGGATGGCGCACAAGCCAGTCGACGGCTTGCGGACAAGATCCTGGCCGCCATCCCCAGATTCGAGGCAACAGAAGAGGTAATTGTCCTATCAGCTTGCAACAGGCCTCACTAACCGAATAAAACCAGAAACGCAAACGTCGTGAATACCGATTGTCGCGCAAGGCGCAGTTCTCCCGTCCAGAGCCTGGCTTCTCCCTATATGAAGGTCGGACACGCGGCAAGCGCATGAAGTACACCTTCTCCGACGACGAGGACGACACATCCGACGCATTGTCGGTTCGTCGATCGACTCGCACTTCCGGCGTTGCCATGCCCGCCGAGTCCAGCAGGCCGACGGTGACCGCCAGTGGACGTCAAGTCCGGTCACGCCTTGGTGGGCTCTACGGCGAGACATTGCTTACTGGGCAAGCCGCAGCGGCTGACTCCCCAATGAATGGGTCCTACGATCAGTCCGAAGCGTCCGAAACTGCTCCGCCGACACGTTCAGGTGCTCGCCCTACGCGGTCTGGAGGACGCACGGCGAACGGGTGGGCAAAAGGCGATGCTCACATCGAGGATTACAATTCTGATGAGATGGACGATGAAGACGACGATGTATCCTCTGGGAACGAGTGGGATGGCGACGATGACGCAGACGACCAGATGGACGACGGTGACGCGACTGATGGCTCGATGTCGGATGGCGATCTGGAGTCCGATCCGGAGCGTGAAGGGCCGAGGAGCTTGATTGTCAAACTTCCGTACAAGAAAGCGACACCCACCGCAGATGCGGATGGCACAGTGTCTGACATGAAGGCCGAGAAACCACGGGACTCCCTCCCTCCTGCTATCCCGCAGCAGCGCTCTCCTGTGAAGGTCGAAGCAGTTAATGGCAACGGCGTTACCCCCGTCACGAATGGGCTCTCAGCCAGCCAAGCTGTACAGCCGCAGCATCAAGTCTCCGATATACCGTCCAAACCGTCGATGGAACCGCAAGCAAGCCCTGCACCGACGCCATCGGGTATCAGTGACCATCCGAAGCTGTCCGCTCTCAGTCCCCCCGATCACAACTACACTCTCCCAACCCGATCACCCGAACGACCTCAATCTGCTTCGATCTATAAATCAAGACCAGCGGGAGGAATTCCCGTCCCCAATCTTACCTCTTCTTAAGTTCGATAAAAGGCGGCACGGCTCGGTCGTCGAAAAGTTCTATCTTAAGAGGACCAACAAACGTCGAGGAAGGTACGCCCAGATGCGATAGCCTTCATGGGTTCATTCCACTCAGTTTCTACAAGGTCTGCTTAATGGGATATCATGATGGCAAATGGACAGTGTTTGGTTCATTCAATTGCCTTGGGTGGGGGGATGATGAAGACGTGAATATGATCATGGGATAACAAACTGTAGAGTAGGCGATAGTGCAGCAGTTCAATCCACCAAAATATGGTGACCCGTATTGCAGTGAATAGTGCAGTAGATAGTGTGCCGTGCCGTTGTGACTTCTCCTCATTGATCGACCCGACACTCGGCAATGTCACCCAGCATTGCCACCCGGCGAACATTGATGATACATTAGGTTGGTACATTAGGTTCAATGGTACATTACTATGGTAGGTTCAATGGTACATTAAGGTGGGTTGGTATTATGCCAAAGCTGTGAGCGACCCCAGCCAACCGTGCATCCTCACCTCACCCAGTTTTGTTCCACCAGCACAATGGCCGACCTTCTCACCTCACTTGAACATGATGGATTCGTCCTCATCCCCTCTGTTCTCTCCAAACATGAACTCCAAACCCTTCGCACCGCCTGCTCTGAAGCCGTGACCCTCGCGCGGGCGGGGAAATGGTCGCACATTCGCACGCTCCCCAAGCAATTCCCCCCATGGCCGTCCGATCCGTCCCACGGCATCTGGGGCGTCCAGCACCTCCTCCATCCCGCACTCCCGAACTCCAAAGCCCTCACCGCATCGTACTTTAGCGACGCGATCGTGTCGCCAGTGAAGGAGCTGCTGAGTGCGACGGATGACGAGCTGGTGATGGAGCTGTACAACCTACTCGTCCGGCCGGATCAGGACTTCGCGCTTCGATGGCATAGAGATGATATCCCGCCAACCGCTACTGTGGAAGAGGAGCTCAAGAGATTGAACGAGCCAGCGTGGCATGCGCAGTGGAACCTGGCGCTCTACGACGATCGATCGCTGGTCGTGGTGCCAGAGTCGCATCGACGGGCGCGGACGGAGGCAGAGCGCAACGCTGACCCATATGAGTCCAATATGCTGGGGCAGAAAATTGTCGAGATCAAGGCGGGGGACGTGATGTTCTACGACAACAATATCCTTCATCGAGGGGTCTACGATGCGACGGTGGAACGGATGACCCTCCATGGTAGTATCGGGCACGTCAAGGGAAGTAGTGCCAGAGCACAGAATGTCCTTCAGCATGGGGTGGGCGCGTGGGTAGACGAATGTAGGTTTGATGACTTGCCGGAGGGATTGAAGAACAGAGCGAATGGTATGCGGGCGAGACTTCATCAGATGGGGAGCGACAATCCGAACGTTGGGTACTCTCAGGACGATTGATCACCTGGGAAACCTTTCTTATCTAACTGCGAGACTCATTAAGTCAAGTTTCATAAACCAGACCGTATCTGAGTTGCCGTCCTTTCTTTCGTGAGCTATGTCTTTTATGTCTCGAGTTATGAGCCTTTATTCCCTTTCCCCGCCGGCCAAGGTCTCAAGTCGAATAAAAAATATATTCGATTCGGTTTATACTCCACGACGAACACCGCAACCAGTTTCATATGTCCCCTGTTTCTGTCCCAACTAGCCTGATCTCTCTTGGTGAACGTTATTGCATATATTAGGCAAAGAATTGTTGAGTTCGAGAAGCCATCATGCTACCATCATCACTCGCCTTTCAATCTTGTCAACAATACCTATACAGTGGCTCTAAACGCGGTTTCGAATAGTCCAGCTCGCAATCGCATCCCTTGAACTCTAGAGTTGCCGAAGGGTGGTGTATGCCCTAAGGTCGATGAACTATCTGCATCCGACTCGGAGTGGATGAGGTCTCTGCTCAGCGAACTACGGGACGGTGTGAGATGTAAAGCAGTGAAGGAGCACCTACGACCCGAATCCGACGAGTTTGTCCGGCTGGAACTGAATCGAGGAATCTGCGGCCTTCCGAGCATTTTCTATGCTGTTCAGCATGGCGATATCCGCATCTTGCAAGAGTGGGTAGGATACGGAGTCTCTGTAAACACTGTGTCTCCTGACTCGAATATGCCGCTTCTCGGATTCTCCATCATTCGATCTACAGACAAGGAACACGATAAAACCGAGATGGTCACAACTCTTCTTCGTCTCGGGGCTTCTCCAAGTTTCGTCCCAAAGGCCCTCATCTTCCCCTTACACGCTAAGTTGAACATATCCGACTCCCTGAAAAAAGCTAGTCACAAATGCGGCGACGACGATGACAAATGGTGGGAAGGAAATATGGGAAAGCAATTTCTATCCGGTCTGAATCTTACTCCAAGATACCTCCTTGCCAAAGCCAAAGGAATTCCAGAGCTTCCTCCAAGATTTTGGCAAGTAGCGAAACGACATGAATCGGAGGCTATCTTCGGCATCCACTATCTCGTTGCGCAAGAGTATGCAGTGTCCGAATTAATCAGACACTTACTTGGCTATTTTCTCCTCCAATCCGAACGACCTCTGGTCCTCGTATTTGGCAGACCGAGTGGACACGGGAAGACTGAAATAGCAAAATGACTGGGCAAGCTACTGTCCCCGGATTCCGAGGTTGTATATTGCACGACAGTAAAGGATGCTCGCGACATGTTTGGTCAAAGAGCTCACGTTATGGGATCCGTGGACCGGTCGGCTCTCAACAGCTTTCTTGCAAATCATAATAGCCAAAGATCCATTGTATTCCTAGATAAATTCGAGAAATTCGGTTCTAGCGTTCATCAGGCGCTGCTTATCCCATTTGACGAAAGTATGCTTCCCCCTTTTATACGGGGTCAAACATGAGTAACACAATCTAGGCAAATATGAGGATCGATGCAACAGGAAGTTTATCGACTGTTCCAAGACAATATACATCCTTGCGACCAATTCTTGTGTTCGAAAATCCAGTCGTTCTGGAAAACGAACGGCGCCAGACTGAGCTGCAACTCCTGCAACGAAAAAGGAAAGGAAAATTTGGTAGGTGAATTACAGAACGAGATGAAGGACGTTTTCAAAGCCTAATTTGTTCGTCTTTAATTCCTCCTTTGGTTGAACTATGAGTGCTAAAACAGATCGTAGACACCACTGACAGGTCGCATTTCGGCATTCTTACCATTCCTACCATTTTCACGAACACTGAGCAGACTCTGGTAGCACACAAGTTTCTTCTTGAATTAGAGAAAGGAATTTCACGTCCGGTGAATCTGTCTAAAGGCAAAGGAGAGAATCTACTCGGCAATCTTCAACTCCAGATAGAAGACGACGTTGCGGTTTGTCAAGCTATCGTCGAGCATGGCTACGACCCCGACCTTGGAGTCCGGAGCCTCATCACCAAGGTAAGGAGTAAGGCCAAGATGGAGATTGTGCAGCGATATTTAGACGTGGAAGCGGAGACCAAGGAGGGGGTGCCATGGACTCCTTGCGTGTTGTCGGTCCGGAAGGGGACATAAATGTTCCCTTGTGACCTCTCCCCAAACCTGCTACCGTCCACTCAGAACAAGATTTGAAAGATCCTCAACCATCTCCAAGGAAACCTGTATTTATTCCAAACGGGTCTGGATTGGGGGCATCCAAATGGGCGTCATAGGGGAATGGAACTCGACCTAGTCCTCTTGACATCAGAAGAATCCCTTGATAATCCCGTGCGAGACAGCACGTTTGCAACTTACCACGCAATAAATACGGCAATTTAGCTTTTATGTTTTTCATCAATGTCAATTGGGTATGCCACTAAAGACCATAACATGCCGTTCATACACCATAACCATTTCGAGGCCCCAAGCATCAAACCCCGCCACCAGCATCCTCGCCTCACCTTCCGACTTCTCTCCTCAGCCTTTCATTCGCGGTGCCCCCTCTCGCCGCCTCCGGCCACGAATCCACCGCATCCTCCACCTCGTCCAGGAAACTCTCACTGTTGTGCACGCTGGTACCGCCCAACACGATCCGCACGCCGGGCGAGCTCGCGTTGATCTGCGCGACCATCTTCGCCTCCTCATACGTGACGCCGCCGACCATGAAGACCACGATGTCCTGGGGTTTGTCCTTGGTCGAGCCACCGCCGTCGACGAAGGGATACAGCTGTTCTTTGAGCCGGCCGCGGATCAGCTCCTGCAGTGTACTCTCCAGGCGGGGTGAATGCTGGGTGTAGACGTTCTCGGTGCCTTTCAGGCCGCGGAAGCGCTCACGGGCGCTGGAGAAGAGGTTGGTAGATTGGAAGAGGTCGGGAAGGCCGGAAACGCCGGCGGATGCGGGGACGGGGGCGAGGGAACTGTGGTAGGTGAGGAGCTTGGAGATGAGGGCAATGCGGAAGCGGGAGAGGTTTCCAGCCACGCTGAGGAGGTCGAGGAGCATCGGGGTGGAGTTGGATGGGTGTTTGGAGTAGCGGAGGGCGTATATCGCGGTTAGGCGAAGCTTGTTGGATGCGGGGACGGCGGGATCTTGAATGAGGCGTTGTAATGTCTAATTAGGTTAGAATAAACGCCATATTAGGCCAAGGTCTGCTAAAATACCTTCAAATCGGTGTTGTGGTTGTCGTTGCATGCCAGGCTCTGTTCCAGTTCGCTAACATCGAGGAGGTTTTCTCCCCCGACTCTTCGACTAAGCTCTCCAACCAACGTGACATGTTTCGTCACATTGCTCGAGAGTTTTCGGAATTCCGGATAATCTTCGACGAATCGCTTCATGTCGTCTATGGATTCCAGCTTGAGGTTTGTCGAACTTTTCGATGCAAATTGCTCGACGTAGCCCTTAGCGTTTTCTCCGAGATCTCCGAAGTTGAGGAACATGTTCTTCTTGAAGAAGGGGTCCTGATCCTGAGAGAGGACAATCTCCTATTCGAGCGGTCAGAAATCCATCCGAATATACCCTGTTTGGGGCCTAACCTTGAACTCCGGGCGGACCTCTGGAACATGGCTTAGATCCACACGGCCGTTCCGGATACCTAGCATCTCGTGCACCATGGCTTGATATGTCCATTGAGTGAGTAATGGAGTCACTGGGTCATCCCTTCGATCCAATATCAGCAATATTGGAGGGGTGTCCGGTCTCCTGAAGTCGAACAGCTGGTCCTCTTGTGTCATATGATACCGAACTTCTGTAGCTAGCTTCTTCGCAAGCATACTCGTTTTCGAGTATCGTATCAGCGGCTTCTTCTTCAACGACAGTAGAACGGCTAGAATCCCTTCGGTCGATCGTTGCAAGGCGTCCGGGTTCCATAGCTCGGGACTGGTTCCCCATATCCGATTTTGAGGGTACCACAGGTCCAGAGAGTACAGGTCGGGGTTGATGACAAGGTAGTCGGCAAAGTATTCTTGAACCGCGCGAATCACCTCATGGTCGTCCGCTTCGGCCAGTCGCTCCAACGAGGACTTCTTGATGATGTTACTGAAGTCTAGGAAATTTAGCCTTTGTTCTCTTCCGGTGTATAACATGCACATACAAACGTTGTACTCTCCGTACTTTGGCTCTCGTAGTTCATCAATGAGGAGCTGTATTGACTCGGGGGAAGGACGAAGGAAGCATAGACAGCGTAAATGGCGCATCTTCTCTCGCGCCTGGTTGTCGAGGCGACTATGATTTCCGTAAGCATTGTCCTATCTCAAGCGCCTGGCTGGTCTCCACGTACTCTGTAAGGTACACTTCATGGTTCAAGAGAGCGGATTGTGTCGTGGCGGTCGAGAGTATACCAACCTAAGCGGGAATTAGCTATGAGCATGGAGGCTCGAGGGTATAGAGCAACAAACCTACAGTCTCGCTGTCAAGCAACAGGATCTTCATCTTCGCAGATCCAGATCCGCTGCTGTCCGTGGACGACATCATCTTGGAGATGTAGCCTGAGACGGCCTGGACGATGTCCATGCTGGGCGATGTGGAGGCTATATTACAAGTTCCGGTGCAATAATGATGGGCTCACGGCTATGAATTGTTCTAGCAAGTCTTTATCGGTAACTGTTTGCATCAATGCATGAACAAGAAACAGTGGGCGTGAAGAATTAATCCTCCTCTTTGGTTGTGAGCTCCCTGTGGATGTCCCTTAACTTTGGAGCTTGTTCGCCGATGATGCAGCTCGTCGCCTTGATGCCTTAATACCATATTGTATGCTACTGCAGTGCTATTATCTCAGTTGGGACTCAGGCGGCAATGGTACCCCCTGGCCATTATGGGGATCCGCTATACCCATTAAAGCCCAGCCTCTTCTTTAGCATGTGCCACTAAATATTGACCAATCATATTCCATCAAGGCAGTTGGTACAACTGCCGTCTGAGAGACGTCTGCATAATTTGTGTGGAGGTGTACAGCTTCATATCATGAAATAGGTGAGAGAACTCCTATCGCTAAGTGTGCTTGATACATAATGTTTATCGCTAATCTGTTTTCACAAATTGATTCTACCCCTTGACTTCTACATTTCATCAAGTTTCAGGACCAATCCAACCACTCCACAGTCCAAGAACGTATCATCTTCCCTTTCACCATGTCGACCCCACCCTTCATCTCCAGCGAGTTATCTTCGATACCGCCAGATGAGACATATTTATCATCCTCGCCCTCTACCTCGTCTTCACCCTCAGGTTCGACTCCCCGACCAAAACGCCCTTCCCTAAGACGATCCCCTACTAGATATCGGCAGATTCGGCGTGTTGCAGGAAAAAAAAAACTTCAACCATTTGATAAATTGCGCGAAACATTGTATCTGTGGCGAGAGCAGCGGTTCACGTTTAAAGAATTCCTCCGCGCCTGGTTACTATCGGATAAGCACCATGGTACCTTAGGGAGGTCTACAAGGGTTGGAATATTCCGTGAACTCTTAGAAGAGGAGGAAATCCGTGAGGTTGTTGGGCATCACCCTTCAAGCCGCCATAATTGGCAACCTCTCCTCAAAGAACTTGATGGCTTGGCCGAATACAAATACTTTGATACCTTCGATCCTGATACCGCCCACGAATGGGATATCGACCTTGAAGATGTCCGAAAAGTTATCAAGACTGGGGCACCGGAATGGTACCGCTGTTTAGATCTAGTTCTTCGAAACTGTCGCAGTCAAGAACCAGATCAAAGGGAGACTCTTTCAAAAGGGACAATTGGGCAAATGTACACGATGACTGCAGTAGCATGCCGGAGTCGTAAGCGGAACACATCAAATGTATACGCTAAGCAGTTGGGGTTATATATGATCTCTAGTGGGACAAAGCGGCGGGTCGTGGATACAGCTGCTGGTCTTGGGCTCACTGAGACATACCAAAGTATTAATGAGGAGGTTTCAGGTATGGCACTCAAGGCGAAGGTAGGTTGGTTTATTTCATAAGTTAGATCTTTTCTTCTAACTTTTAATTAGAACCGCCTCCCAATGCTGGCCAAAAAGCCAAAGACAGTCCTTGTTTATGATAACTTCAACTTCAAAGATACTGTGCGCGAGCAGACAATTGGTTCAACCCATATTATGCGGAATCTGACAACATGCCTGTTGGTTGAGAACCCATATTTGCCTGATGAAGGTTTATTCCAATCAAGTTTCGATCCTTCCCAACTTCTCTCTTTTAAAGACATCTGTAAAGCCGATGGCTTAAAGTATGATGAGAAAAAGCAGAGTATAGACATTCACTTAGTCTACGAGGCCCTACAACACGTTCATTCTACAAGTATTGACTTGGTTTTCCAATCACAGCCGTCTGCTGTCCCTGCTTATCCAGAGATCAACCGTTTACATGCGGGTGGGAATGTAACAAACATCCATCATCTTCGGGCTGCCCCTTTTGATGAAGGAACAATCCAAGGAACCTACGGAGTTCATGAAGATATTTGGATCCGACAGTTGGGTTTCCAATCCCAGCCACCAAGCGAAGACTTCACAAACCGTCTCTGGTTGGTATTTGGAGACCAGAAAACAGCCCAACATATCCGTACTCTAAAGGAGGCCCAGAAGAATGCTATTCTACCTTTTGACCGACGGAGATGGATGTTAGGTCCATCTGGACTGTTCCATGTCCTTATGAATCTCATCCTAACGATCGTCCGTATCCATTTTGATACGGAGCCTTCACTACCGTCGGATAAAGAGCCTTCACTACCATCAGATGCAACGCTTCTATCGGATATCATCTACTGGGATCGAAAAGGATATACTCGAGAATCCCCAAAGTTCTACATGTTTGACCCCCTGCTCAAGCAATCATTTTATGCTCGTGTCTTGATGCTATGGTATCATGTTCTTACGAGACGAGGACATATCCAAAAGGCATTCCTTGAAGATTCCAGTCCAAGTTCGAAACTGGATCTAATTATCCAGAACCTGGAGCCAGAAGAACTTATCTCTACAATGAAAGAGGTCTGCACACTGGCATTCTCTCTAGAGGCATGGGACACGACACAATATGGACTTGAATTTCGAAGTCTCTGCCGACTTGTCCAGTTGATCAGCATCTTCCTTTCTTTGCGTAAAGCAGTCAAGAATGGCGACATCGGCTGGATTGACCGTTTAATCGACCCACTTGCAGTTATCTTCCACGCAACTGGACAGCACAAGTATGGTGATGAAATGCTCCATCTTCGTTGGATATTATCTGAATGCGTTTCAGAGAAGATTCTCCGCGACGCAATACTCTCATCCAGTCTTGTGAATTTACATGGCAAACCAGGCCAGTTCAAGGGTATTGACCTAGCCCTTGAACACGTTAATTGCGCATACAAGATTGATATGAAGTTATTGAAGAATTCAACACATAATGCAGACAAAACCTTTGGTAGAGTCGCATTATTAAGTAATGTCTTCTCCAAGATTCGTGGGGCATGGGAAAACTCATTTGGGTTTACCCAAAGCGATCGACACACAACCAAAGCCGATCAACGGGATATCTTCAGTCGCGCCCTTCAACTATATCTACGCAGTCCTTTGCTCACTATCCAACCTCGCGATGCTGTTGGTTGGGACGCACCTGATATCTTCCGGATTGGTGCTGAGGTCTTGGAACAAAAGGTCAATTCCTTCAACAATCGGATACCAGTCCGCTCTAGTATCATCCCCCAGGCTGATCCTTACCTTGACGAAGAGATGGATTTAAATCCTCATAACTCTGAGACTTCACCAGCAATTACCTACACTGAGGCTTGTGAAGATGGGCTTGTTGAGGATTATGATATTCTTTGACTACGTTATCGCTCACTTCACCTATATCCCTCGAAGCCCTCTATATCGAAACTATTCGTCTCCAAGGCCTAGTTTCGAACTGGTTTACTGAGCCCGTCGCTCATTAACCAATTCATAGTTGAGACTAGGGTGCCTCGTGCTGCACAACCTGGGGGATATTGAGTATGGAATGGGGTCAATGTGTAGATAAAAGCCTAGTATCTAGCAGGTTTAGGTGTGTCTTACTATAATATCTCTACCAATCCTTAATGTTTTTCAAAGATGATAACATTGCTGGAATCCTCTTATTAAGAGCTACAAGATGATGTATATACAATCATAATTCAATTGGTTCCTACCCACTTCATTTCCTTTGAAGTTGGTACAAATCTGGAAATAAAAGGACACTAGTCTGAAAAGGGCTATCCGAAGTTCTCCCAACCAAAACACCTCCAAATCTTTGTTCTTCTATTTACCACTCTTCCCCCATAGATCCCTCCCTTTTGGCGTCAACTGTACATGAGTACGAAGACCAGCTCGTTTAGGCGTATTCGGCCTATCTTGTCTAGTGATCTGTCCTTTCTCATGGTTTCCAGATACTTCCCTAAGCGGCGTCCGACTTCTCTTGCGCATACCCGAAGAAGAATCTTGAGTAGCTCGTTTGGGCGTTTGGCTGCGCGACCGGATGTTAACAGGTATAGGAGCTTTTATATCCGAGGGGATTGTAGTCTTATTATCTATACCAGAATCTAACTTAACGCTAGATTGCGATACGAACGATGACTCCCCTCCGACGACAAACGAGCTTCCTAATTCCTGCGACCCTTCCGATATCTCCGGCAGTGATGAAAACGAGGGCCAATGGCGGGGTTTGAATGTTTCCCGATACTCATTAAGCTTCTGCGCAAGTAGCTCGTTATGCATGATAACCCGGAGCCCATCCCTATCATCTGCCGACTGACGACTGTGGACATATTGAGCAACCTCTTCCTCTTTAGATAGAGTGGGATTAGGTATAATACTCAAGTCTTGAGGATTACTCCCCAAATCTTGAGCAGCAGCCTCTGTAACCTTTCCGGCCAGTGCCTTCAGGTTCCTCTTGCACTTTCGTTCCTCTAGTATCGCGGCATGCTTCGAGTATACGGCTGGAACTATCTGGACAAGGAATACCAACAAATCGTCAAGGAGGACGTTCCGATATTCCCAGTTTTCGATATCAAAGAGGGGTAACAATGCCTCCCGATCTGGTATAGGTATCGTTGTTGAGTTCTTCACACAAGTATACATACGAGCAATAGCCCATTGCGCTTCTTGAGGAATGATCACCCCAGCTGGGATTGGAATCATTTGCTGCGCTCGTGGGAAGATCGATTCCACCTGTTCAAGACACCATATAACCAATAGATGCAGCGCAATACCTGCCTTAGTCTCTCGGCCAGGTTTGGTAGACTTAAGGGAAGTATCAGGCATTGGTGGCAACTGGAACAATGCCAGATTACACTCCTTCCCATTACAACAGACCTTCTTGTCTGCTCGAATGGGGGTAGTATCTGGCTCGCATTGGTCCTCATTGAACTCCGTAAGGAATACCTGCCGTCTACATGGCGCGTTTGCAAGAGAACGGATCGTTATTGGGAGGGTTGCCCTATGCTGAAGTTCATCAACAGTCCATAGAGGTGGACCATCTGACTTGTCCCTCTTCTTAGACTTTGGGACAGTTAATTTCGAGCTCTCTTGACTGGCTGCTTCGGTATTATCAGACTGTTCAGAGAAGTCAGACTCAGCTCCATCGCCTTGCGATAATGGCGATGGTGAATGGGTGGTATTCGGTAACCGGACTGTGTTCCGCTTTCCCCTTTTCTTCTGAGACAATGGCTGATTATTACGCGAACTAGGCATTTGAACAGGATCCTGTCCCATTGAGTCGAACGCATAGTATGGCAGGAATATAAAAGCCATCCCATTGATTGCCTGCTTTACTCGAACAGCCCGTCCAACCCGCTGCCAAATATCACCGAGATCATGGCCGATTGGAAGTCCCCATTGAGCAACCACCATAATATCAGGAATATCCATACCCATTCCAAGAGCAGTAGTTGCAACAACTACTCTAAGAGAAGAGCATGGGGATCTGATCTTATCGTACAGCAAGTCCTGATCGTATCGTGGAGTATTCGATGTATATACACCAATTGCATCCCGAACCATGGTTGGTTCAAACCCTTGAACAAAGAGATGCCGCTCTAAGGATGCAGAGATATTCGCTACCGATTGAAGTCCATCTACAAAGATAATCGTTTTCGGGATTCGCTGGAGGTCGTCTTCCGTCCTACTAGTTGGATGCTCTAATGCATGATCAACTAGAAACCATAGCCGTTGGTAAGCCTTGCTCTTTCCTCTCTTAATGGGCAAAATGTTAAGTGAGATATCAGGTCGATCGATTGAGACTCGGATGATCTTGAGTGGCAGTTCATGGTGTGTCTCTTCGTAGAAACCACCATAATAGATAACAGCTTGTTCTGTGGCCTTGTTCAAAGTGGCAGAACAACCAAACCAGATGGTATCAGCACGTAAGTACCGTCGTAATTCCCTGATTTTGAGATATTCCAACCGGAATTCCTTCCATTGCTCCATAACATGGAGCTCGTCAATTGCAACCACACCAATCCTATTCTTTACGTCGGGGCTTAACAGCAAACCACGAAACTCATCGCTAACTGCTTGCTCAGGACCCATCAAGATATGGGTATATATCCCAGCTGCAATCTCCTTTAACAGGTTCGGATTCCTTCGCTTAGTCTCCGCTGTAACAAGGGAAGGCCTGGCCCCTGGTAACTGTTCAATCGACCTCTTCTGCTCCTCTCCAAGCTTGCTTAAAGGAATCAACTGGATGACAATTCTGCCAATAAAGATTGGGATAGCATGGAAGATGATGCTCTTCCCAAAACCAGTCTTCGCAGAGATAATAGTATCCCCATGCCGAAAAACAACTCGTCGAAGAGCCCGAACCTGGTTGATACGTGGGAGCCGACCACCCAGGAGTCGCTGCAAACCGTGGAAGATAAGATCATGCTGGTATATGATGTTCTTTCGTATCAGACAGGCCTTAACCAACTCTTGCAGTACCGAACATAACTCTTTCTCTGGTGTCGTTGCAATCATGAATATCCGTTCTTCAATCGTTTTCTCGATAGGAGGTAATTGTGCAGAGTCAGGATTCTTGTTTGGGGCGGTTTCACATCGATGGGCGCGGCCTCGCCGGCGCTTCAGTCGCATGGAAGATGACCTGGAGAGTGAACCTGTACGACAGATGACGCAACAAGTAGTTTTAAAAAGCTAGTTACAGAATTAACAGTTAGAAATTTGAGATTTAAAAGCCATAGGATGGTTTAACAAACCTTTATCTATATCGCATCAACTTTTGGAGCCCACTCAACTTCTCCATATGATGTTATTCACAATCTCATTATTTCTAGCAATTATCACCATGTACGACTCCACAGAAAATTCTCTGAAGTTTCTCAGACGTTACACGAGACAGTTACAATCACGTGAGTAGTATTTACGCTAAACATGGGTTTAATCTGGTTACGGTTTAGCTTAACCAGGGTCATGGCTTGGGTAACGTCTGAGCCCAAGCTGAGATAACAGTGCTACAGCTATTTGCAGCTGCAGTTGCAGTTGTTTATTACACACACAATTCAATATCAAGATGGAGTCTCAACCATTGTTCACCCCTACATTTTGAAAAGGTGAGATTCCTATTGTACAATACTGCCAAATAGGCTTCATTACTATTGGTATTAAAGGCAGATTGGGATTGTGGTAGTGGAAATCTCTACAGTTGGCATTTGAGATGTCTTCAACTATCCATATTGAAAGTGACCAATGTTCTGTTGTTTTGAGGTCTGTCTATATTAATTATATCCATATTCATATACGAATGCTCTACCAAGCATTATGCATCTTCGTTCTTCTTCTTAACTGATTAAAACTCAATATCCCATTTATTCAAGTTCCGCTATTGTTCACTGTTGACATCAAAGCCTTGCCTTCCCTCACCCTATAGACAACCGACGATACTGCTGCTTCAGGATGAAGACCAAACAAACTTGATAATGCCTGATTTGCAACATCCCGGGGTTTCAGATGCGGTATCAATACCATGGGATCTGGTGAACTAGTATAGTTTGGTATTGTTCTGTTCGACTGTCCTCTAGTAGGAAGACGAGATAACCAACACGAGTGACCTTGGGTTTGTAAATGCAAAAGGACCTGTCAACCCAGCGCATGGGCTCCTCATAGAGTTTTCATTCCGTCCATTTTATGACTAATTTCATTTGCATCGTCTTCGGTCTCTCATTTTACGCTGCTGTGCTGTCTTAGTCTGCTCTTATTCCTGGGATTTACTGTTCATGAACCGTTCTAGGGAAGGCATTTCTCCTATAGGCTCCTTCCCTTGGTCTTCACTTTCAGCACATTGGCGGCAGTCCATGTGTCCAAGCAAGTGGTACTTATTGAATGGCTATGCGCCGAGTATGAAATTGTATTTGGGACTGTAGGCAGCCGCCTTTGCCGGAGTGACGGGGCAGTTTGCTATACTCGTACCAAATGCATTCAACCCATTCAGCCCCTTTTTAATCCTATTAGAGTGACGTAGGGGAGTTTGCTTCGCTTGGCCCTATCGGCATCAAAATCATATCTGCGGCGAGCAAGTCCATAGAGCCCGCGGAGCCCCAAGCATTAAACACTGCTATTGAAACAAATAGTGTATAAAAACAGAATAGCGGGAGGTCTCTCAGCGTGGGAAAACCAAGAACAGTTCCTTCACGTTCTAAAGAGACATGCTGGACGTGATGATCAAGCAAGTGCAGAAACGGGAATTTTCAGGCCATGAAGATTCAGGAGCAGACGACACACAAACACAATATCAACCAGGGGCGCAATGGGGCGGGTCAACTGGGCCAGATGTGGACTTCAATGATGATGCTACCTATTACACAGGATGATTCTCCGGGACTACTGTTCTAGTCTATCAAGAGACCATTGTTCACCATTACCAATCCAAATCCCAAACCCCAAACCCCATTCATTATTTCCATACCACCTCGTCCATCCATATCAGTTCACCACGGGAAAGTGCTCCATTTATGGTAATGCCAAACGAATGCTCAAGGCTAGCCACATATTCCCCAGTTCTCGAAGCATTTCACAGCATATTCCTCCAACCATTCTTGTGTTTAGATCCGCGCGTCGTGGCGCAAAGCATCGGGTACGACAGACACCTGTGCTACTTGAGCCATCTCCCCGGCATGAAACCTGCATGCAGCCTGCGCGGCAAGGTTGGGCAGCAATGGATCGGGACGCGGTTCGGAGAATTTGATGGCGCGGAAGGCTAGCTGGTCGGGGAACGTGGAATACAGACGCTGAATTGAGATAGTCCAACTGATCACTAGCGGGTGATGTCTCTAGTGAAGATGGTTACAGGAAATGCGTCATTATTTCTTACGCACTCCCGTACCAAATGGTTGATCCGAATACCATTCAGAGCGCACAGCGATCTGTCCCAAACAGGGGCACCGCATCTGCTGATGCTCCCGTATCACTGTGATCAGACTGACCGAAATCCCGGAACGAGCCATAGCACGAGGGGGGCGTCACAGAGCTAGAAAAGAAACAATGCTGTCAATGCATTCCAGGCTATTGCCTTGTGCGTACCGCTGCGAGAGTCGATGTGACAGTGTTCCATCGGCTGGGAGGCGACTTGTGCACGAAACTCGGGACGTGGAGGTTCGGGAGAACCGTCGCACGGGATAATTGGACACAGTGCGCGCAGGCAGCCGGCCAAAGAAAGACAATGATTTCAAATTGACGCTTAGTAAAAGACTTCTATATCAAATACGGCTGAGAGGAACAATGAACCAGTTTCCGGGTAGTAGAAGCGCGGAGTTCAAGCTTGCTATGTACTTACGGTGGCCATAGCATATGGACCAGACCATGGGTATTGTATATCCCTCTACTAACCCTGATAGATGCTTACGGCTGAGATAACTAATCCTCAGAGCTGAGATGAGTCAAAGAGCAAACCGAGACACGTACGAATGCTGCTCTAGACCACCAATCCAAGAATTTCGAGCATAGAATTTCGTTCCGTCCCGTAACGGAAATGCGGATATTCAAAATCCGTATTGGCAACATCGCAAGGCCGAGGGAAAATCTATGTGTCTGTTCGCATATAGTTTGCAATTACGTCGGTGTCTCCAAAGTTAGTAACGGGGATACACGGCGCGGTAGACGGATGGGGTAGGGAGCGAGGCGAGTAGAATATATGAACATTGCCGAATCGAAGTGGTCAACCTCGAGAACCCGAGGCGTGTGCGGCGCAGTTCCCTCGTTTATTGGGCGCCGACATATGACGATACTTAGATTCGAAGATGTAGAAGATATTGGAGATCTTCCCCTTCGACATCCTTTCCGTCTATCGTGAAGCTGATCTCAGGGCATATGCCCATGTCGCACTGTCGCCGACGCCATGCGGAGTCAGAATGTCGATCAACGAATATCGATAGGCAGGAACGTTGCCTGTCTGGATCCACTGGCCTTTCACCTGACCGCTCGGAGCTTTTCATCGATAGATTGGATTCAATAGCCAATTCTTGGTTCCGAGACCTGAGGCGTAGGATGATCCCGGTAGACGGCAGGCCACGCGATATGTGCACCATCAATACGCACATCCGGGGAAGAGCCAATCGTGCAATTTGTGGATATTGATCAAGTCATGGATCGCGAAAGTAAATGAACAACACAGGCAAAGGGAGCTGAATGTGGAACGGCTCAGAGAAGAGGACGCCGACCAGGTCACCAGCTGATGTCTTCCATCGGCATGAAGTCCGGGCTCACCCTAATCGTCCCTGCTTTCATCGCAAGCCCATGATCCTGTGTCGACGCATAAAACGCGCAACTGCCGCGATTCCCAGCTCTTCTCCACGATCATATCAATCTATCCTCTCCTGTTAATGCAACCACAGTCGCGAAACAATGCTTCTAGGCCTCTTCTTTAACCTCCGATTGGCCACACCCTAAATAAACACGATCTCTGTATGAGAAGCAGCCACCCCGCCTCCGCCCCCCGAGGATTGTGAATACCTGGCTGTCCTGTACCTCTGATATATTAACTGACCCCCCAGATCAAACAGGGATCCACCACCCATGATGGTCTCGGCTCGCTTCGCTCTGCTTGTGGCACAGGACTCTGATAGTATCTCATGTCGTCCCGTGGGTCCGGAGGCGGACCCTACGAGTCTGGGGATGACGGCTGGCTGTGAGGGGGCGGGGAAGACTCAGAGCGCAGAGGACACTGGACGATGTACAGTGACTACGGACGGTGACGACGTCCATGCCGATGGCCGAGATACATGTGACAAGGAATGCTGGTTGAAGTATTGGTACATCGAATTGACTTGCATATGACAGGGCTTCGGGACAGTAGTGTCCAGACTCACGGTTTCATGCAGCAAAAGTTCCCCGTGATGCCGCGATTTCCGCAGACCGATGAATACATGAACATGTCTCATGTATTCGTAAGGTACCTGTACCCTCTAGTCGCTTTTAGGCGTTCTCCTGCTGCGATACTGTGAAGCACCAGCAGCAGCAAGTGTAGTACCTGTACAAAGTCTTGGGCTAAGTCAAAGGAGCCGGAAGCAGGGCTCCCCCAACCACCGTAGACGATGCAATATGGAGAGACCCCGCCCCCGCATACCGCCTGCCAACGGTCAGTACGGCGTCTCCCCGCTGCCCACCATCATCAGACCAAGGGTTTGCTTCAAGGATATTCCCATCGACCTGGCGAAGAGCTGGTATTAGCATATGGATTATACGGTACCGAATTTCTTGGTGGTACGGCTGTTGGTACGAGGAGGGATTGAGGCGAGAGTACCTGGTACAGAGCAACATGGAAACAAGGAAACGCTGAAGGAGAAAGGCTTGATCAGTCGCTAACGCGTTTCTTGAAGCTGGGGTTCCGGATGATACCTAGTCCGTAGAAAGGGCATTGAAAACGTGCCCAGCCTTCAAATAACTGCCCTCTCGGATTCCGGCAGCCGTGGATTGGTTGGGCATCTCCATCGCGTAAGTTTGAAAGCTTTTACGGAATAGTTGTTCCCTTATATCCATACCAAACTTTACCTCTGGGAATAAGAAATTGCAATTTCTTCACTTTCGTTAGGTCTGTTAATACAACTCGCTGTTTACGTGGGGTGCAGCACGTCAAGAGCGAAGTGCTACTCAGCAATATTATTTTCTGCTTTCGTCCCCTTAGGATGGTGGTGGCTGGCCGCTAGGGGACTCGTGCTCACTATAGACATCTCAATTCGCAGTGGGCTCACAATCAAAGTCAAATGGCCAGATAGAAACAAGGATTTAAGGTTTCGAGACTTTAGAGAATTGATAACCGTAATGATATTGACTACTGCTATTCTATCTGCCTTTCTGGTAACTGACCGGACTTTATAGAGCCACCCTTCACAGAGAAATCCCAGTGCCTGCCAAAGCTCACCATCTTGCTTCAGTTATAGCCAAAGATAGAGCATAATGCACCGAGGCATCCATTCCACACGATAACTGACCTGCTATACACGTCAGATTTATTCTTCATCAAAAGCGTTAACAATAATTTACCGCTTCGCCATGTTCTTGGACCAAAGAATTACCCAGTTTCCAGCTACCGCTTGATATTGTGTAGCCCGTAACCATCCCCAGTAGGCAGGTATGGATGCGGCAGTCGGTCTATTTGCTCCTTTGTAGTACCTTGATATTCGCAGCCCGTCCTCGTGGACATGAGCTCCTCCCAGGCGCTGTTCGTACTCCAGGAAGTCAAGACTGATAACCTTGTGATCGGATGGATCTGTAGTGGATTGATGTGGCTTTGAGCCCTGGGAGAAAATTCTGATATTAGGAACCGACCTCCGACGCAGTAATGGAAGGGAGTGACTGAAGACCAGCCCGCTTTGTCGGGGGTGACGGTTTTTGGGGGCTTTCGTCATGGTGTCGTGGGCTACAGGTTGGAACTCGACAGGTAAGTCCTCCAAAGACACCTTTCCCAGCTGTGTCATTGAGCATGACGAAAAGCGGGACTGCTGTGATAGGATGGAATATAATGAATGACGAATTTCTATGGCTCAGTAAAAGCTGGTGGTGCGGATAGACAATTGAGTAAAATATTTTTTGGAACGCTGAGCATTCTTTTAAATTGCAATCGACAATCATCATCTTTCAATACCACCACCTTTTGGGTACAGTCATATCTGGACTCACCATACCCGAACTTCACTATCTCTGGATCAATATTTCTGGGTATCAGTAGTAGTTCTGCAGGCAAGCGAGCAGCCAGCCATGCGGATGAAGGCTACAAGCTCGTGACATCGAGGTCGAAGGCCCTTGTTCAGTTAAGGCCAGTTGAACTGATATCCATAAGGGGCATCACGTGATGGTTCTGAAGCTGGCCTTAACCTAGTCAGCGAAACTGGAATTTCACTAGTTAATCACATACTGCACTAACTAACTAACTTAGTTATTGTTAGAATTAGATTGCTTGCCCCCTGCTTCTGCTCACCTCCCGGAAATTCACTGATTTCCATTTTGGGACAAAAGTGAGTTTCGAGCCCCCTGTACACCTACGCATACAGAATCCTTATCATGACTAGGTAACTGGAAGGGCCTCGTGGAGATGCCATCAATCAGCCTGGAGGAGTCGGTAACAGCCCTCGAAGAGAAGAGGGAATTCATTTCTTTCGCGGGAAAACTGCTGCAGTGGGACCCAGCCAAGAGATCCGCTGCTGGGGAGTTGTATACAGACGCATGGCTCAGGTCCGCAGGATGATGAGAAAGGATATGTAAAATCGTTATCACAGCCATCTTTTGACTCCCGACTCAGGACTCTCGACTCAGGACTCTCGACTCTCGAGCCGCTCGGTTCGGGTCACCATTTTTGATTTCCTTTCATGTCGTGGTGCTTCCACTTTCTTAATTAGTCCATCAAATCTCCATAGGGTCAACCCGACACGCTGGAACAAAGATTGGATTGACGTAGCGCGACGATTCGTTGTCACTTTTATGGGCACTTCGTATTGTCGTTGGGGATAAGGCCATAACTCCCTCCACAAGCTCCCCCTAGAACTGCATAGTCAGTTAGATGCGGCTAGTTAAAACATCAAACTATTAGGTGAAGAACCGTAGATTGAGGTTGAAACTTGACACTTGGCAGGTTGTGGAGCAAAAGATCGGCGTAGGATGAGCCCCATGAGAGGAGAACGCGACTCAGCCTCCAAAAGCAAGTCTCCCAAAAGTCAAGTCTCGCCTCTCTCGGAAGGTTGAGAGAGAAAAACGACATTGAGATCTTCTCAAGCTCCACATTGTAAGTTTGGGCCTCGTATTATAAGTTGAGGCCTCGTATTATGCTCATCACAATAATACATACACATAAACAGAGCTCGAAAGTCTGAAACTTCGACGAGACGGATATCAGGAATTTCAGGATGCAGGAGGAGGTTATGGCAATTTTCAAACACATGTCGAGTTGTCGATTGCTTACTGCAAACATCACCAAACGCCCCGGCGGAATCGTCTGATGAAACAAGTCGATTCGAAAAAGCTTCCATGCGACATTCTTTTGCATGGGGTATTGCGCTACGAAACTTAGTCGGGTCAGAACTACATCGTGGAGTTGGGGAGCGCCCAATGGGCGCGTGTGGCTGCGGGATTGACTTTCCCGATGAGCGAATGGGGCCGCAGAAGAGACTCAAGAAGTAGCCATGCAGATATCTCGTAACCTTAGTCTCGTGAGACGTGAGCAGGTGCTGCAGGATGATCCTACTGTCCAGTTTGCAGATGTTTGACGGATATTAGACCTATGATGTTGGTTTGGAGATGCATGAGCTTCCTGGAGAAGAGCGAAGTGTGGTGTAACAGACTGCTCTGCGCCTCTGCGGACCGGATTCCGTCCTAGAATCGAAGCAGTCGCATATTTGCCGAAATGTTTACAAATAACTAACTAACAGATTCCATGTACATACTAGTAGTTGCAGTGTCCACAAATATCAATTCTTCAGGTCTCTCATAAATTGCCGGTATGGAGAAGGCGCAATGCCTGAACAAGGTGGAAACGATTCTCTAGGACTTTCGATTATTAAAGTCCATCAGTGCTTTCTGGAAACATCGCTCCAATTTACTTGTTCCTCTCCGAGACCTTTGCGGATGGCAGCGCCAGCCAAGTGACGCTATATTAGATTGAACTGAAGGATAGGTAGTGGTGGTGGACGACAGTAAACGATGATTCTGACGTATACTTCCGCTCCTTTGGAAACTAGAAGCAGACCTTTTTTTCCAAGAGGTAATGAGCCGCTATATCTGTATTATATAAACAACTCATCTTCAGATGGCCTATAACCTCACTTGTTTCTCGGGCACAGATTCAAGCAGTCAAAGCCAAACCTGAAGTCATGATGGCCTGCCTCCTGAGTACCTAATACCTATAACCTAATGGTTCCCCTGCGTGGACACTGGACATGGGTGATGGGATCGATCCCAGCCATCAGGATTCGTAGACAACAGGACATGGAATGTACGTAGAGCCCGTAGATTGTCACCGCAAAATGCCGAGGCAGGATCGACACTCTTTTCCATGCAAAATCGCGAACAGACATCTCACCGGTCCCATTGGAGTTTGGACGCCGTATCTCATCTAAATTATAAGAACAATATTATTGCATTGTTCACCGAGCGCACTGCCGAACTCTATGCTCGGTGTCGAGCATTGACAACAATGGGCAGGAAAACCTGGATTTCTGCTCGCCCCTGGGCACTGGGATGAGCCCTTATTCCTCATATCCAATCTTCGCCTATCGGCCATCGTCGCGTGATGGGGAGGATGCTTTTGCGGAGGTATCAGATACATGTATGGTGTATCGATGGTGGCAAGATATAAGCCTCAATAATGGCAGGTGTTTCCAGTTTCCACGCCCTGTTCGATGCTAGCTTAGGGTATGTCCTGCCTGCAGAAATTCGAGACGTTGACAGCTGATCGTGTTGGGACCCGACAAAGAGGTGAGGCACTGAAGCCGTTACAGAAGCGTTAGTAACGGCCGCTAGCAGGCCGTTCCCCGCTTCTCATACGGTAGCGTCACTGGTTAGGCAACTGAAAACCGTTAGGATTGGTAACTTAGGAGACAAAAAGGGAACAAATCGAAGGTCGAAGAATCAAAAGCAAGGAGAACAGTGGTACCGATACCGACCGAACAGAAACTGTCATGACTACACGCGTCTAGTCTGACTTCGGGTTGAATTGATGCACCAACAACCATAACCCTGGCATTCTGAACTCCTGATCCATGTGTGGACAGGGAGCCCTGATATCTTCATTCGGCCCGTTAACGAATAAGAACCCGATACTTTTACTGCCCCCTCATGGAACTGCAAACCTGTTATGTTTTCAACACAGTTCTACCCCGGCGTCAACGTGAATCCAAGGTAATACCTGGGGATACTGATTATTGCCCCTGCTTTCTCCCCTTATTCACCATCCCACTCCACTCTTCGCAGTCCACCAGTTACCCACTGCGCTCGGCGCTGAGCTTGGCCGGCCCTTGTAGCAGGTTGATCCCGGTTGCGTGCGCTTTCAGTGCCCTTGATCCGACCGGACCATGGATCCCTTGGTTCCGAGCTCTTCGTCCGATCGACGCGCCTTGTGGCTAGGATCGGCGAGTGGAGTATGCCTGGATTCTCCGCCTAAAGCAGGGAAGTATCTTTTGCCAGTGAGAGACGCCTTCTGCATGCTGCATGCATCCTGCATCGAAGGCCAGGTTCCCCCCAAAGTGCACGAGTAAGTAGAGAGACGATGCCCTTTCCCCGCGGTTGTTTGGGACCATGAGCAAGCACTACCAGATCCATCAGGTGTGCTCTGTGACCACTTTCAAAGCGACGCCCTCAGGCCTCATCCCGTTCCGGAGCCTTGATGTGCACCAGGTTCGGCAGAAGGTGTCATCAAATCCGTCCAATCCTGATCCACCCGACAGCTTATGGGGTCCAAGTGTCACAAGCCAGGCCGAATGGGCAGAATTGTCGATGCGGTAGCACCAAATTTGTGCCTGGTGTTCGCGTGAAGGTTGTGCAAGGGCTTGTATATCATAACGCGCTGATCAGGGCCGGATCCGCCGCTGTTAAATTGTATTCCTTCTCCTCTGCCCACGGCGCCCCTCCCCTCAAAGCTTTCTATTTCGTTCCTTTTATGATTGCTGTCCGCCAGTCCGTTTCCGTTCACGATGTCCCTTTTTTAAAAATCGCTTGCACCATTGCAGAGCACGCCCAAGATCATCGGGATCAGCCTTCCTGGAGAATTCGGATTTCGGAACCACCTGGACTAACCAGACTTGCGCCGTGTTGGTACATACCTGCTAAGAAATTTCGCACTCCGAACCCGGCCCAACCAAACGTCCAAACATCCCCGCCACCACGCGAGACGTCACTCCTTTCCGCGCTGAACAGTATCACGAAATCCCAAAATAATTGCACTCCGAATTATTTGCGCGGACGTTTCAACTACGAGACCCTCCGCTCCGAATTTGCCATCTGCACGTCGCAGTGAGTGAGTGACGCCTCGTAATACGACGAAACGACCCTTGCAATTGAGATCGCTCGCCATTCCGCCCTCGAGAAAGAGAAGAATGTGTCCGCTCCGACGTCCGCGTCGTTGACTGTGGTTAGTTCAATCCCGAACATTATTTTCTCGAGTTCTGTTGGTCCAGAAAGGACTGTAATTCCTCCGTCATGGCGTCATACAGCTCCGATTTTCTCATTTCCGTCGCCTATTAGACCTGTAATTGCGCGAGTCAACTTCAGCCTCTAGTTTTGAGGCTGGACAGCCGTTGAATGTCGGAGCCCCCACGACCACCCACGTATTGGGGAATTTCCTTTTTCTTATGCAGCCATCCGATCAATTCGAGAACCCCAATCTGCTGGTTTCTGTTTCAAGACAGTTTTGCCATTATCTTAGTACCGAACTGACGCTCGAGGTGTTTGTGCAGACAACAAGGATTCGGTGGAATTCGCCATTCCAAAAGTATTTATTAGGATCTATCCTCTGACCGTCCGCGCGCGTCCATCATCGCTCCTTGCCGAATTCGACTCGGGGTTTTTTTTCGAAGTGGTCCAGCTGTACTGTACTTGTGACGGTTTGAACCGGCTCAACCCAGTCCAGTCCGTTCTCCAAACGGAGACCCCAATTCAACACCATGGGGTTCTTCTTGGACGATGCCTATGCCAATCGGCATCCCGCTGGCTGGGATCACGCAGCCGAGCAGCGGCGCAAGGAGAGCGTGCAGCAGCAAAGTTCGAGAAAAGCCAGCTCGATCATATCCCCAACCAGTTCCACTGGACTCATGCCAAAGCGCTCGAATGACAAGCGCGGTTCCGTCTTCCAGCTCCGCTCACGGAGCAACACCGTTACCTCCCAAACCTCGACTGCTGGCTCCGGATCGCGTTCCCCTGCGCCACACCGAGAGTCGAACAAGAGCGACGACTCCTCCCGGCGGAGTTCTTCGCTCGATGGCCGGAGTTTCTCGGATGCCCCTAGTTCGACCGATAGTGTGGACGCTGCATCCAGGTCGCTGCTGTACGTCAGTACGGTGGGCAAGAAATTAAAAAAGGCGGCGAAACGCCCTCCGTCGTCCGCGGGCTTCAGGCCGGAGCAAGAGAAGGACACCCCAGGGTCGAAATTCCGGGGAGTCTGGAACAATTTGCATGGGAAGGAAATCAAAATCCCGGGTCCAGGTAAGGAAATCGCGGAATCCGACGTGATCCTGCCGGGCAAGGACAGACGCTTATCCGTTCCAGGCGAATCCAACCGCAAGACGATGATCTCCGCTCCATCTGATTTCCAGCATCTGGTTCACACTGGCCGTAACGACCTTCCCTCTCTTTTCGAAAACCGTCCTCAGACTGGTCCATCTCCTTCGCTAGCCTCAGAGTTTACCGCAGCCAGTGCTTCGCATCTTCCCAAACGTGAGGTTTCGCACATGCGCACGTCCGATCTCAAGGCCGATGCGGCCCCCATCATCGAATCCCCATCATTCAGCCCTTCCGGCCTCTCTGCACTCGGCCGAACATCAACGAACGCGTCTACCTCGTCGATTTTCGACCCTCCGTCATGGAACCGCCGGAGCCAGGCCAACTCGAATTTAGCAGCACAAGTTGCGCCGACGCCATCTCCAGGGACGGTGGTACCGCCAACGCGAATCTCAAGCCCTCCACCGGTCCGGCCAATCCGACCTGTCCGACCCGCTCGTTCCAGTGAATCCTTCCAATTCGTCTCCATGGCTTCTGCCCTCCCCGACAACCCGCCGGTACAGTCGCCTCCGCCACGACGTGCGTCTCGCCGCGTGTGGACACCGAAACATATTGCCGAAGAATTGAACCATGAATCTCCCACGGCTCCTCAGTTCCCGGCCGACGAGTCTCCATCCACGTTTGGTTCGGGCGCACCGAAAGCCAATGAAGAGCTGCCGCCGCTACCACCGCTGCCGAACTTTTCACAGGAGCAGGCGGGAGAGCATGCGCCTTTATCATCCGAGGCGCTTGGTATGCAATCGCTCTCCTTCCAAAGGGAGCTTGAGTCTCTCCAAGAAGAGCCAGAAAGCCTATCCTCGCAGCGTGGCAGCCGAACCAGCATGGTGCCTGACCACACCACATTCGGATCGCCGTTGCGTCACTCCCGATCCTTACCAGGCAGTTCCCTTGTGGCGGTCCGATCCAACGAATCCGCCCAGTCCGATCAGTCCGAGTTCCGATCTTTCGCTCGGCCCTTCAATCATCCCCGACCGCGCCCGGTGTCCCAGATGTCAGATACCCTTGGGGCAACGGCCCCCCCGAAGATGCACTCGAGGCGACCCAGCACACTCTCCCGTCGGCCGTCCGTTCACCGACGACCCAGCGAGGCACACCGACCCGACTCTGCCTCCTGGGAGGATGTCATTGACATGATCTATGAGGAAGGCGGAGAGGCTCACTGTGACTTTGACTGGAGTATCCTTGACGCTGATGAGCCCGACCTGGAGGACTTTCTGGAAAATGGTGACTCCACTCTTGAAAGCTCGGGGGAACTCGACACGCCTGCATCGGGCGGCTCTCCCCAGCCTCAGATTCCCGCCAAGAGTGCCCTGCGCCCTCGACCCGATGCTGATCTGGCTTTGCGACCCCTTCCCGAACTTCCCAGCTCCGACTCCTTGCCGGACCTCGACCGACGCTCGGGCATGTCCGCCAGCACCAATAGTATCGGCGCCTTGACGCCGTTGGATCAAAGCTACCAATTTCCACCCATTCCGGCGGTCCCAGCCAAGGATGGGCGACGAAGGTCACCGCTGATCGAGGTTAATAACCAGAGTGACACCTCCATCCCGGAGGGAGCGCGAGATCCGTTTGCAATGAACATTGATCCGTACAGCTCGCCGTTCTATACGGCAGCTCCGACCTCCCATCCGACCACGGAGCAGTCGACCAACCCGCCACCAAAATCGGCGGGCAGCACCACATCTGTGCCAGGTTCCAACGGCACCCCTCCCCCCGCTCGATCTCGCCACTCGAGGTTCTCTTCCATCGACTCCACTCACCTCCGCGACTCTCCAACCCATCTCGTCGCCATGAACGACCTCCGCCGCAGCAACTCCACCTCCACCCAGTCTCCCCCTCATCAGCGCACCCACTCCCGCACCCACTCCCGCTCCCATTCCCGCTCCCACGCCCTCGACCTCGCTGTCCCCGACGCCTGCACCACTGCCCTCACCGTCGACTCCATCGTCGCCCAGCTCCGCTTCGACGCCGGTACGCGCGCCGGTTCTGGCCGCGGTTCTCCCGAGCCCGCCCGCCCCGAGGACGTTGAGCCCCGGTCGAAAATCACCGTGCGCAAGGACCTCGACCCGCAGAAGAGCGAAGAGCTGCTCATCCAGATCCCGAGCCCGCTCGAGGGGTCCCGCAAGACCAGCTACGGTTTCCTGAACGCCGCGGCATCGCCCCCGACGGATGCCGGTGCGCCTTTGCCCAAGCCGCGGGAAACGAGGAGCTATTCCCGAGGTACCGTCGACGTTCGGCCCTCTTCGCCCGCGATGTTCTCCCCCTCCACCACCGCCACCACCAACTCCACCACCTCCACCCGCGACTCCACCTCCCCGTTCCGCTCCCCGCCCGCCACCTTCTCCCCCTTCCCCCCCTTGTCCGCGACGCTCCCCCTCCCCCCCATGCCCCGTCCGTCGACCGCGGCGGGCAGCGCGCATAAGAAGACCGTATCCGAGGGCAATGTGACGCGGCGTCCGTCGACGGCGATCGGGAAGCGGAGGGGGTTCGGACACCATCCGATCGCGGCGCCCGCGGCGGGTGCGAGCGGGCCACCGACGCTGTTCCCGATGGAGGGGAAGAAGAAGAAGAAGAATAGTCTTTTAGCGTCGGCATTTGGGATGCCGATGCCCACGACGGCGGGGTTGAGGAAGGTGCAGACGGCGACCACCTAGCCTGATTTTATTTTTTTGTTATCGGTTCTCCTCTACCTGTGGGGAGCCTTGTTATCTCTTTCATTGGTCTGTGTGGCATATTTGTTTTTCTCTAGGATAAGGATACCTTGGGATCGGGATTGGCGGTTTTTTATTATTCCCCGTAACTGTTTCGATTACGCCGACACTCGCTTGCTGCTGGGTACTGATGGGACTAGATCATGATCTTTGTAGATATTTTGGGAGGATCAAAAAAGGGCATCATGATCGACTTACTGTCGCTAACGATTCGGGATTGGGGGATGGGGGGCGGACTGCTGCGGTCGAAAAAGGACGCCCACGCTCGCTTGGAATGAAATGTATGGGACATGGCTTAATGATGGATCCTAAAGAATGGGGTTGGGAAATGGTCTATCTATTACTTTTGGACATTCTCTCATTGTATATGGAAAGGATTCAAAACATCCCTTCGAAATATGTGGTGTGTGTACGTGGTGAATGAATGATGCTCTCAGCTCTCGACCTCTCGCTCCTTTGCGTTGTTATTGTCCGTCGCATTAATTAGCTAATCGAGCTATAACTATAATACCGCTAGTTCCCTAGCTGTTCTGTATTGCGTGTTATAAATAACTCTCATTCGCTGATTGCTACCGCTATTCATGTCATCCAGCGTCATTCGATTCATGAACCATGCGCAACATCCGGGTCGTTGGAGCTTCATGACTTCAGGCCACATCAACAACTCCATCCTTGAATACGCTCTTCTTCTCTCTATTATCATAGATATACCTCGAGTTCCTCTCATCCCATATATCTCTCCCATATTTAAGTCGCAAGGTCAGAGGGCGCCTACCTTCCTCTATCCAACACCATGGCGCCGCAAATATCATATGCGAAAGCAACCCTCAACTACCCTCTGTACTCCGCCGCATTCGATCCCTACAATCGCGGCTACTTGCTAGTTGGCGGCGGCGGAGGGGAAGGGAGGAGCGGTGTTCCAAACAAGATTGTAAGTCCATTCACCCGTACCTGACAAGCTCCTCCGCTAGAGTAAACCGACTTGTATGATATCGGCTTAGACTTCGACAGACACTCCTCGACGTATCCTCCCGCAGCGCAATCGAAGAGGTCGGCGAGATCGACCTCCCTCGTACCGAAGACAGCGTCAACACGCTCGCGAACCTAGGGACCAGCGCCGGCGTCATCGCGCTCGCCGGCATCAATTCCAGCACCGAAGACTGCAAACGGGGGCAGAACGAGCATTTTCGCACGTACAGCGTCGTGTATCCCGAGCCCAAGACAGGCAAAGGGTCGAAGAAAAATGCGAACGGAGCGCAGGATGAGAAGCAGACACCCGGGAAGATCGAACCGCTGAGCAAATGCCGCGTGTTTTCGACCCAGAAGGACGACAGGGCGCGGGTGGATGCGTATCAGCGGATATTGCGGTTGAGTCCCGCAACGATCAAACCTGGCAAGCACCATGGCAATAAGAGGATCGGGGCGATTGCTACTGGCCTTGCCAAAGAGAGCGAACTGGTAGTGTTCAATGGGACGGTGACGAGACCGGACGAGAAGGACATCATTCGGCGGATTACTCCACCAAAAGCAGCGGAGGTGATAGACATGGACATTGCGGAACCGGACGACGGATACTTTCTTCTCACCTATGCAACCGACGGGGAAGTGTTCCTCGGCGAGATCGCGTATGATTTTACCAAGAGGAAGGCGAAAGGGAAGCTTTCCGACCCGCACAAGATCTTCTCGATGCCTTTCCCAGACGTTTTCGAATCCCCCACCGGCCGATCGAAGTTTCGGTTCGTCCGATTCCTGACCGCTGATCATCTTCTCCTCCTCCAGAACCATATCACATCGAACGGTAAGGTCTGCGAGCTGGTCATTATGAAGGTATATCCCTCCGGTGGACCCGGCGATATTCTGCTGCGGAAACGGTTCTCGAAACGGCTGGGACCGAGCGTGGGGATGGACGTTTGCGCTCTCGACGCGGACGAGACCACTGGAGCCAGACAGTTCGCCGTCGCCGTCGCGGGCCAGGATCGGTCGATCGTCGTCCTTACAGTCGACTATAGCGGCAAAAAAACAGATCAGTTCGGGCCCTTCCGAACGGTCACCACCATCAAGGACGTCCACGCGCACACGATCACCAAGGTCGTCTTCTCGCCGTTTATCCCGCCCGCCAAATACACCGCCGCCTCCTCGAAACCCTTCCTCTTCCTCGCCTCCACCTCCATCTCCCACACCGTCTCCGTCGAGCACATCCCACTAACCACTACCACTACCTCCACCGACACCCCCCGCCACCTCCTTTCCCCTCCTCAATCCGCTCTCACCGCCCTCTCCGCCATCTCCTCCCCCCTCATCTACCTCGCCGCCTTCCTCCTCGTCTCCACCATCGTCCTCCAATCCTTCTTCGACTACCGCACCGCCACCTCCAACTCCCCAGCCGTCCAGCTCATCCCCAACGCCATCCGACAGCCCCTCTCCCACCTCCGCGACGCCTTCAGCCAGATGAACGCCGCACGCCAACAGCCCACCCCCAAGCTGCGCGAACTCCGCCAACGCGTCCTGCCCGCAAAACCACACTCTACCCCTCTAGAACCTGGCAAAGCCGTCCTCGTAACAGCGCCGGAAACTGAAGGCATGGGTGGGAAGCTGCTGGCCGAGCTCCACCACGACGAGGCGGTGCTGCATGCGGATCCGGGGGCGAGGCGGTGGGAGGAGCTGAGTAAGCGGGAGCAGGAGTCGTGGAAGGGGCGGTTGGTAAGGGCCGGGGAGTGGGCAGTGGAGGAGGGGGAGACGGTGTTGAAGGGGGTGTTCTTTTCCGGGCTGGCGGGGTTCGTGGGTGAGGCGGCGCGTGAGGCGATGGGGTGAGGGGAGATGATTTGAATTGATTTGGGAGAGTTTAGGTGGTGGTGGAGGGTTGGCGTGGAAATAGTACATGTATATAACGAGAATGTGTTTGCTTGGGTTGATGGATGGATTGGATTGGATATGGATGATTTTTAATAGCTTGTGGGATCGTAAGCCGCTTCGAATCACTCTTTAGGGGCAATAAAAGCATGTATAGCTCTCAATGTCGAGCAAGGTCATTTATCCGCTAGATGATAATACGGGATAATCAATAAGTCAAAGCCTATTTCAAAACTAAACATGGGGGTGTCATGTTATCCAGGAAGATAGCCCTACTGTCCTTGAACGCTCCTGGGAGCACCGCTCAGCCTCTCAGGAACGTCTCGATGAACCTTGCCTTCCGCTCATGGCTAGACTTGTGCTTTGCATTGCTAGCCATCGTCGAAGGCCTCACCACCGCCTCTGCGAATATCGTCGCATAGTTGAGTTCCATCAGCTGCTTTCTCGCCTCAACCGGGTCCGCGCTCAGCGTCTTCCTCCGCCGACTCACCCTCGGGCTCGCGGGGAGCTCGATCGGGTGTGGCAACGCCCTATGACGGCTTTTGGACGCGGAGACGACTTCCGAGATGATGCGTGAGAGCATGGTGGTCAGGAGGAAGAACGAGGCGTTGTGGATCGGCGCCTCGGCCAGTCTCTCGAGGAACGAGGCGCGGTCCTCCTCGAGGCTGCGGTGTTTCTTTGCCTTCTCGTGGGAGATCATGGTGAGTTCCAGGGCCTCCCACCGCGACGTGGTGACGAGACCGTCATCCATGCTTCGAAGGAAGGTAAGGAGCGCATCAGCTAGGCATTCAGCCTTGCGAATCGATGTGTCCTCCAGCGAGAAGGCCTTCTCAAAGCCATGATCGCAATCCACGGCATCCTGAATCTTCCACAAGATCTCCTTCCTCTTCTCCTCGTCCTGGAAGGTCCAGGAGTCCTCATGGAACGGCCACGCCGCATTCTCGATCCACGGTGCCACATCGTCTGTGCCTGCAATCATATCAAACTCAGCCAGCGACCGCTGGATCATGTGTTCTAGCGCCTCCGTCAGCCGGAATAATTCGCGAGGTGTCGACCACTTTACCCCCGGGGGATCCGTCGCGGGTGCCGACCCGGAGCCGCCGGACGCGGACGCTCCGCTTGACCGCGACGACTTGGAGCTGCCGCTGCCGTGCGGTTTCTGGCGCTGGAGCTTGCGCACGCCGCCTTCGGGGATGCGGATGAGCTTGTCCACGGTGGAGCCGAGACTGGAGCGGAGCCAGTGGCCGTGGATGGGGAGGAAGTGGTCGCGGCCGTTCTCAACGCGGAGAATGAGCACGTCGTCCAGAGTGGCGGTGTGGTTGTTGAGGGCCTTGACGAGATCCGTGTTGTCCACGCGGAGGATCAGGACCACGGTTGTGGCTTCGCCGGGTTCTAGAAGGTAAGTTTTCAGTCCTAGGCCGTTTCTGACGGCCGAAGCAGGGGGATTAGGTTCCGGGTCACGGTCGAATCCAATAACAAGCCAGGGGGGTGTACTACCTCTGGATTGCCCTTCCGCCACGGCTCGATCGACGAACGAGATCCGCGCAGGAACTTGCCCCGTATTGGCAACGGTGAGTTGGCGTCTCCGCAATTGCCCATACCGGACCTTTCCAAAGTTTATGCTATCGGCGTTTTGTGGATTAGTATCCGAGAGTTCCTCATCCTCGTTGTCGCCCGAGGAGGGGTCGGTTAAGACGGTCACCGTCGGTCGTCCCTCGTTTTCAGCCCTATCCAACTCCCGAGCGACTTCCTGGTGGACCTTGGCTTTCAGTTCTGGTATGACCGAGTCGTATTTGATCAAAAAGATGGCTTCGAGCGGCTTGTGGTCAGAGGACAATACTCGTTGATGCGAGCCGTATGCCTCAAGCGTAATCGTATCTTCAAAGCCTTCTCTCGTCATCACCCGCTCCATGGCCAAGCCAGCGTCCTCATCGTAACTGCCCGCATCTCCGTCCGCATCAGGGTCGTAGTCCCAAAGAACACCTTCATCTGCGGAAGTGTCGTCGACACCACGAGATTTCATCTCCTCGTCCCGCTTCTTTGACTCCTGTTCCTCTTTAATTTGGGAGTCGTAGTCGAGCTTTGATTTCCTGGTACGATAGACGACCCGGTCGCACCAACTAGGACATCTCCTTTTCTCGCTGGAGTCGAAATCCCCGACAGTGCCCACATCATACTTGTACGTTGGCAGAAATCTGATTGGCCCCTCTTTCCAACCGTCGTGAAACGCTTTTCTTGCCTTCATCTGCAGCTGAAGCTCGTCATGAGGCAGTAAAGAGGCGAGCGTGGCTTGGAGCGAAGATGGATCGAGATCATGGGGAATCTCCAGGGCTGAATCCTGTTTCTCGTCGCTGCGGGGCTCGCCAGCGATCCCAACCGTAGAGAGCTTAGAAGATAGTCGAGCGCGGGATTTGGGCCGGTCTCCGGATCCCAGGTTCCGGATATCCTCTTCGTTCTTGGAGGCGTCGTACTTCCCCAAATCGTACTCATTTCGCGTGTGAAGCATCAGAAGCCTCCGGACGTCTTCGCCAGGCGTGCCGTCCAGTCGATAGTTAAAGTCGCCAAAGCAGAATGCAAAATCTTCGTCGCCGATCGATTCGGCATTGGTATGCTGAAAGCCAAAAACGTCGTCAATGGGATCAAAACGCGTCCGACTCATAACCTGGCCAAAGTCCCAGTTCCTGCGCTCCAAGGCAGCGCCATCAGCGCCAGCTGCAAGATGACAATTGATGAAAACCAGTCGAGTAGTTTCTCCAAGAACCAATCGGGCAGTAACGGCACCTTTGTTGCCCATGTATCCCATCAGTCCGGTCCCCACCGATGTGGTGCTGATGGACTTTAGCTCCGGCGCCACGTCAGGAGCTGCGTATATCAAGAGAAGAAGGCCAATCAGCTGCTGCTCTGCCACCAGTTCGTATCCAGCCGGTAGCCCGGCCTCGATGGCACTCTTGAACTTGTTCGCCGGACCGGGGTCGGTATACGGTCGAATGTTTTCCGTGGGACTGGCGACATCCACGACCTCCTGCAAGCCAAGGACGTAAAGCCCAACTTCATCCCCTCTGGGGGGAACGCCGTCGTCGTTCCTCGGCACGGTTGACTCTTTCTGCGTCCTTCGAAGCTCTTGGTTGACCACATTCTCGACCTCCGGGCCGTTTTCTGAATGGCTTCCATGCTCTTCCCGTGAAGTCGTGGCAGACAGGCCGCCTAATGATTCCGTGACTCCTTTTCCGTCGATAAACCAGTCCCCAAGATCTTGCTCCGTGCCTTTCAAGGCAGCTACGTTCCACGAGCCGACGCGGATACGCAGAGATCGCGGTCGCACGAACTCATGGCGTCTGGCGTACACGCCTTCGGCCAAACTCTGTTGGTTGGGCGTCGCTGCTGAGTCTTGACCGTTTCCTGGGAAAGCTCCTGGTAGCGAACTCGACACGTCGTCTGCTCCGGGGGGTTGATCGGCCGAAGACATCTGTGCTTCCTCCCCGGCTGTTATCGGACCGTCTGGCTAAACATGGAATGCTTTATAAATGCAAACTTAAAACAATGAATTAAAACTCTTCCACTGCTGTGCTGGATGCTAAGAGTTGCACTGAATGTAACCTAAGGGTATATATTGGAACTGTTGTCACGCCCCGAGTCCTCGTGCCATCCGGATGTCTATGACGATCTCGACCCGATAGGGCTGCACCGCCACATATGATCAGCATGCACCGCCACAGTATCTCGCTCTATATCAGATATGCCATCTATGATACTTCAGTTACAACTCAACTGTATGGTGTTGATCCAAATCTACAAGACCGCAGAAGTTTGAACGAATAGACGGGCTGTTATAACAGTGAAGCCTTTCCAGAGCTTGTGAAGAATTCCAATCGTTTACTGATCGAGTCTCTCCCTTCTATCCCTCTACCACTTCACAATGCCTCGCAAACAACCACGCAACCGACCACCCTCCCAACACGTCCTAACCGTCCCTACCGATTACGAAACTGATGAAGCCACCTTCTCTGATGCAATAAACATGTCTGGTGCCCCTCGAGGACCTCTGACCACTTCCGCCCTAAACCTCGTGGTCATCCGCCGACACAACCCCTCCATTGTCTCTATCCTCGCCATCGCCCCATACGCCGTCGTGTACACCTTCAACACCGCCTCCCAAGAATGGGAGAAATCCAACGTCGAAGGATCAATGTTCATCGTCGCCCTGGAAGGAACCCCCGCCGCCCCCGAGCGATTCGCCGTCATGATCCTCAACCGGCGCGGGCTAGATAATTTCTTCACCGAGCTGTTCAGCCCCGACGACGTGGATGACACGGAGGAGTACATCATCCTGCAAACCGAGGCGCCCGACGGCGTGGGGAACCCCGGCGTGCCGATCATCTACGGTCTCTGGATCTTCTCCGAGAGCGGCGGCGCCACGCAGAACGCGGTCATCGACCGGGCCACGATCGCGAAGCTCATCGGCGAATGCGCCGAGCGGACGAAGGAGAGCAGGAGAGTTGCGGCGGCCGCGGCGCCTCAAGTACCGGAAGAACACCAGCACCATGTGCACGCCGAGATCGCGCAGGCGGAAGCGAACCTGAACGATTCCGAAGACCCGACCTCCGCGCCTATGGGCCGGCAGATCTCCCTCCGCCAACTCTTCGGCCACCAGAGAGAGGTGGACAGCGGCTGGAGCGTGCATCACCACGAGACGAACAGCAACCCCCTGCAGCCTCCCACGCAATCCTATCAACAACCACCACCGCTAGCCGTGCCGCGGAACAAACCACCGACCGCCCAACATCCTCCCGCACCCCCGTTTCCACACCACCAACCTCCGCAACCGACGGCGAACGCATTAGAAGCGACGCGGAGCGAGATGCAGTTTGCACCGACGCCGGAGATGGAGTTCTTCCAGACGGCGAAACCGTTCACCCCGCCTGTGCCGCCGGCGAACGGGGCCGGGCCGACGCCGGGACAGGGGCAGCAGAACGCGTTGTTGGATTTGTTCAAGAATGCACAGGTGAGAAGGGAGTCGTCGGGAGGGTTCTAGGGAGGGGGATTTCGGTTGTATTCGCTTAGCGAGGATGATGTATACCCCGAATGGAGTTTCAGGCTGGGTTGAAACGGCGCATGGGATCGAAACGCTGTATGATTAGGTTATGCAAGGACGCGTAGGACGGGCGGTTATATGAGATGAGCTCAATTTCGACGTGAATGCAAAAGTAATCAATAGCGAAAGGTATCCGCTGTATGAACACGGCCTGCTCCTCTCGGCTCAACCACACAGGTTCCAACCTCGTACACTCTCCAACCCTACTCCCACCCCACCCAATCCCTCCCCACCACCCTCCACACCTTCACCTCCCCACTCCGCAAATCCCCCACCCGCCAACTCTCCGCTCGAACCTTCCCCTTCTTCCCCTCCGCCACCTGCTCGTACCCGCGCACCTTCTTCTTCGTCCCATCCCACTCTATCACCACCGCCGCATGCAACCCTCCCATCCCCACCTCCGCCGTGTACTTCGCGTGCATCGCCCCATGCTTTCCTTGGAATTTCGCGTTGCGGAACGTGATGATGTCGCCCGGCCGGATCTCGTCCGACTGCGCGACCGACGAGTTCGCGAGGTTCGTGTAGATGGGTACGCCGAACGAGCGCGCGCCGATCGGCGGGAGCGCTGTGGCATGGGGTCGGAAGAGCTCGTAGATGAGTGCGAGGGGGGTCCCGTCGCCGATGAGGGCGTTGGCTTTGTGGGCGACGTCGTCGGCGATCTTGGCGCCGAAGGTGGCGTGGGCGGCTTCGAGGGCGTCTTGGCGGGGTGGGGGCGGGGGCGGGTCGTGGCGTTGGTCGAGGCGGCAGTCGGGGGCGTGGGCGACATTGTAGCGGGTGGAGATGGTGGTCTGGCTGTAGTCGGGGTAGAGGACGAAGATGTCGCGGGAGGCGATGGTCTTGTCGCCTCGCTGGGCAGTGGAGCGCTCGCCGTGTTCAATTAGGACGTCGCGGCGGGTTTGCAGGCTGGGGGGGAGGCCGTTCGGGTGGGAGTACCACAGCGTGGCGCGGTCCAGATCGACGTCGCGGGCCATGTAGCTCTGGTCGTGGGATTGACGCGACACGTCAGTGGACTTGCGGGAATGGGAAGGAGGCTGCTCGATATCTTGTGATGGACGTGGTGCGGCTCGACTCGAGCTCCTTCCGGGCGCGGCTGGCACCGCTGCCGGGGGAGGCGGAGCGTGGCCCTGTGGCAGATGTGGTATCGGGTGCTGGTGGACGGGAGGTGATTGAGGAGGTGGAGGTGGAGGGCGGTCTACGGACTTGCGAGGCGGGGGTGCTCCATACAGGTCATCCTCGTCGTCCTCTTCACGCGGAGTTGCTTGCGGAGCTGGTGGAGGAGGCGGACCGACAGGCGCGGGAGGAGGGGCGGCCCGAGAAGGAACCGGTCGGGATGTCGGTGACGTGTACTTGTACGGGTCATACTCCTCCTCTTCGGCAAGTGTATCCCGTGGCGGCGGAACTGGGGGCGGCGGGGCCCTGGGCCCGTCAACGGAGCGCCTTGGGGGTGCTTGTTGAGGCGGCGGCGGGGGGACAGCTCGATGAATAGGCGGAAGAGGAGGAGCCCCACGCGTGGAATTATCATCGGCTACGGTGCTGCCATCGATGCTTGGCTCTCGGATATGTGCTTTGAGAGCATCCTTATGCTTAGCGCCAGAAGCAATGTCAGTGTCATAGTCGCCTTCGTATTCACTCTCCCCTTCCACGCCATCTCCACCGGCGATCGATCGTGACAGGCTCTCGGATGTGCCTTGCCTGCTCGGAGGAGCTCCCGGAGGCGGAGGTGGTGGTGGCCTAGATGCCGTTGCACTAGGCATGCCGCCCATTGGGAACACTGGCACTCGTCCTGACCCTCCCGGTGAAGTCGGAGACATCGCAAGGGGACTGTGCACGGAAGTACGTTTTGGAGTCGACTGCCCCTGCGGCCTTGACGGCATAGGAGGTATGCTCGCCGTCGGGATGGGTGGGGGTGCTCCACGGAGAGGGAGACTATTATCTCCCGAGCTTTGAGGCATCTCGTCATCGGACTCGGAGCCTGCACTAGGGGATTGGATCAACGATCGCGGTGGCTCTATGGGCGTAGCTACACATCGTTAGCCACTGGAGTGTGCACCTAGTTTCGGTTAACATACCCTCTGCCTTCGGGCGATCGCTCGGCACCGGTGGTGGCGCCGGCCGTTCTTGAGTTGGGACTGGTGGTGGTGCACCGCGATCTATCCGAGGTCAGCATGTCACATCGCAAGAATAGATAAGAAATGTTCCCGAGCTCATAAACCCACTCAAAGTGTTCAACATCGTTGATTGAGCCGCATCACGGAGAAGAGCGCGTCGAGCGGACAACCTCCGCTCGATATAATTTCTCCGATCCGCCAACCGATGTGAGTGACTTCTCCTAGGATCCGATGTACTCATGGCCTGGATTGGGACGAGCGTACCTTGGGCGAGGGAGGGACGCGATGGCGGCTCTTCCTGAGCGATTGTTTCTGCGTCGTCGTCGTCGTCCTCGTCATGCGCGGGACTCGATTCAGACGGCTCCTCTGGAGCTCGGGGAGCACCCATTCCTGGAATGGGGATCATCGGAACCCTAGGTGCCGACGAGGGTGCGGGTGCGGGCTCAGCCTCCTCCTCTAGTATCTTTTCTGACGGTTTCTTCTTCTTGGGTGCTCCGGCAGGGGCCGGCATACCAAACATGCCAGCCATGCCCATGCCGCCGCTCAACTTCGCCATGCGTTCACGAAGCGCGAGTTGTCGTTGAGCTTCCTCATCCATATCGTCTTCCGTTGTATCCTCTTCATCTCCTACATCTGCTTGCTGGGCGGTTGCGGCAGGCTGCGGCACCTTTCCTGGAGCTTTGGGTTCCACTTCTTCGTCATCAAGGCCAGTCGAGGTTTCTCCCGCGTCTTCTGTAGTGTCACCAAGGCCGGACTGATCCGCGTCATTTCCGTCACTAACTGGTTCCCGATCGCGCGGTTCGCTCGGCTTTGAAGTCTTTGATGTCATCCGAGTGAGGGCGGGTTGATGGGCATGCTCATGAGGTTCGTCGGATGACATGGGAGCATCGGCCGAGGCGGTTGGTTCCGGCTCCACGCTGGTGGCTTGCGGTGTATCCTTGTCGTGTGATTCAACGCGCTTCTTGGGAGGCCGCTTAGGCTTCTCTTTCTGAGTGCTTTCGCTTCTCTTGGCGGCCTGCTCCATTTGTTGCTTCTGGAGCAACGCAATCCTCTCTTTCAGGCTCTGAGGCTTGGGAGCATCTTCGCCGCCCTCGTTTGCAGCATCCCCAACCAAGCCAGCCTTTTCCGCGATTTCTTGGTCTTGTGCCCGTCGCTCCGCAATTTCAGGATCTTCGTCTCTCTTGTACAACTTTTGTGTTGGGGCGTCACGGGGTGGCGGGACATATGCGTCTCGGCTTGGTGGAGGAGCAACAAACGGCTTCTTGATAAAGGTGGTGCTGGAAGATCCGCCGGGTTTGAACGGGGCAATTGGTGGAGCGGCAGTTTTGTTGAAAGCTGCGATGCGGTCTTTGAAGGCGTTCGATTTGGCTGCTACCGGTGGAGGTTTCTTTTCGACAGGTGGAGCTGGAGCCTCGGACTGAGTAGGGGCAGCAGGAACCGGCTTTGGTGCAGGAGCGGGTTCATATTTGATTTCAGGCTCCTCGCGTTGAGGAGATGCGAGAGGAACGGGGGCTGGTATTTCTTGGGGTGCTGCTACCGGCTCTTCTTTGACGGGTTCCGGTTTTGTAGCCAGAACGATCGGCGGCTCTGATGGCTCTTCGGGTGCTGGTGCCTTCTCAGGAACCGGTTCCGTCGGTTTGGGTCTGGATGCTCGGTTGGGTCGTGGAGGTGGCGCGGGTTCATATTTCTCGACGAAGTTTCTGGGAAACAGGCCGGATTTCTGCTCTCCGGAAGCATCGGCGTATTCGCCAACATACCAGTCGGCATCCTCCTCTTCGGTGACGGTGATGATCTGACCGTCTTTGAAATTCAGATCGTCATCGTGGGGTGAAGTGTATTCGTACACCGCCTTGACCTTGAACGGCGGGGACGTCATTACGACGGCGGATCAAACAGGAACGCTCCAAGAAGGAAGTAACGTAATACGGATGATTGAACAGGTCCAATTTCGGTAGAAACGACGCTTAAGGTGGAGAGCGTATCTGGAGAGGTTTGTTTGGAGACACTCTGGGGAGCCTGGAGACTCCAGCGGGGCAGTGTTGGTGTGTACGTCAGCAAAGATGGGAAGGAGCGGGCTGGAAAACAATCGATGGAACAGGACGATGGAAATTGATGAAGCAGAAGACCATCAAGGAGAAGTGGGAAATATTAAAGACCAGTCCAAGAGCGGATCGAGAGCATGAAGAGCTATGGACGAAAGAGAGGAGTGGTGAATTCGAGAGGGATGTAGAGGAGGAGGAAGCTTCTTAGAGTTGTTACTGTAGGCGAGAGAAGCCGGGATGAGTCTTGGCATTGTCGGTCCTTCAATGGAGTGTCGCAGTCAGTTTCACATCTGATATCAAACTCCAACTGCGGACTCTCCTCTAATAGTCTATTCGGTCCAATCGTCCACCCTGAACATCAATCATCCCACACCTTAAAGGCTTAACAGGCTTAACAGGCTTAACAGGATTAACGGGCTTAAAGGGCTTAAAAGGCTTAAAATTTAAATAGTTCCTGGTTCAATCATGGATCCTATGGCGTTGGATTCCATCCTCGACGCCCCTCCCGTTTCAAGAGGCAGCAATCTCGACCCTCAAGATGCAGAGGCGAAGAACAAACGTAACCGTGAAATCGCGGTCCACCATGCACGGCTGATCCAAGCCCAGAAGGATGCCGAGGCTCGCATCCTCGAGTCGATAGAAGAGCTGATTGAATTCCCGCTATCAAAAGACGCTGATCCGGCTAATCCTGCAGCTTCCGACCTTCAACGAATTCAGACGCTGCTCGCGGCCTTTCAACCCAGCGACTTCGATGACCTCCTCGAAGAACGACGCTGCGCGGACCTGTGTGCGTATGTGCTATGTCCTCGCCAACCGCGACGACAGCTAGGGGACTCGGAGTTTGATTTGGTGTGGGGTGTCGCAGACATGAAGATCCTTCCGCATCGAAACACGAAGCTCTGGTGCTCGCCGGAGTGCGCCAAGCGGGCGATATACATCAAAGTCCAACTGATCGAAGAGCCCGTCGCGTTCCGAAAATCTGGAGCCACGCCGCCTATCTCGATCCTGAAGGAAACATCCGGAGACGACCCGGTGGTTCCGGACATCAGGAAGCCAACAGCGGATCGGAATCCGGACTTGAGTCGTGCGTTGGCACAACTGGCTCTCGAACGGGGTGACAAGATCTCGTCCACTCGAGCAACCGACCTGATGCAGAGCGATATCGTCGAAAAGCCCGTCTCGGGAGCCCCCGCAGCGCCCACTCAACTGGCTGCTACCGGTTATGGATCGATAGAGGGGTACATACCCCTCGCTCACACGATGCCGTTGCGGTTGAAGTCCCCAGAGTCCGGTGTTGGGCAGAAGGGGTGAAAATGACTCTTCTACCGACATTTCCATTAAGATGGAAGCCCTCCGCCTCGCAGTCTATCGGTCATACTGGCCGATTCGACGCTTATCCAAGCATTCCTACTTCCTGCTGCAGCCATCAGCCTATCACAACAGCACAAGGCTACAGTTGGGGACACCAGGACGCTCGGAGGATAGAACATGACGCATCATAATATATAGCGCATTGGGAGGGAAGAAATTGAGCTTGGCCTTCCAATCCCAGAAGGGGCCTAAACGTATCGAATATTTCGGTATCAGCCTTCATCACGGATTTTCTCAAAGGAGATCGACTGAAACCAGCCGCGAAGTACCGACAAACATTGCCCTCTATTGTTGGAGATCGATGTGATCAGCGGCGTTGAGCACAAAGTGCTCAGCTGGAATCCAGGATCAAGAAATTGCAAGTTGCCACTTTATGAGTCTTTCAGATTCATGTACAAGAACAATGGCATTAGGTCTCCGGCAAAATATCTGCCGAATGAAACCGAAACAAGCAAACAGCCGACATGCTATGACCAATCCTTAGTCCTATACACCGAAATCGTGGTATCATTCCACGCTCTGCCCGACCCATGTCTACCGAAACAGACCCGAACGCCGATTCCCTTATGCATTCCTTATTTCGGTCCGTAGAACCAGTACTCCGTCGCATATTGCACCTGCACCCCCTCCGCCCCAATCCCCTCACACGTCTCTGGCGCCACCCCCCCGGCCGTCTCCACCCGATACACCACGCTCACCCGCCCATCATTCCCCGTCTCCCAATCCCCCACCAACCTTAACCAATCCACCGCCCCCCGATCCTCCGGCCCGGGACACGCCCCCTCCGGCGCCGGCACGTTCCCCCCCTTCTTCACCACCGCGCGCACCGGTACCGCCGCCCCGCTCAGATCGAAAATCGGCACCGTCGCCGCCACCCCGGGCGTCCCGTCGAAGAAATGCCGGCCGATCGGCGTCACCGCACTGCCAACGGCGCTAGGGAGGTCGTGCAGGCGCCCGGTCGTGGCGAAGCTGAGGGCGAGACCTGGGAGCCACTTGGTGGCGGCGGGGCCGATGAAGGAGGTGAAGAGGGGGGAGACGTCGTAGAGGTCGGCAACGGCGCCGAAGGGGGTGGGAGCGGTGGCGGAGGGGCTGCAGGTGTAGTTTTGGGTGCCGACGCCGAGGGTGACGTATTTGAGAGCGAGGGAGGAGTCGGGGGGGAGGAGGGCGGAGGGGGGGAGGGCGAGGCGGGAGAGGTCAGGGGTGGAGGGGCGGGCGGGGAAGGCGGTAGTGAGGGAGAGGAGGGAGAGGAGGGCGGTGGCGGTTGGGATGTGCATGGTGAAGGAGTGCTCAGTCGCGGTGGGACTGGCTTGAGGTCGTTGGAAGAGGATACGGTGTAGTGATATCGAAGGGTTATGATATAAGACTCAATGGATTTGTGTCTGCGATACCATAAAATGCTGAAGTGCAATTCCGAACAACTGCGGACGGCAAGAAGAGAACCAAGACCTTGAGAAAGGAATGTTATCTGAAGAACACTGGAACAGTGGAACGGGAAAGAGGTTGGACTCGGAGACGAGGCAAGATGGAATGGTATTGAGTGGATTACTAGATGATTGTGTAACTTCGTACCACAGGGTGAGCTATCCTTTATATCCATGGTGATTCTTGTCTTCCCAATTCCAACACCCCCGACAGCATGCCAGGGAGTCGCGACATCTGCAGACTTGCATATTACGCTGGGGCATATGCAGGCTTACCACCAACCTCGACAAGCGCGTGAGAATTGCAAAACGTGGAGGCGTGCACTATACACCGGAATTAGCATGCCATGATTCCATCTAGGCCTAGGAGCCCCGTCCACCGTCTGTGCAGACCCGGACGGATCAACTCATCATCAACCTAAGCCTCTCTGACACCTTGCCACCAAGCGGGTAGCGGTTCCGAACGCTGGCGGCAGCCGCAGCAGGTCCTCGAAGCTCCCAATTCAGGAATCGTGGCGGGAAACGATGGGGAGGGTGTTGGGTTGCGGGGGGGTGCGGAAGGACGCTCTCGTCATCTTGCCTGCTGAACCTGAAACGGGAAACGAAGAAGAAAAGAACGAGGGACGGCGGCGATGGAAACGTCGGAGAAGGGAAGGGATACGGGATACTGGAAGATCCAGGTATCCCCCGCCTTCGTGGACGGGGGTTCAATCAAAAGAAATGAGGACGGCGATATGAGGTATTGCGATTTGATTGCGATGCGGCGAGCAGGTTCAACTGTCCGTGACGAGAAAACCATGAGCGACGTTGGTCTGGATGTTGGTTAGACGACTTCTAGACGCCGTCCAGCCACCCAGAACTCAACATTTCTCGCATATCCCGGGACGTGCAGCAGGACTTCGGAAATGCAAACCTACCAGCGTGGAGCATTTCTGCCACCCAACGCCCCCAGACAGGGACTTAGGACTATCGTGTAACGGGCCAACGGCTCGAACAGATTACAGTATAGTGAGGACCGATCATCCGATCTGACGAGATGCCAGGCGGCCCAGGCCCCTAACGCATCTTCCATAAGACCAAAGCCCTGGTGCCGGCTGGTGGCCTTCAAAGCGCAGCAGAGTTAGAGTTCTCACCACAGACGACCCATCTTTAACGGCCGTCAGAACTCAAAAGTCAAAAATCTGAACTTACCATCCACAACAACGTGGCTCAAGCTCACTCTAAGCTTACCCGCACCGCCGGGAAGTTGACGCAATCCGCATGCCAATTCTTGACAAATCCACCTCATAATTGTTAATATCGACACCTGCCACCGGCGGTAATGGAAGGTGGTGGTCGGAGTGAGAGGGTCCTCGGACGCTAGAAGCTCGATCGAGTTGGTGCTAAATGTAGGCGCTTAAGTCGTGTATTCTCGGCTTGAGACTAGGGCATTGGCAAGCGCCCTTGTCGGCTTGATGCTAATCCCTTCCGTCGACATGGGGTTGTGTTGGGTGGCTTGAGAATAGTTGAGATGCGGACCAGGTGCTGTTGGAGCCTCCGGGGGCTTTTCCGAGGCGTGCAGCGAGCTTCGACGAGGTTCAAATTGGCGTCGTTGATCCGGAATGGAGCCTCTGGCTTCCAGACTCCAGGACGAAAAGAAGAAGGAAACCGAATTATGGAGGTGTTCGGTCCTTGCGATCATGGTGTCCTTCACATATCTGCTGTGGAAGAAATTGATACTCCGTCACGTTTGACACCTTCCTCCCGCCGACCTTAATGGAGCGGAGTAATTATTGTCTCGCCTAATTAAAAGCGGTGGAACACATTATTTCCACTACAGAGGTAACGTACGACAAAAAGAAAGTAATTGAGCGTTGTCAACGCCCTACTATGTAGGGATGTGCTTTCAGGGCACTGATATTTTCTTCCCTCCAGATGCAGGGGCAACACCCAAAGCTACAGCATATACTGAAGCTGACATGTTTCGACTCATGTTTCTCACAAGTACGTGTAACCTGCAGCTGTTCCATGTCGCCTGTCAAACATATTCTGACCTCCTATCTGCTCAGATAAATGTTCACTCTTTCCAAATATCATGCCATGTCACTGGCATCATTCCGTTGCCCTCTCCTGAAAGGGAAGCCTTTCGAAACATGTATTATCACTGATGCCAGCTTTCTGAAGTCTGCCCCCAGGGTTCTAGACCCTTCTCCTCCATCGAAGTTCCAAGACATCTACGAGAGCCGCCGTCCAAGCTGGTAGCTATGCAAAGAATAGCATAATGGACCCTGCAAGGACCACCCGTTCGATCAGGCAAGTCGATGCAAAAAAAGACCGTAAATAAGACCATATGCGGGCATCTGACATGGGTTTTTGTGGTCATCGAATAATAAAGACGAAGATGAGTACTACGTAGACGGTCCACCGGACTTAGCTAATAATAGCACTCCCGAATTGGAAATTCTGGAGGGCAAATTTGGAAGCAAATATGGACAGGATTTGGACTCGAGCCTCGATTTAAACTTATTAGCCACTGGGCAATTGATGCAAATTGCTTTCCTCGGGGACCCCCTGACTGCGCTCTGTTCGACTGATCACTGATGTTCGGCATGAACGCTGTGATTAGTCCAGTGGAGCGATGGACGAATATGCATCATAAATTCATAATGCTTGTCTATCGTCTAATGATTTGAATATTCGACAGATTGACACACAATTCCTTCGTGAAGAGCATTTCCAAAATTTTGGTGTTACGTGACCATTCTCCGCATTGGTTGACGTCCATAATTCCATATCGATTCTGCCCAACATTAGAGCTTGACGGGAAGGCAACGAGCTGGCTGTTCACATGCACTTGCGGTGGAGCCAGTGAACGTGGATAGCATGTATTCAAGCTCGTATAGAATTGTGCGGCATAACCTAAACCTTTCTAATACAGAAATAAAGCGTCAATGCCTCAAATTCTCCTCAAACGAGAAGTATAATGGACTGGCGCGGTGATTCAGTCTGTCCATATGTTTTTGGACAGATCTTCCAAGGAGAACGATGACATATCGACCGTGACGCATGTAGTTCATTCTCTGCCGAGACTCGAGTCGATATTAGTGAAGCCCAATATCGAGAAGACTTGTGGCTCTGTCCAACACGGGTATTTGTTAGATGGATACGGGCGCACGAGGTCGCCGAAGACCTCGTCGGTCGCAGAGCATAGATTCGAAGAACCCCATTGACTACCGGTAAACCCCGAGTCCTTCAATAGGCAGCAGGATGACATGTGAGGAGAATCTTCCAACTCCCGCGAGGTTAACTCCAGACTGGCGTTAAGACACCAGCGACGATTCATCCTGCCGGAGCCTCTAAGAACGTGTAGCCCAAGCAAGCTCGGCGATCGATTAAGCACACGAGCTTGTGGTATTGGTATGCGGATTGTGAAACGGCCAGATACGGAACGGGGTCGTTTCCCAAAATATATCCCGTGATCTCGCCGGCGTCTCCGCTCGGAGGCGACAATCCACTGCAGTATAGCCTATCGACCCACTGATGCATGCTTGACGTTTCGAGCGGTTCGTGACCAAGGGCGAGACGAGATTCTCGGTAGGGTTAGCAGGATTGGCCTTCATAGAGGAGGCAAGTCCTCCAATATCGAATCTGCGACGTCTATCCATGAGGAGCGACTCTGGGAGGTATGACCGAAACAGCGACGACTTCTTGAATGTCATGATTGATTTCATACCTTTGCAAGTTCCGATCAACACAGCGGACTGATGAGTTTATGTCTCGTTTCTTACCGATAAAGAGCCTTGCCAGTTTCGCACTGGCAGACTTAGCTAGACATTACGGGCTGACATAGATATTGAGTATGATATCCTATTGCGGCACGTGGCGATTGAATTCCCAATGTGTACCTCGGCTTACTTTCCATTAAGGATTCGATACGTGGCATACTTGCACCACCGTACCATTGAGGGTGTCGCTATCACGGTGCAGCTTGGAGAAAGTGGTGACAAGAGCTCTTGATTCGGTCGGAGTCGATATATAGAGAGTATCACGTGACTATTAATAGGCTAAGAAGCGGGGTCGGGAGTTGCCGTATCCTTCCTCATTAGGAAGGATCCCAAAGCTCTTCCTCTAACCTCCGCCATCAAATAATTCCCTCCCTTGTGAACGTCAACTCTCTATCTCGTCTTTCACCAACAATTCACCGTTCACATATTGGAGTCATCGGGACGGTAGAAACGTGTTAAATGCCTTCATTTTGACCACCGATTGACTGCCTGCTCTAGGTATGGTGGTCCCCCATCCGATCAACCCCCAATTTGCCACCTGAGCGATCGAAGCTGGTTCCATCACCATATCAAGAACCCCCCGACGAGATCCATCATGGTGAAAGTCTACACGTCCACTTACGCCTACGACCACGCCTTCCCCCTCGTCTCCCTGGCCTACTTCCTCCGCTACCCCAATCCCTACAGCACCCACGTGCAATCCACCGATGTCATATCCCGCCAGTTCGACCCACAAACCCGTCAACTCACCACCACCCGCCTCCACCTCAAGCGCTCCAAGCTCCCTTCCGCCGTCCTCCGCCTCATCCCCCGCTCCCTCCTCGGCGCCACCGCCGCCGGCGACAGCCAGAGCTACATCCTCGAGACCAGCGTCGTCGATGTGAACGCAGGATGGATGAAGACTGAGAGCCGGAACCTGGAGTGGACGGGCGTCCTGAGCGTGGTGGAACGGCAGGATTATTACCGGCAGGGGGAGCTGCGCCCAGCGTCGCCGGCATCGTCGACATCGTTCGCGCAAACTTCCTCGGACCTATTGCCCTCGGCGCTCCTACAAGGAAAGACGGATGTCGTGGCCTCCGTAACCCTGCGATCTCCGTTCGGCGAGAACGTTAAGAAGCGAAGAGCGGCGGCGGCCGCTGCAAAAGCTGCCGGAGATCAAACGGAATCGGAACCGAAAGTCGGGTTTTTCCGATCCTGGTCGCAAGGCTCGATTCAGCGGTCCATCGAGCTGATCGGGCTGAACAAAGCGCGAAAGAGCCAACCGAACGCGAAAGAAGGGATGAAAGTGGTTCTGGAACGACTGAGAGAAGGGGGGATCGTCGGGGTGCTTGAAGGCATGCGCCGGGATCGAGAGACGGCGTTTGCGACGGGCCTGCATGTCCCAGGGAACCACGGTCACGATGATGATGATGGGTGAGGAAAAGTCATGCATGGGATCCTTTCCGATATTTCAGCGCTGGTGTTGGGTCTGGGATTGTTCTACTCCGACATTGTAACAAAATCCATGTAATCATAAGGTCGTCCAAAGGGACGAAGACCCGTCGTTCGGTGCAATTGTACACGATTTGTGGTTGGTCACTCGAACCTTAGCTACACCAATTGACCTGTAACATTTTGGGTATCTTTCCATTGAACTCAATAGCCCAATGCTCATCCATAGGGCTGATAGACTTGACCTAACCCTTTCGGAGCAGACCTAGACAGCAATCATGGTCTAGCAGCTCCATTCTCTGATACTCGAATGGTGCTTGGACCAGCTCTATTAGGCCGATCCTCGTAGAATGATACTGATACCAGGTCGCAACAAGCGCAGTTGTGTAATGGGTCTGCTGCACTCCGGAAGCCTCATCGAACACGACTCAACCCCCCACCTCAAGAAAACAACACCTTCTCATCCAACGGATCCTTCGGTCCCTTCCCTGCCGCCTCCGTCGACAGCCCCAACTCCGCAATCCTCGCCTTCCTATCCCCGCCCGCCTTCGCCCGACTCTGGAACCGCCCCGCCTTCGACATCCGCAGCTCCGACCGCACCTGGTTCGGCGACACGAACTCCTTGTTCTCGTAGATCACAGGGCCCCCGAAGCTCGATTCCAGCATCACGATCGGCGTCAGCACGAACCGCGGGCCGATCTCCACGAGGCTGACGTTGGTGTCACCGCGTTTCGCGGATTTCGGGAGCGGCAACGCACCGTCCTCAGCCAGGGCGCTCTTCTTGTCGGTGGACTCGGTCTCGCCGATCTGGAAGCAGCGGATCCAGATCTTTCCGTCCAGGATGGTGAAGGAGAGGACATGGTCGATGAAGGGCTTGGATTTGCGGGCGCCGGGGGGCACGCCGAAGGTGTGAGTGAAGATTTCTTTGAGGAGTTGGAGGTGGGGGGCGGAGTCGAAGGCGCCGTCGAAGGAGAGGATGGGGCGGGAGCCTTTGAGGCAGTTGCCGGTGAAGTGGAGTTCGTCCATGGTGTGGACTGGGGCATATTAGCGGTTTTTCTGCGACGATTGGTTATGAGAGGCGCATACGGTTCTGAACGTGCATCTTGATGGTCGGGCCGTTGGGAGGCTTGCTCAGCCATAGATAGAGGTCCTTGCCTTTCCTGGCTTCGAAGAACAGGACATTGTTGCAGTTGTAGAGTTCGGCCAGTTCGTTCAACTGGTAGAGTTTGGTTTTTGTGTCGAGTTTGGACTCTCGTCGGCTATGAGGGAGAAGCGCATGGAGATCATTGAGCAAGTGTCGGTGCCTAGATTCGTTTCATCGAGTTAACTGTGTGCTTTCAAGACGATACAACTTTCCATACCTGTAGGTGACCCCTCTTGAACTTAACAATAGGACTTTCTGTCGGTTGTCTTTCCTCAACGCGGGGCCTTCTCCCGAGCCTTTGGAGTGGCCGTTAGTCAGCGACTTGTATACTGCAGCCATGACGTTTTTTAACTTTGAAGATGTTGAAGATAGGACGGAATTCTTCTAACGGCAGGCGCAAAGGAAACTTTGATACCGTCGAGATCGAAAATCTCAACAGGGGTTCCTGGTAATAAATATGGAGACCGGAATAAGGTTTCGCCGCTATGGAGGATCCAGATTGTATAGACGCCTTGTGGCCTCAGCTTATGTTTCAGCCTTATAGCCTCAGGCCTGTCATCTCTATCGTATTAAACATCAACGTCGCGCTCCTTTCTTCCTTTCTTCTCACCACCATTCGACAATATGACGCGTTATACTCCATCTAGCCCTTTGAGGCTTTCCAGCCCTTCGGGGCTTCAAATTTCCTATCACATCTTCATCGACAATGATTGTCACTCTTTTTATAGCCCCAACGGAGGGGTGTGTGTGTCTTGATCTGTTGTTGTTGGCCAGTTGCTCGAATCGTTGCGGCAACTGGCATCCTGTAGCAGATCGTGAATCCGTCTTGCAACCATCGCAAAGACGCGAAAGAAAACTCAAAAGGAGTTTGACCATTTCTCTTGTTTCATAAACCAAATTGCACTTAAAAAAAAAATCTCTAAATTGCCTTTGTTACTCCGTACTCGACTCGTACTCGACTTTCCATCACCATGTTGTTCAGCGAAGACCTCGCCACGGAGTTGATCCTCTCCGTTTTCTATAACTGTCGTTCTGTTTCCGATGCCCTCGCACTGGCCTCCACCTGCCACCGCTTCCACCGCATCTTCGCCTCTCGCAAGCTCGAGATACTGGAGCACGCCGCCGAGAAGCAATACGGCCCCCTCCACGACGCCATCCAGCTCCTCACCCACAACGAAAGCCAACCCGCCCACCTCCCTCGCTCCGTCCCCCTCTCTCTCGCCCTCCTCCAGCAGCTTGTCCACGTCGGCCGTATCGCCGCCCGCTGGACCGCCATCTACCCCCTTAAGAAATGGAAGTCCAACTACGAAGACCGCCGCCTCCTCACCCAGCCCGAGCGTCACCGCTTCCGCCGCGCCCTCTACCGCCTCTGGCTCTTCGACCGCGCTTTCCATACCCCGGCCCACCCCCGCGAGGACCGCCTCCTCCCCCGCACCGTCGCCGACCGCGCCGACCTCCTGCACAACTGGCCGACCACCCACCTCGCCGAGATCGCCGACGTCCAGTCCGTCCTGCGCGACGTCATCCACACCAGCATCTGCCCGTCCAACGGCGCCATCGCCCGGAAGTACCGCAACCGCTTCCCCGACGCTGACCGCGGGAACTTGCTGTTCAACATCCATCTGAACTACCCGGAGGCGCCGGCGCGACTGCGCGAGACCTCGCCGTCCGAGTTCCATCGCCAGCAGAACGACGCGAGCCTCTTCTACACGCACATCGAGCACACCCCGGCGGCGATCCGCAAGTTCCAACTGTCCAAGTATAACCCGACAACGTACCACGAGCCCGGGGCGGAAGGCTGGGGCGACGAGGTGCTGCACTACTACGTGGTAGAGGACATGCTGAAGCTGGATCCGGAGGCGCTGCTGTGGCTGAAGGACCACGCACCGTTGAAGCGCCAGGTGGAGACGTATGTGAAGGGGCTGGGGGACTGGTTTGAGAACAATGGGGAGACATTCGCGCAGACGATGGAGTGGGTGTTAGAGCAGCGGGGGGAGGAGGTGGCGGAGATGATGGAGGGGTTGGCGTGTGGGGAGTTGGGCGTCGTTGCAGAGGACGAGGAGTGAGGTTTCGTTTGGAGATATCCAGAGTTCTGTATACATAAAAATCACTGCATTTTGCCAGTGGTTCGATTATAATTCTAGCACGCTTCGATTCGACCATCTACTTTTCTATAACTAGCGAATTCTATTGCGATTAACTGACAACCATCATGCTGCTCGTGCCCTGATCACCACCCAACAAATGCACCATATTCCGACGAAACCTGTACTGTATTCTCCGAAACCATCTACCGTAATCGTACAATGATACCCATGACCCATGCCGATTAACACACGCATCTAGTTACTTTTATCCTCACGCTATAACTATCCAGCGAAGGCCGCCAGCACCATACGGCGCCCACCCACAAAGAAAGCCACTCCGCAGACGGCGGGAACATGCGATCCATCTACTCCCACCACCATGGCACGCCGTCTACAACCCCTCCATCCGCACGCCCCTCTCTACCGGAGGATCCCCTCGAGAATCCACCACGAAAAGCCATCCACGAACCGAAAACAGCACCACTACTCCGCGCTCCCATCGATGATCGCCAGCCGCTGCTTGATTGTCTTCGCCTTCTTGCTCGTCCCCTTCTTCCGCTTCGCGCTCGCGAGCTCCGCCCCGGATACGGGGGTCGCCGCACCGGACGGCTTCGCCGACGCGTCGTCGAAATGACCTTCGCCTAGTTCCGGATGTTAGCATATGTCCTTTCTTCTTGCGTTCCGTGTGGGAAGTGGTAGTGAAAGGGTAGGAAGGAGTAGGATACACACCTTCATGATACATCTCATCTAGACTCATTTCTCCTCTCTTCTTCCCCGCCTTCTTCTTCCGCCCTCCCATCGGCCCCTCTTTCTCCGCCATCTCCGCCCTCTCCCGCTCCTTCCGCTCAATAATCTCCGCCTGCTCGTCGTCTGCCAACCACAGTGCCATGTCCTTCGCGCGGTTCTCGCGCGACCGCGTGTTGAAGTCCACCCCGGCCGACGCCTGCCCGGAGATGACGACGCGCTGCACCTCCTCCTTCTGCAGCGCGCGCTTGCGGATGCGCTCCTCGATCGTGTTGCGCGTGATGAGCCGGTACACGGTGACCTGCTTGGTCTGGCCGAGGCGATGCGCGCGGTCCATGGCCTGCGAGTCGATCGTCGGGTTCCAGTCGCTGTCGTAGAAGATGACGGTGTCAGCGGAGGTGAGATTGATGCCAAGGCCGCCGGCGCGCGTGGAGAGGAGGAAGACGAAGATCTCCGGGCGGGTTTGGAAGTCGGCGACGGTGTCGCGGCGGTCTTCGAGCTTGGTGGACCCGTCGAGTCGGCAGTACTTGTAGCCGCGGAAGGTGAGATATTCTTCCATCATGTCGATCATACGCGTCATCTGGAAGTAGAGGAGCACGCGGTGGTTGTTCTCCTTGAGCTCTTTGAGGAGCGCGTCCAGTCGGGCCAACTTGCCCGAGTCAGAGACGAAGCGACTCATGCTGGGCACTTGGACGTGCGTGAACCGGCTCTTGCGGTTGACCGCTTCGGGAAGCATGCCGAAGACCGGGAAGCGTTCGACCGGGACCTTTTTCTCCAAGAGGGCCACCTCGGTTTGCTCGGAGACGCCGTAAAGTGCGGCGCGAAGGGGAGCATTGAAGAGGACCCGCTGCCGTTCCACCAGAGCATGCTGGCTCGAGCAATCGACATCGATCGGAGGAGCGTGGACAGCGGGTCGTGCACACGGTTCGATGTACGAGAGCCCGGTCCGCCTGAATGACGACTTGGAAATCGTCAACAGGTCCGCCAGCCGTCCGGTCCCGACCTCCGCCGTGGCCTTCCAATCATTATATTCGGACACGTTCAACAGCGCGTGCATAGGCGACCCGGCGTCCTTGTCCAGACAGTTCATCCTGCCGAGACGCGCTCGAAGGCCCTCATCTTGTCGGAGCAGGATCGCGCGCGCCGCGATATCGAGTCGCGCAGCTCGCGACACTTCCGCAGGGCTGACGTCCGCAAGGGGCGCGAAGCTGAACGCACCATTGCCGCGGGCGCTATACAGCACGTTGTCGGCGCCCCAGATGCTCGTCGTGTTCTCGAGGAACTTCGTGCGCCACCCGGCGCGCTCGTTGTCGGGGCCAGGGAGATCCAGTCGCCCGGATCCGGAATAGACCAAGCGAGGGAGGGACAGCGTGATGAGGTTGCGCACCGAGTACGCGACCTGGACGTTGTTGCCCTCGCGCATGAAGCTCGCGGTGTCGGCGAACGCACTGAGCGCGAATGGGCTGGACGTGTCGGCGCGTTCGAACAGGTCAGGATGGTTGCAGACCTTCCGGAACTGCATGACGAGGTTCATCAGGGTGGCGGTCGAATCGTGATCGTCGCCACTGGCAGCCTTCTCGATCAAATCCATGAGGCTGATCTTGTTGCGCAGATTGGTATAGTAGGCCCGCTGGCGATAGGTCAGATCGCAGAAGACGTCCAGCTCCACCTTGTCGCCGAGTTCCTTCTGCACGTGTTTCTTGACGCGGCGCAGCATGAACGGCTTGAGGATCATGTGCAGCCGCTTGAGTTGATCTTCGTTGAGCTTCGTGTTGCTCTGGGCGTGGGACTCGATGTCCTTGGAGAACCAGTCGGAGAACTCATCGTGCGAGTCGAACAGCGACGGCATGATGAAGTGCAGCAGCGCCCACAGCTCCTGCATGTTGTTCTGGATGGGCGTCCCGGTGAGCAAAAGTCGGTTGCGGCAGTGGAATCCTAGCAGGGACTTCCATCGGGAGGACTGCGACGACTTGATCGCCTGCGCTTCGTCCAGGATCATATACTGCCATCGCATCTTCTGGAAGTACTGCGTATCCTGCACCACCAGCTGATACGACGTGACCAACACGTGGAACGGACTCTCCTTCTTGTAGACGATGTGCTTGCGATCCCAGAACTTGCGCAGCACCTTGCGGTCCTTGGCGGTGCCCCAGTACGGCAGCACGCGCAAGGTGGGCACAAACCGCGCGATCTCCTGCTGCCAATTGTGGAGAGTCGACGCGGGCGCAATCACCAGGTACGGGCCCCAGATGTCGTGCTGCTCGGCCAGATACGCCATGACGGAGATGCTCTGCACCGTCTTCCCCAGACCCATCTCGTCGGCCAAGATGCCGTTGATGCCCTGCTCGTACAGGTTAACGAGCCAGTTCAATCCCTTGAGCTGATATTCCTTCAACTGGCAGGTCAGCATCTTCGGCTGCTGGATGTCGATGCTCTGCAAGCTGGTGGGATTTTGGAAATTCATTTCGCCGTCCTCCATGTCGCTCGTCTGGTCGCCGTCTTGGTTGAACGCCCGGGCACGATCTTGCGCCTCCTGCACCGCGTTCTGGGCGTTGGCGACCGCAGCTTGGCGAAGCGCCGTCTCATCATCCGCATCGAAATCGAGCTGATCGAAATCTGTGACCTTCGAGCCACCAGCCATCGCCATTTCGTCTAGGTGCATTTTCGGGGCGCCGGTGACGGTCTGATCGCTCACCGCCACCGCGTCGGAACCGGTGCTCTTCTCCACCTCGTCCGTCTTGACCTTCTTGCCGATGAAATGGGAGTAGAGCTCGGTTTGCGAGATCAGGAAGTTGAGCTTCCGCTTCTGACGATTCGCTTCGCGGTCCGCTTCGGCCTTCTTCGCGTTCTCGAGCTCCTGTCGCTCGGCGATCTTGCGCTGATCGCGTTCGTCGCGTTCGTTGCGACGCCAGAACGCCACCATCTCACGCATGCTGCGTTTCGCGCGAGCCTGCACGTCCTTGGTGCTCTTGTTGGTGCGCATCTGCCATCGGCGGGCTTCTTTGCTGGCCAACTGGGCCGTCTTCCGCAGGTTGGACTGCTTGGTGTTGCTGGAGTTATCCTTGATCCGATAGACCTTGCCGACGTCTTTCTTGGCCATCTCGCGCCAAATGTTCTCGTACAGCAGATTGTACGCTTTGGAGGTGTATGGGACGATTGCGGGTGGAGGGGCGGGTTCCTCAGCCGGTTTCGCTTTGGGTCCAGGTTTGGAGCGCTCCTTCTTGGTCGGTGCGGGCGATGGAGCCGGTGTCGCGTTGGCATCCTCACGAGGGGCCAGGGGAGGCAGTTCGTCACCACGATCCAGGGCAGCTTGGCCGGCGGCGGCAGCATCCTTTTCGGCCTGCTTCTGCTCTTTGCTCTTCCGCGGACGCGTGCCTTGACGTCCGCCTCGTCCCCGTCCGCGAGCGCTGGGCTCTCGAACAGGGGTGGCAATGTCCTCGTCCAGTTGGAACGAGCTCATGGCACCGCCCTCCATGTTGGGGGCGAGCGGGGTGACTTCGCGAAGGTCTTTGCTCGGAACGCCGCCTTGAAGGAGCTGCGTAGTGGTTCGGAGTTTCTTTTCATGCTTCTGCGCCTCGCGGAGGAGTCGTTTTCGCTCCTCGGCGTCATCGGCCTGTTGGGCTTTTTCCATGGCCTCGTCACGCTTCTGGGATTCGTTCTGCAACGTCTTCTGACGACGACGCTGTCGTTGCATGTCCTTCTTTCGTTCTTTCTCCTCTGCAATCTCCTGTTGTTGAACCTCTTCCCAGGCTTTGCTACCATAGGTTCGGAAAAAGCGATCTTTCGCATGTTCGGCGTAGCTGGTCAGGGGGATTTCGTAACGATGGAGAGTGCTGACTCGACGACGCTGCGTGCATTAGTGAGAGTCGTCGTAAATAAGAACGAGGTTCGTACCTTTCGTCGGGCGAATTCCTCTCCTTCCACCCGAGCCATGCGTTTCAAGTTTCGGTTGTAGTAATCTCGCTTGAAGTCTTCAAACGCGTCATCGGATTCATTCACGTCCAATCGATCGATCCGGGACAGTTCTTGCTCGAACTCGTGCTGATCCGGTCGCTGTCGGACCATCAAGGCATGCGGAGGACGGACGGGGTCGGTGTGCTTCAAGTCGCCATTCGACATGGGCATCGACGCGAAAGTCGATGGAGATGGTTGAACCGGGCTCTTGGGCTTGATGGGCGAGTAAGCCGGTTCCTGCTTGGCTTGCGAGCTTGTGCCGTTCGATTGCTGCGAGTGAGGACGCGTGAAGTCATCATTCTGATGAGATGGACGAGGTGGGCCTTGGTCCGGACCCGACATGATGCTAGAGAGCGACATGGGATCTTTGCTTCGACTCGGTGTCTATAGATCGCGTCAGTCGGTTCGAAAATACCATCAACGTGTCAAACTTACCTCCTGCGACGGCTTTCGATCATGAGCCGCATAGGCAGGCTGCGACGGCCCTCGATTAAATGTGGTGTACATTTTCGGCGAGGCCGGGGAGTGGGAGGATGGGTTCGCGGAATACGGAGATGGTTGTTGATGATTTAAAGGCGTATGTTGGGGGAAAGTGGAAGTGACTGGTGAATGATAAGTTTGATCGTGCGTTGTCCGCTCGGAATGTCGTGAATCGGGATACGGGTACGCTTCACGGGGCTGCAATGATGGTGGTCACTTGTCAGCAAATTTCCTTTGATCCACTTCCAAACCAGCGACAATAGGAATTCCGAACATCGGAATTCCTACTGTCCCGAGAAATATTTGAAGGACAAACCTGAGCATTATATGGATGGGAATATCGGGTATTGTCCCTCCCTATTGATGAATCGCCATGTTCCGGGGCTCGATTGTAGTAGTTCGTCGGAGTCAGGTTGGACTCACGGGGATAGACGGAGGCGATGGGAGGAAGGGTAGACCCGGTCGGCGAGGGAGGTTGATGGTGATGATTGTTGAAAGGAGGATGAAGAGACAAGGGAGCGGGTGTTGGTGGATTGGAGTTTCGGAGGGACGGGCGCTGTGGAGAGAAGTTGAAGGTAGATTGGGTTGGTGAATGGGCCACATAAGGGGACGGTGCAGTGGATTGCGGATGAGGAGGCAATGGTAAGGAGGGAGGCGGAGGATGAGGAGAGCGATGAGAATGATGCGAATGAGGATGTTCGCCGGCCATTCTTCTCTCCTGCGACAAGCGCCGATGCAATCGTTCTTCTGCTCCCAGCGCTCCCACGTCTTGATCGCGCTCCACTTCCTCTCCGCGCATCTGCTGGACCGTGCTATGGTACATGCGGGACCATCAATGTCGAGATGGATGTCTTTTAGTCGCGCGTAGTTTATGCCATGGACGCTGGAGAGATGGGCTGCCTCGTGTGAAGGTGACTCTCAAGCGATCCGGCCTTGAACCTGGCGCGTTCTTGGCCGCGTTCCGAGCGGGATGTCGCGCGATGGTGGTGATGGAGTTTGTGGGTGGTGATGGGTGGTGCCGTGGTGGGTGGGGGAGAATGGAGGATGCAGCGGCGATGATGGGATACGGCGAATACGACGGATGTTACGACGCGAGGATGATGGAAGATGATGGATGGATCGATGGATAGATGGACAGATCACTGGACCGATGGATGAGAATGGAGATTTACTGGAGACCGACCTTGGAACTCAGCAGCACCGATCCTGTCTGTCTCTACTGACGAGCACCACCCGTCCACCACCACTACATACGGCACACCCAGGGCGAGACTCGGCCGTTCTCACGTCTACCTGGAATTAACAACGAAAACCACCTGCACCTGATGCGGCTGGTTCAGGGTGGCAGGTCGGTGATTGGTGCCGGTCATCTTATTCCTCCCTTTTCGAATTCCAGCCCATCCCGAATTGGAAAGGTGAAACTATGACGATACCACTCGATATGATATCCATGCAGCTAAATAATACCGAATTCATATTAAAAAGAAGTAAAAATATGAATTCTGCGCATGCCTTGTAAGTTGTAACTGGTAAGCTAGAACCAACGGATGGCCGGAAGCTGAAAGGGAAGGTCCAAGCATCGTGGAATTCAAGAGCACCATCGACTGCCATCCTCAACTGTACTAATTATTGGAGATCACAATAGAAATAATTCCATTGGATCATTCTGCTGGTTGGCTGCATTTGATGCTCAATTAACTGCCATAAAGATTCCATTTCCGATTACACAAACAGCGCTAGTGTCATGGTGCCCTATCGTCATGATGCCTCATCGTCCTGATGCTCCATCGTCGGCTTCGTCGCACCAAATCGTGGAATCGAGAGTGAGCGAGTGACATAATACAGATCAGGACATCAGGTGCAATGAGTATATCACGTGAACAAATACTGGGCAGATCACGTGATCCATCTGCTTTTCCTCGCCACCATTGGCTCAGCCACACATTGATGTCGGTATCCCGTAACTCCGTAATTATCTTATGGTGATTCGTGCCACACTGGTGTCAGAATAAAGCAAGTCACATAATTATGGCCCGAAATTTTCCCGCACACGACCAAAAGGGAAATGCTCCATGTCCGCATTGGACCGATGCGCACCCCGCATACATCCCAGTCACGTGACCTAGGAATCTTGCGTTCTAATTGGTCCATTCAAGAAGATGTACTGATCGCAAAGATCTTTGTTTTTAGGCCACTTTCTTGTAGGAATAGATCTTGTTGGTTCTACAAAAACAGCTGTGTGTATGCCCCCGTTATAGTGACGAGTAGGAGCAGTATCGGTTTCCGGTTTTTACTCTTCGATTTATTCTTGGTGTACGGTCCTCCTGACAAGAGGGATATCCTACTTCGTATTAGTGCATTGCAGAGGTGAGACTGCGTGTTTGCCAGCTTTGAGTGCTGCGCCATCCTCTGCGCCACGATCGCATTTGCACTGTCTCACTGGTCCTTGTGTACACGATGCCAACAGAACTAATGTAGAAGCAGCGTTTTCCCTTTTCCATCACGCTATCCTACGTAGTACCAGTATATCCTTTCGCTGAAGATATTCTTGGAAGAACTCAATCTCCCTAGCGACTTACGTTCGGTTCCTCAAAACCTACCCTCACTATGCGGCTGCTTAGCACTTGCTGACATCGAGGACTGTTTTCAACCTCTCAAGCAATATATACGCAAGTTTAGTGTCGCAGGCCAAGGCATGAGCTCTAGGAGTCCAAGGCTACAAACTGCATTAATAATCTTGCCGTGACTCTCGTATATCTGTAGGGCCGGGGGACCAGGCATTCAGCTAGAACACACAACTTACACACAACTTACACAATACAACAACTTCGCTGCTGAAACAACAGCACCTCACTCCCAACCATTTTAGCACATCACGTGCGACATTTAGGCATTGGGAGCCCCACGAAACACGCCAATTAGCACGAGAGGCCTGGTATGAAAAACTTGATTAGGAATGGATTAACCGACGAATCCTTACTATGCCTGATCGGTTGAGGAAAGTCATTGAATCTGAAGGCCAACTCATTGCCTTTGAAGGAGGTATGGCGGGCCCAAGACAGGGCTAACCGCCAGGTTTTCATAGATATAGACTAAATATTTGTGTGCAAATAGCCTCAAAAAAGCCTGATTAAATTCCACTTGTTTTGCGTGGTGTATTGTTCGTGAAACTGCATCTTCATACAAATTTGTATGGGGTGGTGGCGTCAATACCAACACTGCAATGTGTCTTGCTTTATTGTTCCATCGCGTGCGTGCCCATCTCGACCCCTGTCTGCCAATAAGCTCTCCGCGATTCCCCTCGTGCCCTCACCCAGGGGCTTCCCTAATCACTCCCCACGCTGTCCGAGAGCATAGACAAAGGCGATGGGCATGACATCCGACATCCGGGTAGATCATGCTTCATTGACTGGCTAGAATGGCGCGCCGGTCAATTTTATTTTCAAGCCCCATCTCACTTTTAGCCAGACGTGAGTAGGGCAGTTGAAAACCAGCAAATGATGGCGATGATAGAGAGCATAGATGGGGGGACTCGAGAGAAAAGTCGACTATGGCATATGGGTCCTGCGAGGCCGGCGAACTAAGATCATCGGAAATAGACGATAGCGTCGTGGACGCTGAGGCTTTTAAAGAAGAGATGGGACCCTCGTTCGATGAGATCGGGTTGGTGGGCAGCAGGATACCTTGCATTGAGGCCCACGACCACCTTCCATTGCCTTCCCTTCGACATGCGCTCTCTGGCCATCCTAACCGGCCTTGCGTCTCTCGCTGCGGTGGTTCGGACTAAAGCCTCAACGGCTCCAGCGACCATCGACTGCAATGGCAAGCCATACACGAACCACGGCCTCGTCGGTGCTGGGATCCTTGCTGGCAACCTAACCGATAAGTACGGTGACACGCTCGGCGGCATCGGCTCCTCGGCCGCCATCGAGCGAGGCAGCTGGAAGAAACTCGGTCGCGACAAATACACCGGCCGGCTCTGGGGTCTGCCCGATCGTGGGTGGAACACCGAGGGGACGCTGAATTTCAACCCGCGCGTGCACAAGTTCCAGGTCACCCTCGATCTGGGCGGCACGAGGCACCGGAGGGGCGACAAGGAGACCGCGGAGCCGAACGTCCACCTCCGGTATCTCGACACCATCCTCCTGACGGACCCCAACGGCGAGCCGACCACCGGCCTTGACCCCGACCCATTCGGCGTGCTCCAGTTCCCCGGATTCCCCGACCTCCCTGCGGCCAGCTACGTCGGCGACGGCTTCGGGACCGTGACCACGGGCGACACCACCGCCCGTGTGTCCATCGACTCAGAGGGCCTCGTGCTCAACGACGACGGCACTTTCTGGATCTCCGACGAATACGGCGACATGATATACCGCTTCCGCGCCGACGGTCGCATGCTCGACGCCATCCGCCCTCCTGACGCCTTCCTCCCACGCCGCAACGCCACAGTTTCCTTCAACGCCAACTCCCCTCCCCGCTACGACTCCGATCGCGAAATCACCCCGGGCGACCCCCTCTCCGGCCGCAACAACAACCAGGGCCTCGAAGGCATGACTGCCTCCCCCGACGGCAAAACGCTATACGCCCTCACCCAATCCGCGCTTATCAACGACGGCGCCTCCTCCAGCACGCGCTTCAACGCCCGCCTACTCGTCTACGACCTCTCCCGCCGCACCCCCCGCCACACCGCCGAGTACGTCGTCCAGCTCCCACGCTACGCCCGCGCCGACGGCGCCTCCCGCGTCGCCGCCCAGAGCGAGATCCACTACCTCAGCGCGACGCAGTTCCTAGTCCTGTCGCGCGACGGGGACGTCGGGCGGGGGATGGACGCCACGGAGAGCCGGTATCGGCAGGTGGACATCTTCGACATCGGGGGGGCGACGGACGTGAAAGAGGAGGCGGACTGCGCGACGTGCGCAGTGGTGGTGGAGGGGGTGTTGGATGCGGGGATCACGCCGGCGAGGTACTGTGAGTTTGTGGATGTCAATGATAATGCGCAGTTGGGGAGTTTTGAGTATGAGGGGATTCCGCTGCATAATGGGGGCGCGCAGGACGCGGGACTGTTGAATGAGAAGTGGGAGTCGTTGGCGATCGTGCCGGTGAACGGGAAGAGGAATGGGCGAGATTGCGAGGATGAAGATGACGAGTATTTCATGTTCATGTTAAGTGATAATGACTTTATCACGCAGCATGGTAAGTCCTCTCGCTCTTTATCCTCTCCTAAAACAGTACCTGGATTTCGGCAGTTGCTAACTTTGGCGGAATAGGCTTCATGAATGGTGGCAAGCTGCCATATGCGGACGAATCTGGGTTTGACCTCCAGAACCAGGTACTGGTGTACAAGATCAGCCTTCCGAAAGGCTCTAAGCCTTTGGTTGGATAACTGGTTGTTAATAGAATGTGAACATAGAGACAGAGACAAGATATTTAGAGGATGGACTAGCTTACATGACCCCAACCGTTTTGCACCTTACGTTATTCAGACAGTATTCTAGCCATAATTAATAAATTATAGTTTCCTGGAATCTGTCGTGTAGCAATAGAAATATAATTCTATTCCCTCCATCTCCACCAATTCCGTGCACTAATTACACTGCGTCCAACATTTCGGCCACAACACCAGTTACAGACTTACAGTAGATTGGAGGATGTCAGTCACGTGAACCCAGGCATTATCTCCGCCAGTCCGCCCCAGCCACAGCATCATAGGCTCAGCCACTATTCCATTGGCTCAGCCACACCCAAGAATCCCTCCACTCTCCAGTCACCACTCGACTCTCCCACTTGCTTCACTCTCCTCCATCTTCAACTCTCTCTCTTCATCAACCTCATCCTACAACCCATTCCACGATCAATATTCCACCCTCTCCTGAGTGGATCCACCATTACCTTATTCTTCCCTCTCACTTCTTCTCCAACCTCTCCCCTACGTCCTTCAAACCATGAACCAGTCTCAAAGACTTCATACATCCATTCCATTGCCACAATCACCATCATTGCCCACATCGGCCTCATATCCGTTTCGATAATCCCACCTCCGTGAGACTCGGATTCACTCACCTATTCTACAACAGTAGCATACCAAGAAGACAGAGTATGTATAACATGGAGGTTACGGTGCCGATCTACCTGTTGAACATGACCAGCATCTCTTATCGCCCTAGCTCTTATGCAGCCTTCTATCCCACAAGGCCAAGACTCGAAGCGGCCGGCTCAGGCCCGACCACGCGCGACCAGCGTCGGTACGATTGAGCCCAAACCGAGCACCCACTCTCCGAAGAAACATGGTCCACGACCGCCAAAGAACCGGAACCCTCAGTCGAACAAGAAACAGCACGCTCCTCCGGTCTGGGAGGATGCAATCAACCGAGACGAGATCGGCGACTTCGGTCCCGATGGCCAGTTCATTGACTCCTCCACGGCCACCAACAATGCCGCAACCCATGGGCGACCGGCGAATAATAAACCTCCGAAGAAATACGGAAAGCGAAAGGACCCCGCCGCTTGGCAGGACACCCAGGTGACGAAGGAGGAGACGGGTTATTTCTCTGCCGATGGGCGGTATATCGACCCGAGCGCCCATGCGACCGAGCAGGCAGCCGTATCCGATAGCGCAGCGATGGCCCCCAATCCTCGAAAGAAGCCGATCAAGCACGTGAACGGCCAATCCTCAATCGACCTCTCGTCCCCGTCCAAAGGTGCCGGTCCCGCTGATCCGAAGAAAAAGCCGCTGTTCACTCCGGCAAAGGCACAGGCGTATGCAGGACCCGGGTTCCACGCTTCTCCGGCAGCTTCGGCGTTACCGATCCCAAAGTTCTTTTCCAAGTCCGTTCCGAACGGTGGTCAGAACGGGCTGCAAAGCCGACTTGACAGTGAAACGGAGCAAGCGGAAGCGGAGGCTCCAATGGAAACCATCGAAATCCCGATTGCGGGTCCCGCGAATCCCGGAAAGGCGGTTCCCAGCGAGGAATCTCCCTTGGATTTCTTCTTCAACGCTGCCCGCAAAGAACGAGCCAACGGACGCAGTGTGAGCGGGCTTCCTACACCGACTTCCACCGAGCCTCTTGCTCGCCAGTCCGAACCTCCGAAGAACCACTACGCCGCTATCTACGGCGGCAACCTCCGTAACCATGCCCGTCACGCCTCGCATGGCTCGAACAACAAGGAGATGTTCATGATGGAGCTTGACGGCGCGAACACCGCCGTCGATTCCCCTTCACGACCCGCTCCACAGCCGAAACCGCACAACAACTCGGTCCGCTCCATCCCACCCATCCCATACCCTCGCGCCAAGTACTCCGGCTCCCCGTCGCACGAACTCCCCGCTCGCAACCCCTCCCCCCTGGCTTCCCCACCCCCCTCTGTCTCCCACGGCCTGCCCACCCGCGCCCCCGAACAACCCCCCTTCTACCGCGGCACCCCCCACCTCCCCCGCAGCGCCTCCGGCCCCAGCACCCCCTCCCCCTCCACCACCCCCCAAAACCCTCAACTCCCACCCAATGGCTCCAGCCCCTACCACTACGGCAACCGCAACCTGTCTCCACTCTTCAAAGCCGCCGCCGCACCCGGCCCCACTTCCCCCCCCACCAACTCCAAACGTACCTCTCTCCTCCGCAATGTCGCCCTCCCCACCGTCGACCACTCCCCCTCCCGCCCTTCCCGTCCCGCCGCCCCTGACCGCCGGTCCGACGACGAAATCCGCCGCATCAGCACCCAGTACCTCGAGCAGCAGTGCAATCGCGATGCGCCCGACATGCCGCCGATCGACCTTGCGGCCGTGGCACGGAAGGAGCCAATCGAGTTGGGGGAGTCGTCGCCGACGAAGGCACAGGGAGAGGGGACGAGGGATATCCGGCGCTTGGAGGAGAGTTTGCGGAAGATGTTGGATTTGAAGAAGTGATTGGGTGGTTTGGACGACTTCCCAGGATCGGATCCCGGTGGTGCGAGATGTCTTCTTTTTTTCTTTTCTTCTTCTTCGTTCCTGGCATGGTCTGGTCTTGCCTGCGCTCGCGTCCGGCGTTCGGGATGGATTACATACCTGTCCTGTGATTTCAGCGGGTTGGCATACGCATCGGATTCGCCCTCTCTTCTTTCCCGGCCTCATTGTCTCTCGCCTGGGTTTTTATTCTCCTTTGACGATCGCAGCGGTCTCTGCGGATGTGGTAGTGCGCCGGTTTTCGCTGGCTTCTACTATATCTGATGGAGATATTGGCGATATTTTGTCTTTTCTATTCGTTTGTGTGCTTTGAGGCATGCGTGCATTGCTTCCGGCTTGTTTTCTAAGGGTTCCATCCGCTGCGTGGATTCTGGGTCCCTCCCTCCCCTGCATCTGTAGATATCCCGCTACCGGCTACCATCTCCGCACGGCGTTTGGGTTCTATTTCCGCATCCTCCGATTCCCTCACGCGTTCAACGACTGCATACGCGCTTCCACATCTCTCTATCACCTCTACCTCTTATTCCCTTTCTCTACTACTCAACGGCCGCCTACACACTCGGTCCGGTCTCGGTTCCATTTTCCCTTAGTCTCTAAGTTTCCAGGCGTTTCAGCTACGGATACAAACCAGGCGGGTTCTTCACGGTTGCGACGGCCGGGGTCATGGAATGGATTTCGGCTGGTGGCTGGGGGCTTTTCGTACGATATCAATGATGATAAATCATGACTAGATCGGGTGGGGGGTTGTTGGGGATGGGAGGAGGGTTCCGGGCACGAAGATGGGCTCGGAGGAAGGGCTGTTCGGGAGGCGATACCGGTGGAATAAGGTATTCAGGCCTTGACATGGCGGTCCCGGAAGAGGAGCGGGCTCAATTTATGAGCCGATGGGACGGATGGAAGGCATAGTGGGAAAATTTGAAAATTTGTATGAGCGGACAGGAACGACAATTGTGTCCGTAGCTAGAGCAGTTAGGATAGCTGAATTCAGGACGTTCCGCTCAATTTCGCTGCGTGTTCCTGACTCTTTCGATGGGTATATCGCAAAGGTATCACGATGGTTGATGATTTATGGTACATGTATCCGACCTAGAACCTGGTATACGAGAGTCAAATGTAGCGATTATCAGCAGAGCCAGTACCTACCCTATTGTCTAGATCCGAATAAGACAAACCAATAGACCATCCTATCCAGAAAATCACATATACCAATGTCGGCAATATTATAATTGCCGATAAATGGCCACCTCCGAACATCATTCCCGAAGTTCCCGAACGGCAACCGGGAATAAAGCGACGATCACGGACATAGCGACTTAGCAGCTCCACCTACTCCGAGCTCGGTTGAACTTCACTTTGTACATAACTGCAACCGTCCCTTCAACCAAGATGGACAACAATTGCACCTCTCAATCTCCTCATAACCACTCATCATGGCCTCCATAACCTGCACCCGCAGCCTCCGCGCTGTCCGCTGCCTCCCCCACCCCCGCCTCACCCGCTCCCAATCCACCACCCCTTTCGCCTCCCTCCAAACCTCCCTTCCCGCCCGTCCCCCCCAACTCATCCACGACCTCGCTTCCCCCGTCCCCTCCTGGAAACTCCACCGCATCCTCACTGGCTTCGTCCCCCCTTCCTGGCTCCCCCCGACCCACTCCGACACCCCCATCCCGACGGACCCCACCCCGCTCCCCCTTCCCCCTGCCCATCACCTCGTCTACTTCAACCCCACCATCCCCGAAAACAGCCTCCTTCCCGACGGCACCGACCCCTCGCAATCCCCCGGCGGCCCGTTCGTCCGCCGCATGTGGGCTGGCGGCGATGTCACCTGGTTGAACCGCGGCGCGTTGGACCTAGCGGCAAACACCCCCGCCGTGTGCGTCGAGCGAATCAAGGATGTGGCAATCAAGGGGAAGGAGGGCGATGAGAAGGTGTTCGTGGGAATCGAGCGGCGGATGGGCCCCGTGGCGGGGTGGGAGGCGGAGCAGCGGGGGGATGCAGTTGCGGGTGGGTGGGAGCAGTGCGTGGAGCGGCGGAATATCGTGTTTATGCGGGAGCGGGCGACGGAGGAGATTGAGAAGCTAAGGGCGGCGGTGCGGAATGGGGAGGTGGTAAAGGGGAAGGTGGTGAAGGCGGCGCACGCGGCGACGATCTCGCACGCGCTGACGCCGTCGCCGGCGTTGCTGTTTCGGTTCTCGGCGCTAACGTTCAATGCGCATGCGATCCATTTGGATCCAGGGTATTGTCGGGAGGTGGAGGGACATCGGGGGCTGTTGGTGCATGGGCCATTAGCGTTGACGTTGGTGGTGACGATGATAGAGGCGCGAATGAGGGAGACGGGGGGGACGATTAAGAGTATTGAGTATCGGAATTTGGCGCCATTGTATGCTGGGGAGGAGATGAGGGTGTGTGGGAGGGATGCGGGGAATGGGAGGTGGGATGTGTGGGTGGAGGGACCGGAAGGGGGGATGAGTTTGAAAGGGACGGTTATGACGGAGTAGTTGGAGATATAGATAGATCAGGCATATCGATATGTGGTGTATAGATGCGGCTCTATGCCATGTATTAACCTTCCTTTCCCCGTCGATCCCACGATCAGTGCTTCATCACCTCTCCTCCACCGGCCACATCTCCTTCGGACAACTCCAACTCCCTAGCCAAACCCATTTCTCTGCCGCCTCCCTCAAATCCTCCAATGCCTCCTCCACCCCCGTCTCCCCTCGCCTCCCAAAGAACTCCACCAGAAACACATAATGCCATGGTACCTCCCCACTCGGCCGCGCGTTAATGCTCGTCAGATCCAGTCCTCGAGTCTTAAACACCGCCAGCGCATCCGCCAGCGCCCCCGGCCGATCATGCGCCACCGTGAACGCGATCATTGTCTTATGCTGCCCTCCCGTCGTCAAACCCAGCTGCGGTACCCCCGCCCCTCCCTTCCCCTCCATCGCCGCCAGCTCCTCCTCCTCACAATATCGCAACAACAAGAACCGCGTCCCATTATCATCCCGATCATGCACGTCCGCCTCCAACACCTCCAACCCCGCCGCCCGCCCCGCCTCCCGGCTCGCGATCGCCGCCGTCCCCCCACTCCCATCCTCCGCCGCCATCCGCGCTGCCTCCGACGTGCTCGCCGCATCCACCTGGACCAACCCGGGCACCTGGCTCTTCAACCTTGCCAACAGTCGCGAGCACTGCGTCCACGCCTGCGGATGGGTTAAGATGCGCTCGATCGCGTACTCGTCCTCCCCCTGCGGGTTCTTCCTCTTCGCCCCCGGTAGTCCGAGGAGGCACATGCGAATCTGCAGGACGCCGAGGCCAACGGCGCGTACGTTGCGGAAGCGGGCGCCGTGCGGGGCACGGAGGGCGTCGGTGAGGATGTCGAGTGTGGTGACGACGGGGCCATTGGTGCTGTTTTCGAGGGGGACGACGCCGAGGGGGGCGGAGCGGGATTGGATGGCGGAGAAGACGGCGGAGATGGAGGGGAGGGGGAGGAGGGGGGGGGAGGGGGTGGGGTAGAAGGATTGGGCAGCCTGGAGGGGGTTAGCTGGGGTTTTTGGAGGGATTGGAGTTGGATAGATGGATATATGTGCGGATCTTGTGAGGAATTGACTTGGGGGAATCTCTTTTCTCATCGTCGCTGTGAGCTCCGAAACCGCAACGGACGACCAAACCAAAACATCTCAACTTAGATATAGATTCGGAACCGCTTACCTGATGGGAATAGGACCCCTCGGGTCCTAAATATGCTACAGAGGATGGATTGTTGGCCATGGCCATTTCTTGAGGTTTTTGAAGATGGAAGCTATGTTTTTCCTCGTAGGAGCGCTTCTGGAGCTCTAGCACATCATTCCCAAGTGTGCAATCTTGATGTAAGGATCGCGACTTTAAAAGTCGGCCCATTGAATCGGAATTCGAATATTCATGCAGAATGAGACAGGAGTACTTGTAGGCTTGATTGGATTGGTCTCATTATTTTTAATTCATTTTAAAGGCTGTCAATCATGGGTTGGACGACAGAGGATGTTTGATGGATATCTCTAGCTTTATTCCATGGCAACCGCATATCTACTAAAGATATTGCTCTGATGAACCTCATAGTTCATGCCATTCATGCCTTCAATTAACATTCAACCCGGCGTCGATACCCCAGATCCGCTCATAACATCCTCATTCTCGTCCTTCCCTCTCTCCATCCCCCTCCCATGTCCCATATTCTCTTTCAAAAACCGCTCCACCTCCTCCACCTCACTCCTCACATGCATCCACACCTCACTCTCCCCCACCTCCGCATCCCTCTCCCTCCCCCACCTCCGCCTCATCCGCTTCCACCTCCTCGCCGTCCCCGGCGCCACCCGATGCCGATACACATGCGGTACCTTCAGGGCAAACCCCAGATGCCTATCGTCCGGCCGATGTATATCCGGCACTACCTCCAGCGGCTCGACGTCGAGGATACGCTCATCGCTCGCGCCGCGCGCTATCAGCGCCCGCGTGACCGGCGAGACTTTCCCGAGGAACTCCAGCGTCGCGTTGATGTTCAGGTCCATGGCGCGCTGCGGGTCGGCGGTGGCGCGCATGACGCCGGCGGTGAGAGTGGGATATAGGAGGGAGAAGTCGGATTGGGAGAGGTGGACGGTGCCGCGGAGGGTGAGGAGCCAGGCGGGGGCTTCCTGGGCGCGGGCTTCGGCGGCGAGGGCGGTGGCGGTGTGGAAGTTGGAGGGCCAGTACATGAAGGCTTCGGAGTTGATACCAAGGAGGGGGGAGCGGATTTTGTGGGCGGGGTTGGGTTCAGAGGGGTGGACGGGGCCGCTCCAGATGTCGTAGGTGACGCCTTGGGCGATCTGGGGGAAGCGTGCGGGGTGGCGGAGAACGGAGATGGCGGTGGCGGCGCCGAAGGAGTGGCCGAGGATGGTGGCTTGGTCGAGGTGGAAGCGGTGCTTCCAGAGGGTCCAGTCAATTCCTTGCAACCCGTTGGAGCTGGCACCGGTGTAGCCTTTGCGACGGAGGTTCTTGTTGGCAACCTCTTGCCCTTGTCCGTTGCAGATCTTCGCCAGGACGTTGTAGGCCTCCTCGATCTCCGCCAACCGCAATTGCAGTTGTGCATGCCGCAATTCTTTGTCGATGCCCTGTTCGCTGGTGGGAGCGGTGTCGTCGGGGTTGTATTTCGAATAGATGTAGTCCACCTTATCCCATCCCCGCCGCCGCTGGCGCGGATGGTGGTCCACCCCGTTCCGCTCCAGATGCTCCACACTCCCTTCGCCCTCCTCCTCATGGAGCACGATCGTCCGTGGCCCCGATCCATCTCGATGTTCGATTGCGCAGACCACAAACCCGTAGCTTGCGAACTCGCCGCACACACTGCTATACACTGTCCGCGTCCCGCCCAGTCCATGGCAGAAGACCATGAGAGGAAATACCGGCGGATCCTCCTCTCCCTCTGGCACCTCCCCCTCCTCCTGCTTGACCCTCGTCCCCCGCGTATCCACGTTCCCCCCCGGCGGCCAATGCTCCGCGATCCCCGCGTTGCGAAACGCCGGGATCTTGGTGAACATGGTGGTCGCGAAGAAGAACGGGACCATGGCCCATTTGGCGCCGGCGAATTTGCCGTAGCCTTTCGCGGATTCCAGGCGCGGACGCGGAAGCCAGGTCTCCCGCGACCAGCGGTGCTTCCCTGACGGCGACTTTCCGGACCCGGCGCCGTGCGCGGCGGGATAGTAGATGTTCATGAGCACAGTTTCGAGGCGGAGGATGTGGTGGCCTTCGCGTGTGATTTCGGATATGACGCGAGGGTTCTCGGCGGGGACTTCGATGGCCATCACGCCCACCTATGTGTATTAGCTTTGGAGTGGATTCGTTGGGAGACAAGTCTACCGTATATGGCCCCGAGTATGTGGGTAAGGATGCATGGAGAAACCATGGCTGATCACGGATCGATGTGGGAGGTCGAGTTTTCGGTTTCTTTGCGTTCGGGATACCTCCTTGTCCTAAGAAGCTTTTGGTGCTGGGTTTATGTGCTGTGTCATCTCGTCCGGTTCCCTTGCCGGATATTCGATCTCGAAAACCCATGTTTTGTGAAGAGAGATGGTCCACACAGCCCGGTCGTGACATGAAATTGCCAGCAATGCATCGCGAGGATCATAGGACGGAAATAGGAATATCGAGTTTGATATGAAAGGTTCTGAGACTGCTTAGCTTGCCTGATTCTATGGGATCAAAGGTATCGACATCCCCGTAAATTCCCAGCCATTACGTTGGACGGAAAAGCATTAGGTCCCAGGACCCAGTGCTGAATAACTCCACAGTTTACAGGAGACAGCCAGACAGGGAATCTCGGAAGCGTCCCTTACCGAACCGAACGGACAAGAGATCTGATGGTCAATCTGCCATTCCAAAAGCCGTGCAGAATACAAGGGGAGAAACTTGATATGAGAGTGAATGAAAAAAGGGACAAGGGGGGAGAGAAAGGAGAGGGGTGACGTCACTCCATCCATCGTCCATAATTAGTGACCTATACACAATACACGACGCCGACGTCAGAGAAGATATCAAAGTCATACAGATTAACCGATGTATTATTGCTTTTGATAATACCGTTGACGTATATGTAGATCTCCCTATGCCCTGGAGCTCATAAACCGCTTTGATCCTGCCGTCTGCCCACTTTTTGCTTTCCTCCTTTCCCCCCTTAGCTAAGTAACCCCCATAGTATCCATAGCCAACGATACATCACGCCTCAACCTTAGTCGTACACTACCAAAAACTAGACACCTAATCTCCAAAATGCGTCTCTTCGGCAGCCGTCGAGCCACCGACGTCGCTCCCTCTCCCACCACTGCCACCGCTCAACCTCACTACACCTCCCCCTCCCCCACCTCCACCTCGCGCCGCGGTTTCTTCGGCCGCCGCCGCCGCCACTCCGTTTCCCCTCCCCCCACCCGGAATTATGATAATACCAATGGTAGCATCGAACGTCGCAGCATGTTCGCCCGACGCCACTCCCTCTCCCCCTCCCCCTCGCGCCGCGGGATGTTCGGACGCCGTCGCTCGACCTCCTCGTCGTGGTCCCCGACGCGTCGCGCGCACGGAAGCAATCTGTTGAGTCGGCGCCATGAGGACGCGGGCATCGTGGCGGCGCGGGAGAGGGTGCTGGGGGCGGAAGCGGCGGAGCGGGAGGCGGATCGGGCGTTGGTGGGGGTGAGGGCGGCGGTGAAGGAGGCGAGGGAGCATGTGAGGAGATTGGAGAGGGAGGCGGCGGAGGAGTAAGTGATTTCTATTGCTCTTTCTTTTATTTATTTAAAGCAATGTGAAGCTGTTCTTGCTGGTGTTGGTGACGTGCTGACTCGATATAGGTCGCGTCTTGCGAAGATCAAGCGGAATCAGGCAAGGAGTATCTCAAAGCGGGCGAAGCCTCTTGGACGTAAGTGTGCTTGATCGGATTAACTTGAAGGAAGGCAATGCTAATGGAAAATAGGTCACGGCCATATTTAGAGGCTATCTCAGCCTCCCCTAAGGAAGAACCAGAATGATGACAGTATGACATGATATGTTTCTTTCCTACATCGACTTTGTATGATTGCGTGTACGACACCCAGCGACGGAGATTCCTTCGTGTTGTTTCAAGAAAGATGTTCATAAACAAGCGTTCGTTTTGTGAAGAAGAAGAAGAAGAAGAAGAAGAAGAAGAAGAAGAAGAAGAAGAAGAAGAAGAAGAAGGTGATGGACAATACTTGAACTTAAAGCAAGAGACTGGATAGGTGGGAATGCGAACTGTACTGCAACCTCAAATATCCCTCAATATATCTTTTCTTATTCCGCACTGAACACAACGATCTTTGACTTTGAACTGAATACGAAATTGACTCGGACAATGAGCGCTGATTGACTGGGCGGTGTTGAGTTGGCTGAAGGGAATTGCACCTTAAAGCCAAAGGCGTCCGAATGTTTCATCTCGTAAATGGTGATATGATGGGACTCTCCGATACAAGAAACACTGGATCACATTGATGAAAGACGATAATAATCCGTGATAATGTTTACTCTTAATTTCCGGGAACACTAGAGCTCTACTCCACAGGTTCCTTTTCCCGTAATGTCTTTGAATTGGGACTTGTTAGCGAGACGCGGGAAGACTAGGGGGAGACCCTTTCTCGGTGGCGGCGCCCAAGCTCCTTTCGTTGCTCTTTGCTGCTCATTGCTGCAACTCTCTGCAGGAATCCCTCCTCTCGACTGTTCGACTCCTTGACGTGTTCCAATCATCTCATCCTCCCCTCCTTGACTGCTTGGATCCTTTCGTTCCATTTCCATATCATCGTCCCTGTCTGACCTGCGTCGGTTCTGCCGTCTGTTCTGCCTGCCAAGTGCCAACACGTCCTATCGCCCGGACAGCAACGTGGAATCGCTGCGTTGTCACTTCCTTTGCGTATAATACTGACTGCTCGTGCTGTTTACTGTGCCTTGGTTTCAATTCTCCGTTTCAATCTTCCTTTTCCAGTGACCACCTGTATCAAGTTGCAAGTTAATCAATCATGGCCGAAGTCGAAGACCAGCCCGTTCCCCTCACCGAGGTCACCGAGGAAGCTGTCCAACCTAATGATCCGCCTACCGATCCCCTCGTTGAGCTTCCAAAATCTCCCGATGAATCCCCAGAGAAGACCGTGACCCCAAAGTCGGCATCGAGGGAGAATGTCCCTCCCAAACGTCCTCTCACCACCAGCGCCGCTCCTCGACGTCCAGGAACCACCAGTACCCGACCAACCTCTACCGCAACCGCTTCCACACCGGCCTCCCGCGCCCACATTGGAAGCAGCTTGTCCAAACCTCCTACACGACCCGCCGCAGGGAGCTCCGTTCGTCGCGGAACCGCCACCTCGACCAAGTCCACCTCCGATGCCGAACATGGTTCCCTCACCTCGGGTGATGAAGCGAAGAAGACCGGCGTTCACGCTCCATCGCGACGAATCTCCACGCTCTCCTCCAGCACAAGCTCCAGAGCCGCCCCGAAGACCACAACCACGTCAGACCGAAGGTCGACCATCACCCCCGGCTCGTCGGCTACATCTGCCGCGAGGAAACCGACGACGACGGCCACCACCACGCGTCCGAGTCCCATCAGCCCGACGAGGACACGCACGTCAACTGGAGCAACACCGGCGAGAACCCCTGCGTCTTCGCTTGCATCGAGGACAACGAAGCCAACCACGTCCGCTCCCTCGTCGAGGAGCACGGTGACTGCGCCGAAGAAGCCTGGCACAGCTGCCGCAACCTCGGGCACAGGCCTTAGGTACATACATCTCTTGGCTTGTATATAATAAACCCTAACTAGCATCAGGAGAACCACTACCGCCACCTCTGCGAAACCTGCACCGAAACCAACCGCCGCAAAGCCCGCCCCAGAAGTCGATGCCGACACAGCCGCCAGCGACAAGGAACTCAATGTTCGCGAAACGCTGGAGGCGCAAATCAAGGATCTCCAATCTGAGATCGCCGTCCTCCATAGCGAAAAGGCCGGCGGACGCGAATCCGCGGCCGACGACATCGAAGCCAAAGCCGCCGCCATCGCGGAGCTCGAAGAGAAGCACGCCGCCGAAGTTGAGAAGCTGCGCGCGGAGCTAGGGGCGAAGGCGGAGGTGGAAGGGGAGCTGGTGTCGATCAAAGTGCTGCTGGACGAGAGCCGGGCGGCGGCAGCGGCGGAAACGGAGAAGGCTGGGGCGGAGGAGACGAAGAATCGGGAGCTGCAGCAGGTGATTGAAGAGTTGCAGGCGGAGATCGAGCGCGTGCAAACGAAATTGAACGCTGATCATGAGCAGTTGGAGGCGGACCGGAAGGGCGCGACTGAGAAGCTCGAGATGCTGGAGGCGGCTCGGGAGAATGCGACGGGAAAGATCAAGGAGCTGGAAGCTGCGGTGAAGGAGAACTCGGGGTCGGCGGAGGAGGCCGTCCAGCTGAAATCCGAGCTTGAAACCCTCCGTCAGACGTCAGCTGCGCAGGCGAAGGAGGTTGAATCAAGCCTCGCAAAATCGGGGGAGTCAGTTAAGCAGCTTGAACTCGAGCTACAGACGCTCAAGGAGACACACGATTCGGCCCAGAAGCTCGCCAAAGAGGCCGCGCAGGAATCCGAGACACTGCACGCTACGCTCCAGAAACAGCTCGAAGATCTGCAGAAAACAAAGGAAGAGGAGGTCAAGGTGAAGGACGAGGAGCTCAGCAGCACGAAAGATATCGTCACTTCTTTGCAGGAAACAATTAAGAAGCTCGAGACAGATGGCGCGCAAGGCACGAGGACCGTCGATGAGTTGCAGTCTGCTATTACTGAGCTGAAGGAATCGAACGACGCCCTTGTGAAGTTTAAGGATGAGGAAATCAAGAAGGTTAATGCCGTTCGTGATACCCTTACAGCCGAGAAGGAGCAACTGCAAAAGGGATCTGATGCCTCGACCACCGAATTGAACGAAAAGATCGCCTCGCTCACCCAATCTGTCACATCGTTGCAAGTAGAGATCACGACCTTGCGCGATAGCGAGGAAAGCCATCAAGCCGAACTGGCGGAGAAGAGCAAGATCGAGACGAAACTCCAGGAGCAGATCTCCACATTGCAGCACGAGTCAGCTGATGCAGCGCGGACCGCGACGGAGGAGGAGAAGCGGCAGCGCAGCATCATCGAGGAACTGCAGACCGAGCTCCAAGGCCAGAGAGAGATGATCGCGAACTCGCAGAACGAGGGACTCGCGGCGGCGAAGGAGTTGAAGGACCTTCAGGCGAAATCGAAAGAGGATGCGGAGACGTTAGTGAAGGAGAAAGAGGAGGTTGAAGCTCGTTTCAGTGGAGAGGTGGAGGAGCAGAAGGGGGTGATTGAGAAGCTCCAGGATAAGATCAAGGCTGTGCAGAAGGAGAATGCTAACTTGGTGGAGGAGTCAAAGGATTTGGAGTCCTTGAAATCACAGCTGGACACCGCTCAGCAAGAGAATGCTAAATTGACTGAGCAAACCAAGGATTTGGACTCCTTGAAATCACAGCTGGAAAGCGCCCAGAAAGAGGCGAAGTCGCTCCAAGGCGAATTGGAGGCCGCTCGTTTGCAGACCCAGAGTGTTACCCAGATCCTCCACAACCTGGAAAAGGAAGCGGAAGAGAAGGACGCCAAGCAGACCGCGGATCTGGAGAAAGTGCAAAAGAGCGTTGCCCAGTCTACGGAAGAGCACGAAGCCAAGATCCAATCCCTCATCGACGAACATGTTGAGAAGGTCAAGACTCTCGAATCCGCAAAGGCGGAGACCCTGAGTGCGCTCCAGTCGAAGCTCGATGCCGCACTCAAGGACCAGAGCGGTGCGGAGCAGGGCCATTCCGATGCGCTCGAGCAGCTGCGCGCCAAGCTCCAGCAGCAGCACGCGGCGGAGCTGGAGGCGTTGCAAGCAGAGCAAGCTTCATTGGCTTCGGAACTCGAGAAGGCGACGGGCTCACACAAATCTGCCATTGAGAAATTACAAGCTGACCACCAAGCTGACCGCCAAGCTGTGCTGGAGGAGAAGTCGAAACTCCAGGAACAGCATGCCGCTGAGTTGACGAGTCGATCGGTCGAGTCGGAGGAGTCACTCAAGTCCCTCCAAGATAAGCTCGCGGCTCTTACATCCGCTGCAGAATCCGGCGACCAGAAGGTCACAGATCTCGAGGCCAAGCATGCCACGGCGCTCGGGGAGCTCGAGAAGATCCACGCCTCGAGTCTTGCCGCGGCGCAATCCGAATGGGAGCAATCCACCACGAAAACCAGGGACGAGGCCGACAAGACCTACACCGAAAAGGTCGTCACCCTCGAAGCCTCCCTCGACGAACAAAAAGCGGCCCTCGCCAAAGCCCAATCCGAAGCCGCTCAAGCCGTCGCCGGCGCTGACGCCCTCGAAACCATGAACGCCGAACTCAACACCCAAGTCGAGAAACTCAGCAAAGACCTCACGGCAACCAAAGACGCCGCCACGGCCCACGCCACCGACGCAGCGCAGATCCAGTCCCTGGAAGCAGCCGCCGCCGATGCGTCGAACGCCCGCAAAGAGCTCGAGAACCGCCTCGCGGAACTACAGGCGCAGGTCGAGACGTCGCAGAAGGCCGCGGGCAAGGTCGCCGCGTCGCACGAGCATGTGATCCGGCTGGAGACGACGATTGCGGAGCTCGAAGCGAAGTTGCGAGCCAGTGGGGTGGAGAACGAGAAGCTGCGGAATGCGGGGAAGGGGCTAGAGAGCAGCCGGTGGGCGGCGCCGGAGAAGGAGGTGGATGCGGCGGAGGAGAGTGCCGAGAGCGTGGCTGGAGAGGTTAGTGCTGGACGTGTGGGCGGTGGTACGCAGGGCTTCTCGATCGAGGGAACTGTGGGCCTTCCCTTCGCTTTTTCCTCGTGTTTGGCGCGTGCTGTTTCATGTCGATCGCTCGGGGTGGCGGGGACCGTGGGGGTGGGGGTCGGGGCGCTGGTGGCGGTCCTGTACCGGTGTGCCCGACCATCGTCGTCGTTCCCGCCGTTCCGGGGGGTTTTTTACTTCTTTTCTGCGCGGCGCGATGAGTTTTGATGTTTGGTATTTTAATGGGGGTGACGCTAACGGGTTTTTTTACGGTGTAGTTGGCCAGCCTCCAGGAGCAGGCACGGCAGTTGGAAGAATTGAACGATGATTTTCTGGGGGAGGCGGCGAGGTGAGTGGGCTTTTTCGTCCGCGAGGGCGTTCGTTCCTACTTTCGATGTCTTGCTGACGAATTCGCCAGAACAATCAAGCTGGACAACGGCTCCGACACCGCGACGACCACCGGTGCTGAGTCTACATGATGTAGACGAGCGTACCGCCGCGCACCGCCCAAATCGACGGGTGTGCTTGATATCGGCATTTGGCGGCAGCGTGTTTCCTTTGTGGCACATCCTTTCGTTCCAGATACCCTCTTCCACTGTTTTTTTCGTGTTTGAAAACATGTTCTCCACACTTGGTGTGTTTATTGGGCCGTGTTCGTTTATCAGTCAATATGAAAAGGCCCTTTTGCGGGTGATTGGAAGAATGTTCCGTGTGAATTTGACATTCGGGGCTGGATTGGTCCGTCGTTGAGAGGGTTTTAGTACGTTTTCGTGCGTAGCAAGCGGTGCATGCAATCCCGTCTATTAGCGATGCGTTCGTTCCGCGTGTGTTTGCCGAAGTTCTGCGCCGTTCTATATGCTCCGGGTGAAGTCAAACCGTTCCTAAGCCAAGAAAATGCGCTGTTCGGGGCCCGCGGGTTGGAATGGCGAGCGTTTGCTTACTTGAGAATCCACGGGCACTGGAATTATAGCGGTCACCCTGAATATATTGGCAAGTGTGGAATCCCGTCCTTCGTCTCTCCGATATGAGGCAGATCTACCGTATGCGACTACCGAATGCCCACAGGCCTGAAAGTACGGTAGAAGAACATATTGAGAAGAAGATTTGTTGATATACAACTAGGACGCCATGCTTGATGGAACAACTCTGGAACCGAATTCGAAACTATGAAAGGGAATTCTAACTCGCTCCGACACGGTTTGCGCATATAATCAGATCCTCTAACACCTTCAGCTCAGGCTATCCCGCGCCTTGGTAAGTGAAATAACCCTGATGCTTGTTGCTCTAGCTGTCAGAACTCAATCTGATAGGCCTCTGTTACTGGGGGGCTACTCGAACACTCTCCTAGGTCCAGGCGTACCTTGAACTCGTCAGAGTAATTGGGATAAGAGACCGAATCTATGGAGATAGGAGAGTATAAAGAGACAGCCGGCATCTGGTGTGTTGTCCACTGAATAGTTCTTTAGCATGGCACCTTTCACATGTGTTGAGAAGGGTGAATTAAATGTAGTATATATGTAAATCTGGCAATTTTACTATCAGCGGAAATGGTCATATTGGTTTAACGACCGATGCGGATCAAGTACAGCTGAAAAATGATACCAGTCCCATGGAACAGACACCTGGGGCCTGCGAGATGGTTGACTTTCTTCACCCACCCAATGAAGGTGGGGCAAGTTTTTGCTTTTGCTGCAGAGACGCTGTTTTGATGGACAACTGACAGGTACCTGGTTTCAAAAGGTACATCAAGTGTTTTTGTAAGCGAATATCTAGATGTGTAAGGTCGCCGGTTCGAACCATGCTTGCGGCAGTTCTTTGATATTAGGTTTGAAGTGCGAGAATGATGATCTAGTAGCCGATAGAGCTTGGTACAATATACAATAGCCTCTACATCTTCTCAAACTGATAGATGATGCGAATTGGAATCGTACATCATACATAATATCTTCGCTCTGCAAGATGAGAGTGATGTATGATACGGTTGGGAATTTGGTGGAATTAGGGGAGATATGAGTATCACGTGACTGATACAATCCACCAACCAACAGCCACGCTAGTCACATCCTTGTTTGTTTACAAACTTCGCGGCTCCTTGTCAAATGTCAACTCCCCGCCATCCCAACTATGATGCGAATTGTATCGCCATCGCGTAACTTCTTACGACAAAATCTCCTAAAACGAACGTTCTGAAATAATCGCACTCTCAGAACCATCCACCATGCCGAAACGCGCTGCAGCGACGTCCCTGGCGCAGCTCGTCGATCCTCTCTCAGATGACGACTTCCAATCCGACCACGGCATGATGCCGACGCCCGACTCCACGAACGAGAACGTTGCCCCCTCGAAGCGCAAAGGCACAGCGAAACCCAAACCGGCCACCACCCGCGCCACAAACCGCGTCGCGAAGAAACCAGCCGCGCGCCGAACCAGCGGCGCATCCCTCGTCGTAACGGGCGGCACGAAGCGCAAGGCCGGCACCACCAAGGCATCCCGCGCCGCGCTCGCGGAGCGACCGAATCCTGCTGGTGAAGTAGTGGGCGGAAGCGATACGGAAGAGGTGGATGAGTTCGACGCGGCGGTCGAGGACGTCAGTCTGGTCGAAATACCTATGCCACCGGTCGAGGCGGTGAAGCCGGCAAAAGGGAAAGCGGGGAAGACGAGGGCACCGAGTAGGTCGAGAGCGCGGGCGACGATACCGGCACATGAGCGAAATGGGAGGCCGGCGCCGAGGAAGAAGGGGAGGCAGGAGGTAATTGTGGAGGAGCCGGAGGAAGACGTGGAGGAGTCGGTGGAGGAAGAAGAGCAAGCGATGGCGATGGAGGTGGATGAGCCAGTGAAGGAGGAGGAAGAGGCGATGGTACCGGTGCCGGTGCCGGTTCGCACAGCATTGAGGCCGATACCATCTGCGACGGCGAGCGCACGCACGCGATCAACGTCACGGCAGCCACAGCCGCTGGGGATGGGCTGGAGAGGAGGCAGCTTCTCTGACACGGAGCGGAGCAGTGATCCGATGTTACGGCGTCGGATTGGGGAGTTAACGAAGAAGATGGAGTCCCTGGAGCTCAAGTACCGCAACCTGCGAGTAGTCGGGATGCAGGATGCCGAAACGAACTTCGACCGTCTGCGTCAAGGTACCGACCAAAGAGCCAAAGGTATGCCACATCTCCTCTAGAACCATGATCTTTTAGAAACATACTAACACCCCCCAGCCCAAGATGACCTCATCGCCTCCCTCAAGCGCGAACTCTCCATCGCCCGCTCCACCACCACCCCACCCCCCGACACCTCCCATCTGACCACCCAAATTACGACCCTCACCACCCAGCTCACCACCGCCACTGCCCAATCCAAATCCCTCACCACCCAAACCCACGCCCTCACCTCCCAAAATCACTCCCTCACTTCGGAAAACCAGCGCCTCGCCACCAAACTCGATGCCCTCACCGCCGAAAACGCCGGCCTCCACACCGACTCCAAATCCCTTTCTTCCGCCCTGCACTCCGCGCAGTCCGACGCCAAATCCCTCTCCGCTGCCCTACAATCCGCACAGTCCGAGAACCGATCCCTCGCCGCCAAGCTCGCCAGCACGCGCGCGTCGTCGGCGCCCGCAGAGACGGGGAAGCCGCCGGCGAGCACGAAGAAGGCGCTGCCGGTGGTGCAGCGGGGCGCGGGGGGAAAGGCGGCAGTGGAGCTGGCGGTGGCGGAGAAGGAGCGGGAGGTGCGGGAGATGCGGGTGAAGGAGGAGTTGTATAGCGATTTGACGGGGTTGATGATCCGGGCGGTGAAGCGGGGGGAGCGAGAGGATGTGTTCGATTGCATTCAGACGGGGCCGAACGGAAGTAAGTTTCTCTCCTTTTTTGTATTCGTTCATTTTACCCCCGTCTTTCCTTCCTCTCTTCCGTCGTTACATCCAAGAACACAAATCTAACAACCTCTCTCAGCCCTCCGCTTCAACCTCCACGTCCCCTCCCCCGACGCCCCCTCCAAAGGCTCCACCACCCCCCACCTCCCCAGCAGCAACGCCTACGAGGACGACGAGATCGGCTATACGCCGCTGCTGGACGCGAAAAACGACCGGGAGCTGCTGGCGATCCTGCCGGACTATCTGACCGAGGAGATCTGCTTCCCGCGAGGGAGCGCGGCGAAGTTCTATGGGCGGGTCATGGGGAGTATGAGCGCGCGGGTGGAGATGGAGGGGTGAATTTGGGGGGATTGTGGGAGATGGTGTTACGAGGAAGGTGATTGGGTGGGTTTGGGGGGGTGTTTCAGTGGGATGGATTGGTTATTTCATGTCTCGTCCTGATGAGTTGTGATATCCATTTTGGTTTCGGTCTCGAGCCTCGAGTGGAGGAGTTGTTTTGGATCCCGAAAATTCGGTCTCGAGTCATTCGCGTTTAGGATTCAATAGTCGGGTTGGAAGGGTTCGATTGCAGTTGAATTGCTACAGGATTTATGCCCGTCATTCGCTCCTTGTGAACACCAAACCCGCGCTGCCTTCTAGATCCATCGAAGGTCCAATCCCCCCATCACCAACCCAGAAGAATCCCCTGGATTCTTCTCCAACAAAGGAAATTCGTCCCATCGTCCGTTTTTTGCGCGGTGGAAAAAATGCTGAGAACAAGAAAGGAAGGAAAAGGGGTAGGTGGGCATATTAAACAATACTCGAAACGAACATCGGGGGGGATGTGCCCGATCAATGCGCCGCCGGAAATCCACTCCGGAGAGAAAGTGCTGCCAGTCATCCGCGAAAATGACGGCTACCCCTCCCGAAAGCAAGATGAAAGACTCCGGCGCACCCACGAGCCTCTCACCACGTTCCCCTAACTATACCTCGTCGGTGGCGTACCCCCCGCCACCGGCCCACCGTTCACGTCGACTCCATTCCCCGCAAACCCATTCGTGCCGACCTCACTCCTCTTCATCACCTCCAGGGTGCCGGGGAAGTACGGCTCAACGCCATAGTTCCGCAGGTAGCTTGCGGTCTTCTCGATGCGTTTGATCTCGCGCTGCACGCCCCAGTCATGGCCCTCGTCGTCGAACCGTCGGCGCACGACGCTGACCATCTCATCGTCGAGCCGGTGGTAGAACTCCTTCCGTGCCAGCAGGTCGCCGGTGTCTCCGGAGGATTCCAGGCCGCCGTGGGAGTTGAGGTTGCCGCCGAGCTTGAGGATCAGGTCGAAGGCGAAGCGGGGGCCCGCGGGGAGGCGGGCGAGGCGGGAGATGTCCGGGAGGAATTTGGACATGGCGGCGGCGAAGTGGGAGGCGGAGATGGAGTCGTTGAGGTCATCTTGGAGACGGTGGAGGTCGAAATTGACGATGGTGATTTTGCGGTCGAGTTGGGCGTTGAGCGTGGCGGCGGCGTCCGGGGAGGCGTCCATTTGCTTGGCGATGCTTGAAGGGACGTCTACGTATTGCTGTTAGTCTCTTCCGGTTGACGAGGAACGATTTCACTCGTTGGTGCTTGGACGAGGGAACTTACCAGGCCGTAACCCCCGCTTGTCAATCCAGCTATGCACCTCACTCCTTTCCCTCTCCAACGACTCCACCCAAGCTTGCAGCTCCGCGACCTGCGCCTCCAACTGGTCGATCTGATCCGTATACGGCCTAATCGCCTCGTTGAACGCTCGCGTCAACAAATCCGGCATTGGTTCTGTCTTCCCTGCCGCCAGTCCGGTCGCATGATCGGGTCCATATCCTGCCTTCATGGGGAACCCGTTCGGATGCCCATTCGTCACAGGGCTTATCGGACTCCCCATGGAGCCTTGAAGGGGGGGCGCATATGCATCTTGCGGACCACGGGAGCGGGAATACATCTCGTCGGCGCTGTCGATGTCAAGGTCTTTCTCGAGGGTGTTCTTGGCCGATTTGGTGACGGTACCCGATAGACGCCTCGCAGCAGCGGGTGCGGTTCCGGGGGGGAGATTGTGCTGGGCGGTGGCGGCGTTGGGATCGTAGCGTTCGCGGTCGTAACGGGGTTCCTTGGTAGGCGAGGATGGATCGTAGCCTTCGTCGACGTAGGAGTTGCTGCGGCTGCCGCGGGAAAGACGCTTGAAGAACATGGTGAAGAGAGAGGAGCGAAGGGAGGGCGGTTGGTAGGGGAAGGTTAAATTGGATGGGAGAGGATGGGGTGAGGTGAGAAGGAGTGGCTGGGGATGGGAAATTTGGAGAGGGCTGGCGATAGGATTTGGCGCGGATATGGCGTGGATTTGAAAGGATCACGGATGAGGATCACGTCGAGCGAGATTGATGTAGGTAATTGGCTTTTCTTGGTTCGGATATGAGACCGGTGATTGCGGGTTCGTGGGAGAGGTTGGGGGTGGGGATCGACCCGGTCCGAAGTGGCTGGGGAGTGGATCGGGTAGCGGGTCAGGGGGGAACTTTTTCCAAAGTGCAATTGAAAGCGATTGATAAGAGACGAAAACACAAAGAAGCGAAAGAAGATGAATGGTTTAAATAAAGTGACAAGATCGAAGGTGAAATGGAAACGAAATGGAAGTGAGGGAGAGGTTGGAGGTGCAATGTAGGAGGAATTGAATCTCATCGTGGCGGGCGGAGGGCACGTGATCAGGGAGTGGCCGAGAGGTAGGGACAGGGGTAATTTGACCAATCAGCGATAACATATCTCGACTTCACTATAAAGGAGAGGCTCCCAACGGCATCTGTGTGACGCCTGTACAACCCTCTGTGCAACCATCTGCGACAATACTCCTGCATTACGGATATGCCGTGCTCAGGATGAATGATGGGAAATTCGGTATTAACCGAGATAGAAGGGAAGTAGGAAGGTAGGAGGGTAGGTAGGCGAGTAGGTGGATAGGCGGGTAGGCGGGTAGGTAGCGTTGAAGACGGACTTTCATTCATGCAGATAGATAGGTACCGGTAGATACCTATCTGCAGCAGCTATGACTTGCTATCTACCTCTCCCGCCTTACGGAGCTTCTCCAGACCACCGTTGGCCGGTGTAGAATGTCTTATCGTACCATTCTCCTTCCCCTTGGTCGTCTTGCTCTGTAAACTCCCATTCCCCTCCACCACCCCCTCTTCCCCGAACTCAATCCCGCTCATAAAAACCTCACTCACCCCCTCCAACCCCGCCACGAAGACGCACAGCGCGCTCGCTATCACGAAATGGCTGATCGTCGTCCCGATATCCAACCAGCTCCCCTCGTCGCGCACCATGTAGAAGAAATTCAACGTCATCACGTCGCTCACCGCCATCACCACCATGAACAGCGCGCTGGGCGCCACCCCAAGCTTCCGGTTGAGGATCCCGAGGTTGGCGGAGATGACGGCGAAGGGGATCATAATCTTGAATATGAGGAGTGCGCCTTGGGAGAAAGGGTCGAAAACGGGGATGAGGCGGGAGACCGCGTCGAGGGAGAAGGAGGAGACGGAGGCCATGTTACCGGTACTGAAGAAGGCGGATTGGAGGAGGTAGAAAAAGAAGAGGGCGATGCGGGCGTCGGAGAGGGTGAGGGAGCGGAAGTCGGGGGTGGTGGGGGAGGAAGGGCGTGGTTTGGTTGCGGTGCGACCAGGTTGGGTGGGGTTCTCATCGGTTAGTGTCGGAGGCGATGATGTCGACGTGAAGCCGAAGATCTGGTGCTCCAACCGCACCCAGGTGACCAGAGTAGTGAAGAAGACGACGTAGAAGAGGCCCTCGTATGAGATGGTGAGGATGATAAAGATCGGCGAGAAGGCGAGGAAGATGGCCACGAGGCGGTGGAAATAGTGGCGGTTGGGTCGAAGACCATGGAAAAACGGAACGATCAATGACGAAACTAATTGCGGTCAGTCGGAACGATCAAGTACCGGCTCGATCGGTACACATACCAAGGACGATCCATCCCACGACCTGCGTTCCAAGCGGGAGCCCTTGTTTTGCCTGAAGAGACATGACACTGGATCGAGTGACGACCATAGCGAGAAGTACCAATCCAACCTGAACACCGATTATAATCCTCGACAGTCCGTCAGAAGGGATCGACTCCTTTGGGCCGTTCTGGATGATGCTCTTTTCGAACAAGAGATAGATAATTCCCACGGCGAACATCAAGGTGCCGCCAATTAATCTGCTCTTGCTTAGTCCATGCCATCGAGGGAGATAATGGTTAACTCACATTAATGTCAAATCCTCCGTCTTGATCGCCGGTAGGATCGTAAACCCACTCATCAGAATGCAGGAAGCAGCCCAAGTGGCGCATAGCGACCGATTCTGCCGCAGAAAAATGGCCCCATAAAACGCCGGCCATGCTGCTGCCAGGATATAGCAGATCGTATAAATCTCTCGATAGAAGTAGCTCTGAACCTGTGATGGTGTATCAGCAACATGCCCTATCTCCATGTAACGATTTTAAACTCACCAATGCCTCCAAAATGCCCACAAACGCCCCCGCCCGCAGCAAGAACCGCAGATAATCCTTGACGCCGTGCAAATGCCCCAATAGGACTTCGCGACTATCCCTCAACGACGCCCGTCGCGCGTACACCTCCTCCCAGAACGCCACCGGAAAAACCGCGTAGGCGTAATACGTCCACGACGACCGCTGGACGGCCAGCAACGCGGCGATCGCCACGAGCGCCGACGAGAAGAACATCACACTGCCCACACTTCGCTGCGCCGCCGTGCCGCCGTGCAGCACATGCAGATCGACCACCGTCGTCGCTGCGAACGCGATCCACCCGAGGAAGCCCGCCGTCACTAACGTGCGCAAGAACAGCCAGTCGTACGTCTGCAGGTACCGCAGCCCCTGCAACGTCGTCCGCATCAACTCCGTCATCTGCGCGATCGCCTCCTCACATCGCCCCTCCTGGATCAGCCCCTGGATCCCGCGGATCTGCGCTTCAGCCGCCACCCCGCCCCCCAGCTCATCGAACTCGCCAAACGGCACGAACCGGATCTGCGTCCCTCGCTTTTGTGCCTCCTTGACTCTGTACATCTCCAAGATCGCCCGCGCGTTCACTAGAAGCGCCGACGCCTTTTTGTGCGCGTCTGCAGAGACGTACGCTAGTGGTAGCTCCCCGACGGAGTTGACCGGGAACTCTAATCCGGCGAGATACGTCATCAGCGCCGCCACGTCCGCCTGCGCGACGTCGTGTCGTGCAACCTGGTCGAAGCCCCAGTCCGCGCTAAACCCATCCTCGTGCCCGAGAGCCAGGGAGCCAGGGGCGGAGAGCACGGGTGGCGCAACACCGGATCCCCAGGCGACGAGCGGGGTGCGCGTGTTATCCGGATGGCCGTCACCGTGTGAGCCCCAATCGGACATCCCATGGTCCGCGGTGAAGATGTAGGCGGTTTTCCCATCGTTGTAGAAGTTATCGATGAGCGCGGTGACGCGCTTGAGGCCCGCATCGACGACCTTGATATTATGGAGGTATTCCTTCGAGTAGGGTCGGAATCCGTGGCCGGTGGTGTCAAGGCCGAGGAGGTGCAGGAAGAACACGAGGCGGTCTTCGCGCAGCGCGGCGTTGAGCGTTGCGTTGGTCTTTGCGGCGGAGAAGAGCGCGTCGACTCGCTCGAACACCCACGTGTCCAGTGCCGTCGCATCCGCCGTGAAGTCCTCCGCTTCGGCCGTGTACATATCCGCATCCACGCGGCCGGGGACGGCGCCCTCCTTGAACATGGGCAGGATGTCCGGGGAGCCCCAGCTCCAGGTATGGCGGGAGCGGTTGAAGACGCTGTCGAAGTTGACGGGATTGAGCTTCCATCCGGTGGTGACGGCGGAGACGTCTTCATAGAGGCCGGCGATCAGGGCGACATGGCCAGGGCGGGATTCGGTGGGGACGCGGGTGTGGGAGACGCCGAAGGTGCCGTGGTGGAGGACGCGGGAACGGAGGAAGGGCATGAGGGGGCGGGGGGTGTCGGGGGAGGGGTCGTGGGGGGAGGGAGAGGGGTCAGGGAAGGATTGGAAGGCTTTATCGGCGCGGAGACCGTCGCCTTGATTGTATTGTTAGTATCGATCCCGCAGCATTTAGTTGATTAGTGTAGCTGTGAAGGAGACGATGTAGGTGGCTCGGAGAATAGAAGCTGGGGACATACCCACGATCAACACCAACCGCTTTGCCGGCGCCTCCACCTCTTCCACCTTATGCGCCTTCATTCCGCTCACGATCGGACTGACGAAATAAATGTCGAAGATGCTGTAGATGTACACCACGTGAAAGATGACGGCGATGGCCAGGAAGCCTTTCCGGCCGAGAGGAGCCATGATGGAAGGAGAAGTAATGAGCGGCGCGTCTCAAGACGAGACAATTGATTGATTGGGTTGGGGATGTGGCTCCCAAGGGAGAGAGAAGAAAGGAAGCGTTCACAGGCACGGGGTTGAGGGTTTGGCCATGGTCATAAACAAATGATTTTGGATGTTGGAATCAAGTACCTAAGTTAGAGGAATAATAGCTAGTTACTTAAATTACGGAGGCAGCTACTAGGACGCTAGGAGCGGTAATATATTAGTAATGTATTCGTAACCGTGCACGATATGGGGAAAACTGTCGAACCTTGATATATCTAATTACCCCCCTCTTCTGTCATGGCGCCCAAACCACTAAGGATTTAGTAGCTGGTAACGCTGTTGAATTGCTAAAGAGAAAAGGAAAAGATTTCTCTCACTGCGATCTGCTATTATTTACATCTGTGAGCAAACCGTCTACCTATCCCTGATTCTGCCTTAGGCCGCAAGGCCACAACACACAGACTGGTCGAAGCCCAAGACTGTCACATCGTCTAGATTCTTAGAGGGGCCCCTTTTAGGGATTTAGCTTGGTTGGGTAGATTCATCAAAAACCTCTCCCTACTCAGCTACTCTGATCTGACTCCCGTTTGAGACTCTGAGAGCTCGCATTGGTGCCAAGGGCCTAATGGTCACAGGGACATAATCGCATAACCCTTAATGGAGAGGAAGAACCGACTGAATTAACGAGCTAACGAATGATCTGAACCTGTATGTGTTGAAGAATGAAATGGGTTCCTCGCCATTATAAACGACAGACTATTTAGGTGACCACCTTCGCAATTTCTCTTCCAACCCCCATGAAGCTCGGACTAATAGTATTTAGGGTCATTTGGATCGGTGAGGTCGAACACCACAGCACTATGCGGTTTAGCTCCTCCACGATTCGCGAACTCTCGCGGGAAGTCAATCGTGCGATTGAAGCTGAGTCCGCCATCCGGCAAGATGTCAATGTAAAGAGCCTGGAAATCTGCCGGCGTGTTGATCACACCGATTTCACCAGTCTGGACAAAGTAGTCCGTGACGACAATATGCTTTTGGTCGGGAGTGACCTTGATGTAGTGGGGCCCGATAGTGTCTTGGTCTTCATCAGGATTGTCAAGGCGTTTGACATTATCAAGATCACTGATATCAAGAGCCGCAATGTGGTTCGCTGTGGTAAGCGTGAAGTAGGCGTATTTGCCGTCTTGCGTGATATCGGAACTGGAAGCTGTCAGTCATAGTTGCTCGAAGAGGATTCGCAACCTACTAAATAGCCACTGTGTCCCGAGCCTTTGGTCCCAGGTCGTAGAGGGGTTCTGCGACTCCTTGCTTTCCATTTCCGTCTTTGCGGAACGGATAAATTACCCAAACTTGACCCAGGTGGACGGCTGTAGCAAGAGCAGCAGATTCCGGGTTCCCGGGGATGAACTTGACGTCCTGGATCCCGCCCCCCTTGAAAGAAGTTAGCAGATTCCGATAAGTTACGAAGAGCAACGTACGTTTGGTATAGTGATGGTGCTGATGATCTCTCGTGTAGGCAAATCCCAAAGTCGTAGTGTGTTCGCCTTCGCAATTCCCAATGTTGGCTTGAGGATTGAGATAGGGACAACGAAATCCGAGGTCAGAATCACATCCCGTTCGAAGTCGATTGTCAGCCCGTGAGGACTGAACTGCTCTCCTAGAATATTGAGGAGGCCGCTGACATCTTCGGGCCATTCATGAATGACATTAAAGTTCGCATCAGTCTCAACAAGTCGTCCTGGAGATGTGCCGACAGCAGCTGCACCCTGTCAGACCTTGCAATAGGGATGGACAAAAGAAACTCACAGCCCATGTATGTAATGAAGAATCCTCTGTGTCTGGGTTAGACCTGACATCGAATATTTGTGGGTATGACTTACCCATCTGGCTTGGCCCTGATCTCATCAACGATGGAAGAAAGCAAAGCGCGATTGCTTTTCTTGAATGTTGGGTGATACGGGTCGGAGGTATCGAAGTAGAACGCAGTGTCCTATACCATCAGTCTGCTATGATATTCGGAGCAAGGCGGCTACTCACCTGGGTCTTCAACAAGGACAGAAGTCCCCCTCCGATCAATGTCTTCCCGTCAAGCGACGGACCGAGATGATGAGGACTGTTGCCGCTCGATGGTACGTCCGTGATCCAAAGAAGCGTGCCAAAGGTGTCCTATCTTTTGTCAATCTCTTATCATCGTCATCGCGTCCTGTATAAGTGTGGGATTGGCTCTAGAAGGCAGCAAAGTTCAAACTCACATCATCAAGACTATACGTGGCCAAGAAGTCTGAAATCAATGTCAGTGATCTTTCAAGAAGCACCTACGTTGCGCACTCACCCTTGTGCTGGTTGTCTCCTGCCGCAGTCCAAAAGTAGCCAATCTTCTTCGGCTTGATGTTGCTGCCTTCAAAGGGAGGGCTCTCCAACGGTGGGGTCGGCACCTGGAGAATTGGAAGAGGAGGAGCAGCGTTCGGGAGCAGCGGGACTGTCACTCCAGGGATCGACGGAATGAGAGGCGGCAAAGAGATGGAGAGTGCATTGCTGCATGCGAGAAGCGCGCCAACTGTAAGGCTCTTGGATAAGAAGGTCATCTTGGAGCAAATAATAGACTCAAATGAACTCGAAAAGTTGCCTGCGACCTTTTGAGCGGATTGGTGATGACTATGAAGGAATATATATCTCCCTACTTACCTGGTCACGCGACTGAAGAGAATGAACTTCAACCCCATCTCCTCTGAAGCCAAAGATATAACAATTCGTGGCTTTTCTTGCATCATATTCTGGTGATGACCTTGATGAGAATTGAGACTGATCTTGGAACTCAGGAGAAGGCAAATTCAACAGGCTTGCACTATAGAAAGGATAAAGAGCAATGGGGTGTCTAGAAGAGCCAAATTTGGATGACTATGGCCCGCAAGTCCGCCGAATTGTTGTCGAATTTCCCAAACTGGACACTCATCGACAGGACAGAAGACGGAACTGGCACCATCCTACCTAACTAGGCGAATTATTGCCATGAACCTGGAAATGAAAACAGGGGTGATGGCGATCTCTGTTCATGGAGCTGCCAAGAATCGTGAGAACGATCGCAGTTTGTATCCCACGGTGTGTTCAAAAGCTTCCGAAAAGGCGACGTGTTGCGCTCAGACTTCGAATTAAGGGGTGCGGCTCGATCTGATTGGAGAGGAGGTGATAGGCTGCGAGTTGAATGGAGACGAGAAGTTCCACTCTTTGATAGGATATATTGACACTGAAGTGACTGAACGTGCGTTGACGTAGATGGCTGGATATGCTCGTTCGCCGTCCTCTTTGTCGGGGTGAACTTCGAAAAACAAATCAGATTTACGTAACTCAGGAGCCGATCAGCTAATGCTGCGTCGTTCCAATCTAGCGGTAATAATTTTGCAAGGTCCATTTCCCTCATTTCATCTCTACCTGGTTCCTTGTAGGAGTATATCGGCCTAGACCAAGGCGAAGTCACCGAAAAAGAGCGCCTAAAGTCTTGGTTTTGAAGATATTCAGGAGCCAGTGTAATCAACTCTCCGAGAATGTGGTACAGCGGGAGACTCAAAAAACAACAATTCTGTTCAGGTGGTCGAACCTGGAGTGAAAAACAGCCATAAAGAATAACCTTATGAAAATCAAGCAATCGAAATGTCGATCCCCGCTCTTGACGAAGCTTATTGGCACTTTTGTAACTTTAAATTGAACATCATCACTGCAGCCATGAAATTCAACGTGCCCTAGCCTTTTTCAGATATTGTGATGCTGTTTTAGTGGTCAAAATTGCATGGTGTTGTCCATTCAGCCTCCAGGGTTTGATGCCAAGAATGGCGTTATTTCGTGACAATGACACAATTGACATTGCTTTTGTCCTGGCCTCATTTCGAAGTCCATCAAGCAATTTGAGGCCATTCCATTATCCATATATTCCAACGGTGAGAAAATGTTCGGATACGATGAGTAAGTTCAATGATCGACATTCAGTATACTGTTCAAAGAGACGCCACACTCATCCGCTGAATGTCGCCATTTTATTGGAGCCTCCCGTCATCGCAAAGTGATCATGAATGGTATTCTAGAGATTCCTGCATAAATGTCTTAGGGAATGCTAATATGTTTTTCCATTGTCCTCTGCATCGTCTTTGGGAGTGTCTGGAAGGCGGACTTGCACGCAAATTCGCGTACAGATTTTCTTGATCTCCAGGTATGGCAATGTTATGTCGAATGCTCGTTGTTCTTTTGGCGGTTGTTGTCGATAGCGTTCAGAGTGCTGCTGTTACTTCGGGTGACGTATATTCTGGCCAACCGATCAACGGAGACAAAGGCGCTCCATTGCTTGGTAAGTTGGAACGATCCATTCCATAGACCCTGACTAATACCCACTCAGGAGGCACGAATAAAGCGATCGATCTTCAGAACCCCGATAATCTCGGCGCCCAATCCACTGACAGCGGATCTGTCCCGAACTTGAAATGGAGTTTTTCAGATAGCAAGACAAGGCTCCTGCCGGGAGGATGGGTTCGACAGCAGGTCACTTCCGATCTCCCATCGAGTCATGATATTGCTGCCGCCCAGCAACATTTGAAGAAGGGAGCAATTCGCGAGTTGCATTGGCATCGGGTGGTTTGTACATCCGAGCCTTGAAGGACCTGGCCACCTGCTGACTGTTTCAGGCTGAATGGGGATACGTCTATGCTGGAGAAGTTCTTGTATCCGCCGTCGACGAATTTGGAAGATATCAAGTGGAGCGTCTTGGTGTTGGAGATATTTGGTACTTTCCAAAGGGAGAAGCGCACACTATACAAGGTCTGCATGACGAAAACGAGTACCTCCTGGTCTTCGATGACGGGAACTTTGATGCTGTGGGGTGCGTGCTCCTCAAGTGCCTTTGTCCAAAGTCTCCAAGCTGATTTTGTCAGTGTCACGTTCAACATCGATGACTGGATTAGTCATACGCCAAAATCCATCCTTGCTAAAAACTTCGGGCTTCCCGAGTCCGTGTTCGGTTCGGTTCCCTCCCCGAATCCTTATATCCTCAATGCGACAGTGGACACTCGAAACGTCACTGGCCCAGCTGGCGAACTCAAAGGTAATAGTTCGTACGTCTATCGATCGGCAGATCATCCTACAGAACCAGTCCCTGGACGAGGCGGCACCCTTCGAATCGTTGATACCAAGACCTTCCCAATTGCGACTACCCTTGCTGCAACCATCGTCACACTGAAGCCAAAGGGACTGAGAGAGCTTCATTGGCACCCAAATGTGAGTACAAAGTCAACCACACTCCGCTTGCTAACAACCACAGGCCGAGGAATGGCTCTATTTCCACAAAGGCGAAGCCCGAGCCACCGTCTTCATCGGAAACTCGAATGCGAGGACTTTCGACTTCAGCGCAGGCGACACGGGGGTGTTCCCGGACAATAGCGGTAAGTCCACAACAAATGCGGAGAGCGAAAGCTAACTGAACCAGGCCATTACATCGAGAACATCTCCGAAACGGAAGAACTTGTGTGGATTGAGATATACAAGAGTGACCGCGTTGCTGATATCTCATTAACCCAATGGCTGGCACTGACTCCTGCTGATATCGTGGCAAATGTGCTGAAGATTCCAATTGATATTGCCTTGTCATTGAAGAAAGAGAAGCAAGTGCTAATTGAGGGATAAGGCTCATAGATTTTAGGATATCTAGTTGACAGTTCGCGGTTCAGACGCGCTCAGTAATGTGAGAGAGAGAGATTCATACGCCCGTCAGGCCTCTCGGCGAGGCCCATGTGGGGAACTACCTAAGCTGACTAATTACATACATTGCGCTCAGTAATGTATAATAGGTGGGGAAGGTTGTCCTCGCGCGGTGACTGATTAAGTCACGTGATAAACATCTGTTTCGTTATAGACCAATCATAGCACAGGATTCCTACATCACGTGATCGGTGTATAATTCGAAAGTTGGTGGGGTGTATTTGACGCATCTCAATGTACCTCTCCTGGATTCCCTCTCCCGGGCTATTATTAAATTCTGCGAACAAAGGTAATACTTATAGTAGACAGTTTCATGGACTCTTCAACCAACTAATCTCATGCTCAGCATCGCCTCCCATCCATCGCTCGAACCGAAGTACAGCAGATCACCCACACCTCACCCAATTAAACTCAAGAACACTGGCTATAAATCCCAAAAGATCCAAAGATCTAATCAAACAACCGATCCGGGTTCCTTCTTCTCCGACTCCTGCGGCACCTCCGCCCTGAGCGTGCCTTTGTCCGTCAACCCCATCTCCGCCGCGAACGTCGTGGTCGCCTTCCAGTGCGCGCTCGTCAAAGGCGTCGTCTCCTCCATCATCTTGTCGACCTGTTCGAGCGATAGGCCCTTAGTCTCGTAGATGAGGAAGTAGGCGTAGAAGAAGCATAAGATGCAGAGGCCGCCCCAGATGAAGAAGACCTTGGCCTTGAGGTCGCCGTACTGCTTGTCGACCATGTAGGGGGTGATGACGGCGATGATCTATATCACGAAGGTTAGAACTGAGCGGGTTTTTTATGGAGTTTGTCGGGTGAAGGGAGTACTTACGCAGTTCCAGAGCCAGTTGGATGCCGTAGAGAGACCGACGCCACGCGAACGGATCTGAAGCGGGAAGATCTCGCCGATGATGACCCACGCGCCCGGTCCCCAGGTGGTGGCGAAGAAGAAGATGTAGATGCAGATGAAGGAGATCATAGCCTTGACGGTGTGCGGGTTATCGCCATCGACGGTGCCCGCAATGGCGACGATGAACTCGCAGATCAACATGCCCAGCGCACCCCAGATGAGCAGCGGGCGACGGCCGAACCGCTCGATGGCCCAGAAAGAGAGGGGAGTGGAGAGGACGTTGACGAGGGTGGTGATGAGGGAGATGAGGAAGGGGTTGTCGATGGTGCCGAGTTGCTGGAAGAAGGTAGTGCCGAAGTAGAAGATGAAGTTGATGCCGGTCCATTGCTGCATCATCTGGAGGGAGGTGCCGAGGATGGTGCGGCGGAGGTTGCTGTTCGGCCTCCAGAGACTGCCCTTGAAGCAGTTCGCCCAGCTGCTGAAGTAGCTGCCCTGCGGGATCACCTGCATTTCGTACTCGTGGTTCGCGACGATCTCGGCCAGTTCCTGCTCGATCAGCTCGGAGTCCACCGCCTGGCCACGGACGCGGGCGAGGACGCCGCGGGCCCTCTCGAGGTTGCCTTTCTTGACGAAGTAGCGCGGGGATTCGGGGAGGAAGAAGAGCCCGATCGCCAAGATGATGGCCCAGAGCATCTGCAGTGCGATTGGGACGCGGTAGGAGGAGGTGTCGGTGAAATCCTGGGTGCCATACGCGACGCACGACGCAAGCAGCAGGCCGATGGTGATGCAGAATTGGTATCCGGAGACCAGCGCGCCGCGGATCTTCCGAGGCGCAATCTCCGACATGTACAGGATAATGGTGGCGGACACGAAGCCGACCCCGAAACCGGCGATCAGACGACCGGGAATGATCAGCCCGAGGCCGGAGTTAGATGCGGTTTGGAGAACGACACCGACGAGGAAGACGAGGCAGCCGAAAATGACGGTGGTTCGACGACCGATGAAATCAGCCAGGTCACCGGCAATGATGGCACCCAAGAAGGTTCCGAGCGAAAGAATGGAGACGATCAGCGACTTCTTCCATGACGGGATGGCGAATTGGTCCTTGGTGGCCTCGTCGTCGAGCAGCGAGTAAGGGAGGCCCGTTTGAAGGTGGATATAATATCTGCGCACTGTTATTCGGCCGATCCTCGTCATTTTCATTCATTTGCAGCACACGTACGGGATACCCAAGACACCGTTGATATAACCTGAATCGTATCCGAAGAAGATACCTCCAAAGGCGGCGAAGGCGCACATCATGTACGCCTTGAACGTCACGGGCGCCTCGATGCGCTCGACATCGGTCGTGGCCCGAATGGCCCCTTGTGAAAGAGACATGATTAATGTGGTGCTGGGCGCTCAGCGCAATGTATATAACAGATTTCAAATCCGGAATTGGGAGATTCTCAAGGGGATAGATTAAAGATAGAACCCTTTGAGGATCTAGGAGAGCTCACTTCCTAGAGAATTGTCCAACGAACAGGAACGTTTGGGGCTCAACGGACTCTGAGGATCGACACGAGAGAGAACGAAGGGAGGAGAACGGGGAACGGATGCGGGGATCGCATGGTAAAATATACCTCAAGGACGCATGCAGAGCGAATTGGTTGCCCAGGGTCACTCCGACGGGTCCAGCACGGATCCAGCACGGATCCAGGATGAAAATGAGGGACAAGTATAGAGAAAGGATGCGAGCTACGAATAGAACAATGGCATTCCATTCCTGATTGGGATGCTGGCCGATCAATGGTACATTGTCCCCCAGTAAACCCCATTCCCCACATCACGAAACCACATTACTTTCGGGTGCACGGCTTTCCTGTCAGGTAATTGTTCCATTTGGCCATACTACTTACTCTAAGAATTACTAGGGCCATTGAAATTTGGAATCGGCTGATACTGGCCGTAGGGAGTAGCTAGCGTCGTTATAAGCTAATAGGACGGTTGGCATCATTATCAAACCATGACTTTGACACCGTAGACGGTTTGAGGATCACGAGCATGGAAAAATTGAAGCTGAGGCAATGTTTACTGTGTGGATAGAGTTTTTTATTTTGTATGGTACGGTACTCCTTCAAGGTCTGAGACCTTCTAGATTACAGTTCTCCTCATGCCGTGTCTTCCATGCCGTGCCTTCTCCGTCTCTTCCCAACCTCCTTACCTCCACAATCTCTCCTCTTCCCCAGCAATTAGCATGCCTGCACACTCTGGAGTCTGGACTCGGGGATTCTCCGGAGCACCAAGGAACACATCCAAACCTCCATCGCCTCCGGCCTCCATCACCGGCGCTCTAACTCTCCAACGCCTTCGGGGCCCCCAATATCCCAGGCAAATGCTCCCCAAGCAGCGCAGCAAGGCAGTCGACGTTGCAACGGAAAACCGCCATCCCTGGGTTGCGTCAGTGGAGAAAAGCTCGATGAGCTTAGTGTCCGGGGGATGATTAAGGCCTAGGCGTTCCCCCCTGCGGTGGCGCGTTAGTTCATCTCCCATTGGGCCCTGGGCTGTTGGATCGCAAGTTTCTCGACGCCAACTGGACGCCATGCAGGCTCTGAAATCACGGGGAGGACGCCCAAAGCTTGAGAAAGGCTTTGCGACCGCTAGCCTTTTGCCATTCGCCTTGCCTAGTAGCTTGTAGGTTTCCATGGTGTCGGCCTGTCGCGGACTCCCGAAGTCCCGATATGTATCCTGTGACATTCCCCGCCAAAAGGCGTAAATAGTCTGGCCAACGATCGGCCCTAGCTGTAAGCCGCAGGTTTAAGATTTCTGTTGGTCGGCCCACTCGTCAATTTGAGGGGTTTCTCCCGTGCTTAGCGGCACCTGCCTGGGTTCGTGCCAATTACAGGACGAGCTGGTGAGCATTGGATAAATGAGGAGTTTGGAGGGTTGTGGCATGTTGATGCAGAGATGAGGGATGCGACCATGCGGCTTCGTCATCTAAGGTATTCTCCTCCGCGTCCCGTACCGATACCGTACCGTACCGTCCCATAAGCAGCTCGAGGACTTCCATGGCAAGTTTATCCGGATATGATATTGCGGCGGAAAACCGTCGTTGGAGAATGGAGGCTGGACGGAAATTTTTCGATATCAACGTCAGCATTTAGGCGCTACCGATCCCCAAATTGGAAAAAGCATGTGCAAGTGGGTACTATTTCAACGTCGAGAAAAACTCAGAAAATTGCATCCGTTGATCTTATCCCTTTGAAGGACTCTCCCTGTCTTCGGTCAACGCCGAGCATCCAACCCCCTGTACCGAACAGCGATGGCTCTTGGTTGGTTCATGGGCGGATGGAGCCATGGAAAGGGAACTGGACTTTGAAGCTTTGAAGCCGTGATCGCGAAATTAGCTGGGCTTTCAGCATTCCTAGCAACACCAATCGAACGAGTTTCGAGCAGTCCGACTCGAACCTCGTCCCCATCTCCGCGGTCTTGGCCAACCCAAGTCACCCGTGGCGTGGTTCATCCAAATGTTGTGCGACTCTGCGCGATGCCGTCGCGAAGGAGCATCCGTTGTTTACAGTGTTTCCGGAACTCCCGCGACAGTGTCTCAGACCGCCGCCTACCCTGTGCTGGTCGAGTCTACATAGCAGACATCGTGCTCCCCAAGAGCTGAGGGCTGGAAACAAGGACGAGACATCAGCCGCTGCGGTGCAATTACGAGTCTGGCAAACACTCCTTTGCGTACCGAAGTACAAGCGTACAACAGATGGGATGGTATAATTGATCTGCAATTTCCTAGCTAGCTATGAGAGCCTGGCTGTTACACGATACATTGCTAAATCTACCTGGCTCACAGTATCTCGGGAATAGCCACCAACTTACGGCTCACCATATCCGCTTTAACTTCCGCCGAGTTCATCTTCTTTTCCGCTCATCCTCTTTTTTTTATAAAAAGTCTTTCCGTCCTCAGTTCTCCACTCCACCAATGCGCAATTACGCCCCTTGTACACATACCAAGCTTTCTGGTTCACCGTCCGTTCCGCAAGGTTATGATCCTTGTCGCCACTAGACAACGCCAATTGCTGCACCACAGCGCCGCTGATGAAACCGTAAGGTAGGATTGTCCCGAAGGTCAGTCCGTTACTGGTTGCAGGAAGAATAATACTGGCATGGGGTGGGTTTCTACCACTCTTCCTGGCTTGTCATCGAATGATATTGTATGGCCGCCTAAGCGTGACTTGAGACGACAATATGAGATGCGGGGATCGTGAAAGGCAGGTGGTGTCAGAAGGAAGGGATACTACTGCACGTCACGCTCCTTATTGCGGCTGATCGATCATTCGATTATGCATTGGATGCCATGGTCGTAGTCGCCATGAGGATTGCCTCTGCTAGCGGAATGGGAGCGCAAGATGACAGTGCATGGAAAGCCAAGGTGGTTGGATGGTATTCACGGTGTTTGCCACGTTCCACCTCATCTCGCCTACCTAAACTGGTCAAGAATATTCATGATTACACATAATTCATCAGGTACCTGACTGGTGCGACCGATGTTCTTCGGGCGAATCAAGATCGTTGAAGCAGGAAATATTGTGGTGCGGTAATCCACCTACCAAGAATGTCCACGTGCTTTCAATATGTACGTAGTATTGACAACAAACCAATATTCTACTGCCACCAGGACCGTAACTTCGGATCACACCATAGAAGAACTCTTTCAGTCATCTGGCATCTGAATCTCATCCGCCGCTCGTCGAACTCAACCTAACAACCCAGCCTCCTCGTTTCCAGACCCACGAGGATCTAGCAATTCTTCCGCTCGGTACCACCATGCCATCTACCTATCCATCTCACAATCATGCCAGGGCATCCAGAACCCGTCACCAACACATCCCACACCTCCTGAGCCCTGACTAGTCGTTTCTCGTTACCCAGTCCCACGGTATGACAACCTTCACAGAGGCACGAAACACCGCATTGCCATTCCCCCCAAGCCACAACCTTCTAGCGCAGTTCTGGAACTTCCTAACTCCCGCTCCCGTCCGAACCACAATATCGTCGACTCGTGGTCCATGGATCCCTTTCACAACGACTTGCGGGTCCCAATCACCAAACACCGGGTGAGTGGTGAAGCATCGAGGAACCACTAACCCACGACTATGCGCCCATGTGCGACGCGACCCAGCCGACCAGTACGGCGGTACATGTATCACCACCTATCGGGCACCGTACGTCCGTACCGTACCGTGTCTACATACTTTGGTGGCCGATTATTAAGCGACGACCAACCGTCTGACTACGGACATAACTTGGTAGTTTGCTTCATGTCTTCATCGAATTTCTAGTTAAACAGGGGATTAAACAATCAACATATCTAGGAGTCTAGACCCTCGCGATGTGACTCGGTCCAGCCTGAGGTGCATTCGGCAGTTCCTACGAACGGGATCCAAAACCCTTCGTTGGCACCGGAGATTACTGTTTCGGTATCCGTGCCCCATGGCCGCCCCACAACCTCTGGTTGTGGGTGCTCCCACACCAAAAGTCAAACCCACGCCAAAAGTACAATTTTACTACCATCATCTATATATCAGAACTCAGGATGTAAATCGATAAAAAAACCGAGATCCTCCGTACTAGTAGGTTGATCGAGTACAGGAGATGGTTCCTGCTGGTTTTCCTGTTGTTTTTCCCGCCGCCAGTCCCGCTGTGCCTTCCTAATTGCCGCCTCCCGCTCCTTCTGACCACGCGCTTCAACGTAGCGCTTCGCCTCACTAGCATATAATGATCCGGTCTGGCTAAGTCCTGTTTTAACCTGGCGGCGACTCTTTTTGGTTTGCTGGCGTTGTGTGGCCGAAACGGACCCCTTATACGCCTCGATCTCTTCGACTGCCTTGATCAATGACTCCGTAGCTTGGCGAACGCGACGTTGGTATTTCCGACTAGAAAGTAGGGCCTCAGGCGTATTTATGATCTTCTGTTGTCTCCGGCGTACCGTACGGATGGTATTTGGTGGAGATGCACTCGGTGTTGCCGTAATACTTGACGTTGGTGGCGTGCCATTAAATATCCGAAGCTCCTCTGCCTCTTGGTCAACCTGTTGCCGAAGGGTTGGTAAAATCTGCTCAGGATCCCATGGCCAAAGACCCCTCTCTTTAAAAGCGTGTCGAATCGTACGCGATTTGAAGGCGTTTTGGCGGATTTGGGGCATTTCTGTAAGGAATGAGGCCTTGTCCGCTGCGTCGAATCCCCACCGTGAGATATGCGTATTTGTCTGCCGGAAGTAGTGTTTCAACGCAAGAAACGGCTTCCCATCGAGCGGCTGAAGGAAATGGGTCGTATGCGGGGGAAATGGGAAAAGAATAATATCAACTTTTTCGCAGAATTCAATGAACTCATGGGTAAGATGCGAAGCGTGGTTATCCATTAAGAGCAGTCGTTTCCCCTTCTCAGCCCGGTGTCTTGTATACCGATGGAAATGCTGGATCCAATCGAAGGCAATAAGGTCGTTTGACCACCCAGACTTAGAGATATTGATACAGTAATCGTCTGGAATCTGGCCTTCGTACCATCGTTCAAGATGGTTCTCGCCCTTTAGGATAAAGTAGGGTGGAAGAACAAAACCATCAGCAGCGATACACTCGATATCCGTAACCGATTCGCCTGACTCCGTACTAGGACTGCCTCGTTTTGCCCCCGGTCGGAAACTGACTACTTTTTGGCGCTTCCCTTCACCAAGGCGGAAGCCACTTTCGTCGAAATTATATATATTCCGGGCCTCGATTCCATGTTCTTGAATCTGCTCCTGAAGGAGTTGAAACCAATGCTGTATATGTCCAAGATCCTCAGCACGTAGGCGGTCGTCTTTAACTGGTTTTTGGTCGATAAGCGGAAGGGTATGGCGCTTAATAAACTTGTATTTCCAGTTCTTGCTAACGTGGGGTGGTGGCTGGGTTGTATCGAGCGCGTTTCTTCGGAGCATAGAGTTGGCGCACGCTTCGATTTCTGTAGGCGTAGGAGGCGCTCCCCACTCATCAAGCTGGTGGATCCAAGCTAGGAGAGCCTTTTCTTGTAGCTGATCGAGTTTGGTCGCTTGTACGAACGGAGAACGGTTGGAATAGGATGTTTTCCCTTGAAGGCGACCTCGAAGGACGAACTGGCTGATTTGGAATTCACGCGCTAACGCTGAAACGTTAACCGATTTTCCTGCTTTTTTTTGCTCTGTAGCCTTCTTGAGTGCTTTCTGTATAGTCTCTTCTGGATATTTGACGCGTTTAGGCATGTTTGGTGGTATAGATTTGAAGATGATGGTAAAATTGTACTTTTGGCGTGGGTTTTACTTTTGGTGTGGGAGCACCCACAACCAGAGGTTGTGGGGCGGCCATGGGGCACGGATATCCCGTAACCTGGCTGGGAGTCTGGGACCGATGCTACCGTGAAGCCGACGAGGCCCGGTAGGATCCGATGAAATGTGGGTACAATATCCTGGATTTTTCTTGGGTCGATTTCAGTTCGCCAGGCGTCGTCGTTTCTACTATCGTCTAGATTAGCTTCTTGGAAGGCCAGCCGATTGGATTCGCTAACGTTAGATTTTGGTGCCGAGGATGTTGGTTTTCTCCTTATTGGCTGACGAGTCTAAGTTATGAGAACGCGCTGGAAGCCTGGAGCCCTAGAGAGGGATCTCGGACAGGAAGGCTGGCAAATTGGTCGGTGTGGACGCTGTGAAGAGGTGGTGGAGCATCTCACGTCGAAATGCAACGTCAACCCACATCATGTTTTTCTCCATGCGATGGATGGGTTGGGATTTGGGGCTGGATGGAGTTGGGTGCCTGCTGGCCGCTGGGGTATGCATTTGACCTACTGAATAAGCTAAGCTGGATTGATATCCTATCCTGCTTTTCAGGATGGACTTTAGTCTTTGATCGAGGACGGATAGGTGTGTTCATGTTTCGACTCGTCAATTAATTATTAGGTGTTGGTACTGCGATCACAGAAGGATGGGTATTCCATCATCGAGTCAAACGGAGCTAGCTCAAGGAGCAAGGGAACCAGAAGATGAAGTCCAGCTTTTCCAAAGTTTCCGAGTCATGATATGATTTCATGAACTGGATTCATTTGAGCACCCTATTCTTCTTCTTCACTACCCCATGTTTGTCCTGTTCATGTTTCTGCAAATTGTCCCGACGACCATATTTATTCCCGCACCGCGTGCACACAAACTCCAACTTCTCCTCTTCGCGCGCATGCACCTTCTCCACGTGTCGCTTCAGATTCTTCTTCCTGTTCGATAGCTGTCCCGTCTCCAGTGGGATATATTCGCAGAGCGTGCATTGAAGAGGGGGGGACGGCATGGGGCTGCCCGCAGTCGACTCGCACGGCTGCGTGATGGGCGATGAGTCCAGCTCAGAGCGGTTCCCCGGCGATCCGAATACAGACGTATACAGCGTTTCAGGCGTGCTGTTCGTGCTGTTCGTGCTGTTTCCTGCTGTCTCATCGATCCTCTTCCCGATCATGTTTGCTGGACTAGCAGCAGATACCGAATGTGCCGAAGACTGGGCCCCAAGGACGTCACAGATATCTTGCACGGAATTCCAGATGTTATCTGCCTGGTCAGGGAGAGCTGCCTGACGGGCGCCAAGAGCTTCAAGAATTTTGGCCGCATATAAGTGTGCATCGGTGCCTGGACGGGACGCCTGAGGGTAAAGATTAAATCGACCTGGAATTGATATTTGGGTTGTCGGAGAGACTTACGATAGGAACATTGAGATCCAGATTCTCAATGTCGACATCGGCAGTGCCGAGTTTCCCACATGACGCTTCCATAAGCGTCGCGGGCAATAGAAAAGACAAAAACGTACGCTCAATGTAGTGATGTGGCTCAGTGAAGCTTTGAAGAGGTAGCGAGCGCAAAATATGATCCATCACGGGATGAAACTGAGCGCTGCCCGGATCGGTTGCACTATATTTAAAGCGATATTCGGACATAGTCGAGGATATCCATTCCCACCCACCACGAAATACAGCTGGGAACGAGCGAAATAGTTCGAAGTCTTCCGGCGTTGCGACCCGGATCTCTTCGTGGTCAATGCAAGCCAGCTGATCGACGGCATCTTTCACCTGCTCAATGGATACAACCGCAAACTGCTGAGCTTCGATTCTCAGAAGGTCTCCCCACGGGACGATGTAGTTGGGATACTGCAATTCAAGCATGGTGCGAGTCACAAACATTATGGCAATAAGGCATGCCCATGGAAAGCTTTCTGATAGCGCGATGTGATTTTCGTCGTGAAGAGATCGAAACGAGCGAAATCCAAGCGCCAGCAAGGCATCTCGAGACTGGAGTTCAACCGGCAAGAGGGGCGCAACGATATCCCGGAAACGCTGGTGAACGAGAGTCGCCCGGTCGCAAAGTTGGTGAATTAAGCTACAGCGAATGCAGCAGTCTGGTCCACCTAAGGATTGAAAAAGCGATCCAGTCGTCATTCGCGCTGCAGAAGCAATACGCGATGGCTGCGCTGCAGCTGCCAGAGCAATAGTTGGGATTGCTGGCTGGAGATCCTGGACTATCTCCACTGGGCTGACTGCCTGGTCAGTGGTCTGTGCGAAGGGATGAGAAGCGCCGGGAGCAATGTTTCCATCGAAACCGACGTCTTTCAGAGGCCCAACGTGTGGGGAAATTCCAGCCCCAACGGTGCGGTAGCGAAGCATACCCGGACCCGGCCAGGTGTAGCTTTCTAGAGGCACGCCAGCATCGCCGTCGAGGGCCGACAGAGAGGAACCAAATCGGGAAACAGGATTGGAAATACGTGGGCGATAGATATCCCCGGACACAGGCCCGGTAGGATGAGACGCGCTCACGGAGCCGACAAAGGGTTCTCCTGGAAGCTCATACGGAACTGAATCCGACGGAACTGGATCCGACGAGAGTTCTGATGGCACATCGATGTTCGGAAGATATGGCGGTGGAGGTGCGCCGTCATCTTGACGCTTCCGCTTTTGGGAGGTAGAGAGCTTCTTCATTTTCAAGCTTCTTCTACAGAACCTCTGAAAGGAAGATTCCCGATGGACGGATTGGACCTCTTCACGTTCAACAGCGACACTGTCGCGATAGTTCTGTATGTGTTGTTCACGGGGAGGGCTGGCCTCCCGCTGAAAGCGAGGGTTGCGAGATTCACGGAAACTACAGGTGAACCTACGACATTTAGCCTCTCTATACGATTATCCCACACAACCAAACTAGGACGACGACTTACTTGACTGCCCGAACAACCTCACTTTTCAATAAGCTTCGGCCATTCTCATTAGAAGGGGATGGGTGGGTTTCTTCAATATGACGAGAAGTGGTCGTGCTGAAAATGATGGTGAATGGCATTGTCAAGACGTAGTTGGGAGGCAAGGGACGGTTGTAAGTTATCTGCCGGCGACAATCTCACTCGCAAAGGCAACTGGTCCTTTTAGTCTAAGAGATTTGTTTAGCACACTGCATCGACGGTCCTCCAAATATTCTCGAAGCGCGTTGAAGGACTGTTGGCAATATATCGAGGTGTCGAGGCATCGGCATTACCGTATCCATCGTCGCCCTTCGACCTATGCAGTGTGACGGGCAGGTAAGTCCTCCACTAATTGGCGAATTTTGCCAGGGGATGGCAGAATCCATCATTCTAGTGATTTGGAGGACTTCGTCGCTCCTTATTGGCAAGTCGCCGCGAGCAGGTGCTGCTTTTGGGTAACTGCATTATGAGAGGCCTCAAGCGTTTTCCGGACGGCGAGAGGGCGAGCAGGTCCTCCAGACAGGGGCATGGCGTGCGTAGGTGTCGGCCTCCTTTCCTTCGTCTGGCGATTCCTCCCAGTCCTTCATGGATTGCTGACTGCTTTGATAACGTCAGGCTGGATAAAGAAATGTGAGTGACATGTCTGCGTAAGTTATCAGCGTTTTGTTACGTCTGAATAATTGTTAGATTTCACATACCTTGGTGCCATGGATCCGGCCAATCAGTCGATGGCAGTCTTCTCGCTCATATTTTTGGCTGACTCCACAGATAAATCTGGCCATCCGTCGATATCTGAGGAAACAGCATCATCGGAAACGTGGAAAGTAGTTGCACAGCAATGGGTGATATATACATATATGTTAACTTGCTCACCAGTTTAGAATGTCCCCAAGTATGCCTTGAGAACGCCTACAAGGAGGCAGTGTTTACACTGCCCCATCCCGACTGCTTGTGCAGCCTTGCCAGATCATCTATCTAACTTGAATTGCTGTTGACCTTGAAATATATCAAGATTTACAATTCAATGTTTCGATACAGTTGCAGCGATACGCCCGCTTCGTTACCATATACCGGGTCTGATGACCTGGGCAATCTGGGAAATCTGGTCCATCCGCGGAAAGACGATCAGTATTCATGTCGCTCTCCCGCCTCCCGCCCTGTGGCCGAGAAAAGGCGTCGTTGTCGGTGGCGATACTGTTGTGATGGTAAGTATAAGGCTACGAATGAGGTCGAGTTTGTCAGGGCTATCCCTATCTTCGATGCCCGCTGATTGGCCGAATACTCGATCAACCCTTGCACTCCAGCCTTTTAGTTCTCCCGCCCTTTCGCCCTACTACCCCGAACACAATTGCTTTTGAAAAGTGCCGCACAAAGGGCATAACTGACCATGGAGTGGGAAGCTGGCGCGAGGCTTGCTCCAAATGAACCTCTCCAGGACTAGCAATGGCATGAGGTCACTCTGCGCACCCTTGCAACACTGGCCACTGACCACACCCTACTCATGCCGTGGACGCGCACGCGGCAGTCAGCCATTCACAATTAGACCGAGAAGATCAAGAAGTATTCTATAAATGATCTGCTAAATTAGGACAGGGAGTCGAAATGCAGGTTGTCACCCAACCGATAGCCTTCCCTTCCGGATATTCCTCCGACATCGTTCGTGAGCAACCCAACCCTCCTATTCCCTTAGTTACGTCGAAAGAGATATCAAGCGCTTCTCTACCACCCCCGCGGAGCCTCCATCCCCAGCCTTTCAACTTGGACGTCCGATGCGCCCTTGCTCAGATCTTGCTTTGTGCTCCCGTATTTCCCTGGACCCCCTCTCCTCCTCAACCTTCGGCTGCTCCCCCCCCTGCTGTTGGGCTGAAATGGAGCCAACATTATCGTACGGCATGTCGCGTTGGGTCTCTGCCAACCATCGTCCGAGAGGACTCCCGTCCGTCCCGTCCATCTGCGATTGCGGCTCGTTCGGCCTCGGGGCGGTCCAGGTCCGTTCGACTGGGGTCCATTGAGGTCTGCTGCTCGATTCCTAGGTCAAAGGACCACGTGAGCCTCAAGGGGACACTTTTATTAGCACTGGGAGAAGGCTTCGGTACCCGAGAGCTGGCTCCGTTCCCTTCTCCATCCACAGGATTTGGCATCTGGCTGGGCGAGGCCCTGCCGGTTGGCAAGGCGCGGGGGTGCGATGTAAAGCGCGAGAGTGCGGTATTATGAGGGTAAATCCGCAGAGGTAAATACTGATGATATGTCGTAGGTGCCGATTGCATGTATTGATGCCCGTGTTCTCTGATCGAACAAGTGAAGAGAACCCAAGGTTCACTCGCTTTCCACTGGCGGATCGTGGCATTTTAAACTACGTATGAGCACCACGGAGGACAGCTGGTGAAAGTCCTGGACCCGAGGGTCTCACCCTTTTCGCATTCTCGAGGACTTCGCCAGTTTCATCTTCACGGCCAATTGCGTTTTCTCCGTCTACGACGGGTGCAGCCGCTCTGCTATCCCAGGTGGCGTTAACCACACTATCCTCAGTCAGATCTGCAGAATCAGAATGTACGGACCCTGCGAGAGTGTGTCAACTGGCCAATTGTCATTCCTTGCCCGCGACGTACGTGCTTGGGGCAATTTGACAGCACTTGTTTCGGAACACTATTTGCGGCGGAAATGAAAATCTGCATCGGCATGCTGGTACTGTACAGTGCATAGACATGCGCATCATTGTAGTTCAGATCCTACGGTCAGTTGGCCTGCTATGTAAGTAGCTGGAAGATGTAAAACATGGTGGAAATATATCAGTCATTACTCATTAGCCACGACATTTGGCGATTCAACCATTCTATTGGCTAAGTCCAAGCGACGAGAGCGGCCAATCGGGACCCAGAGAGAGCACAAGCTTGTTGTTGCTGGACGTTTGACGATGCGAGAACTGCTGCACCGTTTCGGCGAACGTAGAACTTGATTCACATCCGGGTTGTGGCGGTCCACTACTCCGCTGTACATGTTGGTATTGAGATGGGAGATTTGAGACGTCCCTGGGATCTGACCGGATTAAGATTTGGCTTGTTTTTGACACGTCGGACTCCACTCCACTCTGCATAGGCGGCACATGTACTATGTACGATGTTCAGCACGACTTGGACGAATGGCCTCTTACGTGACATGATGGATCTCTTCTGGGATCTCACCTGAGAATCGCGTAGAATATATCGACATGCAGTCTATGTACACTATATGCTCGTGTATCACACTTATCTTACAATGCACAATCCTTGCTTCATCGACAACGTCCCCACTAGTTCAGAGAAACGCCCTTGCAAAACTCGCCCGCTTTTCCACCCTCTCTCCAATATCCTGTCGCTCATACACGCCTTGCTTGACGTTCACCTCATCCGCCTTGTCGGCCACCGCATGGTACTTCAGATTCACCCTTCCCTTACTATCCACCTCCGCCGCCTCCACATTCGCCCACATCTTCCCCCCAAACTCATCTGGCTTCATATACATCGATTTGTTCGGCTGCATCGTCCGCGCGTCCCCTTCCTCCTGCACCACGAACCCGCCAATGCCGAGCTTCGCCTTACGGCCGCGCTGTGTGCTCGACGGCGCCAGGATCCGGCCTCGCACCGGCGGCGCGGCAGCGCGCGGGCCCACCAGCGGGTGGTTCGTCATGTGCGCGTTGGTGCGCAGGTAGGAGAGGCCGGCGGAGGGGTGGGTGGAGAGAGGGGGGCTGCTGAGGTTGTAGGAGTCGAACAGGGACGGGCTGTCGTTGAAATCTCGGTCGAGCGGGGGGAGATGGAGGACCTCTTGAAGTAGGGCGGAGAGCTGCGGGTCGGCGAGGAGTAGGCGCCGGAGGGAACGGATGTGGGCGTGGAATTCGATGGCGAGTGCGTCAATGATTGGGGCGGTGGTGATGTCCTTGGGTAGGACGGGTTCGAGGGCGGAGACGAATTTCTCGCGGGACGTGAAATGTCTACCATCCGGTTCCACAGGGTAATGATCCTCCAAGTTAACGGAACTAACGTCGAACAGGGGGTCGTCGGAGTGTGCTTCGACCGCGGCCTTGCGGGCATTGTCCACCCGATCCGTCCACATTTTGTCGACGATGTGTTCGCGGAGCAGCTGTTGGAATCCATCCTTCTTGTATTTCAGCATGTCCTTCACCCATAGATTGAAGTCGCTTGGGGTCATTCCGCCGAGCCATGGGCCTTGATATTTCCACTTCTTTCGAGCCTGCAATGCCTGCAACCCCGTGGACGTATTTGCGGGACCCGATGAATTTCCTCCTTCTTGGCCTGATTCTGTTGATTGTTCGGTTGTATTCTCAATATAGGTATTGTCGTCCTCCTCTTCAAAGGCACTGCGGAAGCTGGGCCGAGCCGCTGACCGCTCCGTCAAAAACCGCGGTGTCCGATTGTACCCCAACATTGGCACACTCATCTGCTGAAATTTTCGCAAGGTCTGGGTATGATCCGTGGCGCCCTGGAAATCCGTGACATGTTCCAATGTATCCATTGCCGTGACTTTGATCTCGGGTGTGCTGCTCACGGTCGTGGACTGCAGCGGCAAGGGTCTCTTAAGGCCCCAGTCTCCACGAGCGCGGGATGATGCCGGCGTAGCTATGGCTTGTATGGTCGGGTAGGGTAGCGTCGCGGTGTCTGATTCTCGCGGAAGGCCCATTGACGTAGTTCGTAACATCGATGGCGCTGGGAGTGGAGGTGGGAGGGAGAAGAGCCTCGAAGAGCGAAGCAGTCGCGCCGTCGGCGACGCCTTTATGTGGGACATATTGGCGATATAGCCTCTTTGGAATCGTCTAACTGCTACCCATCAGCCGCCTGAGGCAGTTATCTTAAACGGGCGACCATCTTGCTTGGAATTGGTTGAACTTGGGGATGTGGATGTCGTCGACGCAAGAGCTTTGAGTCGAATATTGTGAGGAGACGGATATCTCCGGTCTTGGCATAAACATGATAGAGTGTCACGTGCAAGAATAACTGAGGTATCCTGTGCCACCCCTGTGCCTGTCCCGTATTACTGTCGTACGTGTTGAGAACGCTGGCTAGAAAGTTACCAATAACTACGCATTTTATAACCTTGAGATCTACCTATAGACTACCCTCCGTCCAGTGGGATCGGCTTCATCCTACCCGAATACTTCGATTTGTTGCATGATCTAGTACATCATCTCTCATGTCGTCCGTTCCCAGAATTTCAACCCCTACACGCTTGAAGAATGCTCGCTTCGAGCAAAGATCAGAAGTGCAGGGCTAAAATTTCTGATGTGGAAGTCGTATCGGCACGCTAGAATACCGATAAATATAAAACCGACCGACTCCATTTTCGATATCCCGGGGAGTCATACATCGATAGGGATCCCAGTAACATCGTCCTCGGCCACGATCCTCACCTCTCCCTTCCAGTCGTCCGTCTTGAACGGAGCGGACAGGATGCGCAGGTCTACCATCCAGGCGTAGATATGGAGATAGTCAGACAGTATCGATTGAGTAATGCCATTCCCGTATTCTAGCTGGAACGTCTCCCAGGGTACTAGGGTTGCTTGGGTGGACAGCGCATCCGGATCAGTCTTAGTTTCATGTTCAAACGCCGCGGAAAACTGTCCGGTCTTGTCGTCCCATTGCTGGTTAATCTTGGCGGCGTATTGAGTTAGTTGAGAGACATCCCGAAGGTCCAAAGTTACCGGATCTGGCCCGTTCCAAGCGAGCCACGACCATCCAGGATATCCATGCATATATCTCGCTCTGGAGGTGATCCAGCAAAGCGCAACGAGGAAGTCCGGAACATTATATTCGCAAGCGTACAGGTTTCTGGTATCCGCGTCTAGCAAGTCCGAGTGTTTTGGAGACAACGTTTTCAAACAGAATGGACCCAATGATCGGATTTCGGAAGTTGTAAAATAGTTCCACTGGCGTATTGGACATGTTAAAACCTCGAAATGTCTATTGGGATGCGCTTCACCATCCTCGGTCTCGATTCTGATGATTCCAACTGCGCTATCCGTTACAACGGGGACTGTGTTGCTCAGAGTTGAATCAATGAAGAACTCTTCGGGCTCAAACTCAACGAGCTGGTCGGAGTCGATAGTAAAGAGGTAGGAACCTCCAGATCTCGCCCATGGCCTGGACGAACCGGAACCCCTAACCTTCTCGAGCATTATGCAAAATCGTCCTCCGCGATCAGATTCGCAAAGTATGCAAGCCACTAATTCAATTGCTTTGACCTTTTAACGAAGAGGGTCATGCGCAAACCGCGGTTCGAAATTCCTGGGGGTTTGAACTGCTCTTTACTAGGAGTATCTCCAGCTTGTGATGACCAAGTACACTTATATCCGTCTCTTGACGTCCCTAGACTGTTGTAACCTAGTGAGGGATGGGATGGAGACCGAGAACGGAGCAGTATTCTGCAGCTACAGATCAATCGAGGATACATCGATCAAGATCTCCACGTTCCAAATATAACATTCTATCTTCCGTGAAGTCTCCAGAAAAGGCGACCGGTGAGGGTGCGAACAACCCGGTCAAATCGGTAGTCTTCTTCCTTCTTGAATATCTCTTTTTGTAACCTCATGAGAGCCTTTGACCCTTCCCCGTATAGCTTGGGCATGTTTACATCAAAGAGTCCCAGGAGGCAGTACGCGAAATCTTCTTCCCTAGTTGTTTGTCGTTTCGAAGCCCTGGAGTCCGAACAAGTCAAGTCAGAATAAACTCGTAGTGAGTAACTATACACTACGCTGCGATGATGAATCATTTCACCCGCAACAGTTACGGTACCGCCTCTATGTCGAACTGCACACTGCTGCTCATGCTCCTGAGTGGAAGTTGGCGATTGCTTGAGGTTGCCACTGAAATCTAGGCATTAGAGCTACTTCGGGCTACCACTATTTTAAGCAACCCCTCCGAGCCGCAAAGGGTTCCGCTACCAATGGGATGGCTGTGAAGCAGTCCAGGAGCAAACCCGGAAATATCCCAGGAAATTGAAAGGTTGGCAAGCAACCCGGGGGCTTGGCAGGTGCGCAGCAAAGGCTAAAGGCTCGGGCCGGCGGGGCTTCTGACGTGTTTGCCGATCCGTCTATCACTCATTTTCAACGTCTAATACTTCATAGTCAAACACATTGATCGTCGAGTGTGCCGAAAGGTCGGTTGCCCGTCGGGCAGGCGGCAGCGGATCGTCGTTCTCTGAGTACATCGGTAATTCCCCGCCAAACTCTCTCAAATTCCGTCTTTTCGCCGTCCATCTCGACTTGATCCATTGGGAGGCGGCATACCTTTGACGCCGAAGACACTTCCCGGCCGAGGTCGATGTTTGTCCAAGCCGCTCCCCAATCGCATCACCTTTGAACGCTATAATGAGAGAAATTAGAACAATAATCAGCGTAATAGGAACGGCGGTCATCTAGAAGATTGTCTGCGAATTGTCAAGATTCCGAATGTCGGCAGTATTCATCCCGAAAAAGCTGGAAATGAACGACCTATTCGTCGCACGATCAGCATTCATGTCGAAGCATCCCGACGTGGAACGCGCACTTACAGCGGAAGGAACACAATAGTCACTGTAGTGAAGACTAGAATGGCTTTTCCATGCCCTTCTTCGAGAATCTCAATACTTTGGCGGATTTGATTTCGAAGGCGACACATTCTCGCATCCCAGGCTTGTAATTCCTGCAGCCAATTCCAGAGCTCGTCGCCTTCTTTGTTGAGAAGCGCGTTCTCATATTGGAAGCGATGGCTTCGTGTTCTATCGGCAAATGGGAGCCCAATCGTTATTTGGGTCAGCAGCATGGCGAGCTTTTCTAGCGCGATCGACTGTCCCTCGGTCGTTTTCTTCACGGCCTCGAACTCTTCTTGCAGCCTGTTGACATCGAGAAGAAGTTTCTTTCGAGGGCGCTGGTTGACTTCGATGTTCTGTACTGCTTGTCAGCCAGGTGCTGGGATGAAGAAATAGGCACAGGAGCCTTTGACCAGTTTTTCTGCAAACGAACGATACACGTCCATGACATCTTTGTCTTCGTACAACACTTGTGACCGCAAGGTTCGGAAAATGATTCCGATAATAAACTCTGGTCCAACTGATGCTAGGCTTACACTATTTCGATCCGCATCTGTCCGATTCATCAAGACCAAGTCTGTCTCGGCTCCGTCAAGCAAATATCGAATTTCTGCCGCTCGATTGTAGACCTGTGGCCATAGTTCGTTGAGAATTTGGCCCGGGCGTTTCCATAATTTGGGATGCCATTTTCGGTAGCTCCCACGGATATTTTTTAGACATCGTGCTAATTCGGCGACGAATAGAACGTTCCGTTCGAAGGATTGTACGACCTTCGGCGGGAGTTGATAACGGTCCGGTTTCCCCAGATGCGTGTCCGTCACGCCGTCCTGTAAACTCTTGGCTTTGATAAACAACGATTCAAACAGGGTAATGCTGTAGTTCATGAGGGAGACCATCTCTTCTAGTTTCCAGATATTCCGCACATCGGCATCTTCTCGGATCAAGAGATGATGGACGATTCGCTCACTGGTCTTGGAATTCTCCGACCACGCTAGGTCCCTATGTGCGTGACCTAAATGCGTAATCACATCCGATCTGGTCTTATAGACAGTCGCGGCCATGCAGGATTCGCATTTCCAAAGGGGCTTTGTGGATTTCGACCACATGAGTTCGTCCTCTGATTGCGAGAAATCCTTGACGGAGGTCTCCACTACCATCCAGGATCCAGTTCGCGACCTCTGTCCCGCGTTCTTCGCTTGTACACAAATCTCGTACGTACCATATAGAATCTGCTTCATGTTAATCATCGTGATCATCATTTCGGTTGCTAAGGCCTTACCTCGCAAATGCTATCAAATGCACCCCAAACTTTCTGGACAAGCCGGTGATCATGGGCTACTGGAAGGTATAGATTTATGAACTGCCGCTGGAGTACTAGCAGCTGGCGTACGGGGTAAAGGACACCACCGGGGACCGCAGTCTCGTATGCTTTGCTCGTTTTACCAGTTGGTCTGCCCATAGATGACTGACTCGGCCCTCCGAGTTCGGGACTCAGGGGCCTGGACTGCGAAGGGGTCCCATTCTCAGGTTGGTCAACATTTCGAGACGAACCAGCAGACGAAGCCGGTGAAACTCTGGCTAGTTGAGGAGAAAAGTATCTCTGCTCCAAATCCTGTAAGGTTGATTCCTTTGTTCGATTGAAATTGGTGCCGTCCCGATTTTGCGGGTCTCCACAGAGGTTTTCGTAGATGTTGGACAGGATTCTGTGAATGGTTTGGACCATGTCCATCTCCTCTTTCCAGGGATCAGCTGTGGTCTTCTCATTAAACCGCTCTGATTCTGTTGCCCAGCTAAAGAACGGTGGGATGGGCACGCTCTCCAGATCTAGAGAAGCTAATCTGGAGCTGACACGAGAAGTTGGAGGTCTTCTGGGCGTCGCCACACGAGGAGCCCTGATACGAGGAGCTCTGATATTAGTCTCATGTGCGACAGATGGCGCATCTGAACTCACATTCGACCATGGAAGCTGGCCATGATATGAGTGACGCGACTGAAACACAGGACGTTCATAGGAACGCCCCATGTGCCTCCGCGGCTCCACATGCGTCCACGGTTCCATGTCGGTGTCAGATTCCCACAGGTCATTTAGGCCGCTTGTAGACCCAGCCTCCGCGCGTACGTCGTCGAACGGATTCCCTGCCGATGTCTGAGTATCCAGCGAACGAGGGGAGTCCCTTGACACGTGAGACAAGGATTCCTCATCAGCCGATTCGACTGTTGCGTGAATGTTACGCGATATTTTCCTGGTTACTGGGCTGGGAGGAGTCTCCCTGCTGGCTTCTAGTATCCGATTCTCTGTTGAGCTCCTGCTTCCTGGGCTGGAATGTCGTTTGCCAGTGCGCCTTGTACTTTTCCCAGCGGACCGCCGTCCCCTGGGACTTCCTTCGCTATCTTCACTTGGACTAATTTTACGATGTCTCTGGTTGCTCTCGCTGACCGCGGCCTTATCATATTCCCGAAATGCGAACTGCCCTTGGATTTGCTTCCCTTTGTTTCTGGAAGTCGACCTCGGGTAAGGATCGTCCAAATCCGAAATAGAGTGGTCTCCTTCCCTAGTAGGCTCACTTATACTCGCCTCATTCGTGGTTTCAGTCAGTTGAGGCTTCGATCGGTTTTCAGTACTCGGTGAGCCTGGCTCCGACTTCGACCCACTGTCGGCGGAAGAAATGACAATGTTGCCATGAAACAGAACAAAATCCAAACAGATTGGAGGCTTCCTTTGAAGTGCTTCATCCCCCCTCGAACTTGTCGAAGGTCCAACTTTGAAGGGATCGTCACCAACGTCCTGCTCCGGCGATATTGGCGCGGATTGAACAAGACTGACTGCTGCAGGCAGGCCTCTTTCGTTCTCTGATTCTGCCGCATGCTTTCCATCGAGCTGTCCGTCAGCCTCGTTCTGACTGGCTCCTTCCCGGCCAATGTCATGAAAGTGCACCGCCGCACCTTGATCTGCTGCTCGACCTGTCGATAGTGCCGCCGTATCGGATGATGGTCTGTCCTCAAATGGACGATGATCTACGCTATGTCCGCTGGGTATACTAGGAGGAAGGAGAAATAACAGGCGATAGAGATTTTGCATCAACCACGAAATCGTTCCATCTTGTTCCAAATCGAGCCTCTCATTGCGTGGAGTCCCCATCGGAGGCCCCGGAACAGCCATTTTTGAATTAGCCCCAGCCTGGAACGTGCTCGCGCTGTGAGAGTCAGACTTCGGCTCATGGCTTTCGGCCTCTGTGTTTCGGATCGTCTCCATGTATATGCGATTTGCTACCTCCGGGTATAGTTTCGCATGCTGGTCCCATATGTGGTCGCAGATCGCTTGATGCTCTTCTCTGAGCAGGGCAATACGGTAACGGATGTTATACAGTAGATCCGGGGATAGAGGAGGATTCCCCTGATATGCTATATAAATTGCATAGTATGGAATGCCTTTTAGCGTATCCATGGCATGTCGAAGGCTCGGCTCCAGAGCGTCGCGATACCGGTCCGTGATTTCCTTCACGCATTGGAGTGCCACGTCATTCCTGTTCGCATTAGCGATCATTAGCGCGTCAACCCCACGCACTCATACCATTAACGTACTGTACATTATTGAGATTGACACCCTTTCGAGAGGGCCCAAATCGTCGGATCGCATTCTGTTCGGCACGCAGAATGGTGTTCCAGAGCATTTGACTCTCACAGCCCCACGGGCACTCCCAATCTGGAATCTGCGGAGCACTAGGCGATCGGCAAATACAGCAACGCGGCTGTAACCAGGCGCTGCCCATTCTCTGGATCTCACTCGATCTATTTTTCTCCATATGAGGATCTGTTCGTAGATTTGGATTGTGGCCACGGAACTTCTTGTTGCTTGGCCTCCCATGCTTTTCGCCCTCTCCCAGCACGTCACCATCGTTCGGTTGCGAGATTCCATTGTATCGCTGCACTGCCATGTCTCTATTAAACGTCTCTTGTGCCTCATTTCCCTCTTTCCAAGGAAGAAGAAAGATTTCTGGCTCCCTCGATCGATCTACTGACATGGAACTGGCGATGCCCATTACATGGCGGCGAAGGAGTTGCGTGCTCTCGCTCTCCACGTGGGAGATTGACTGCCTCCGCAAGTGTGCATACCGCTGATCTAGGCCAGGTGCCATAGCTGGCACGGTCTCTATCGCAGCTAAAGGGCGCCGTTTGGGGAATAATGGAGGTGTGACGACTTCGTTATGTATTCCCGATATCGGGAGAGGCATTGGTAGCCGAGTAATTTCGTTCTTCGCATCGGTAATGGATTGACGTCGGGCCATGAGACGGGAGCTCAGTGGGGATAATGCCCAGGACGGGGAAGATGTCTTCTCAGCATAGGATTTCGCTGGATACTTGGGAACGGTTGGCGCTGCTATAGGTACTGGAGCAGCCTCTCCGCGAGTCGTGGTTGCCTCGTCCCGGCGGAGGTAAATTCTCAGATGCGGTAGCACCCGCTCTTTCGAAATTTGGAGCCACTTTTCGGCAGTTAGTTCCTCGCCGTTTTCTGTTCTGAGTATGCAGTCGCTCCATGGGATGCCAACGTTCGCACAATGTAGTTCTATTTGCTCGATGAAGCCGTAGAAAGACATGGACGTTCCCACCAAAACACTGAAGTTGAGATCGGGTAGCATCTGGATTCGAATCCGTCGGACGTTGTGCGTTGGGCTGATTCGTACGTCCTGACCTAACAGATCGTCCCTGGAGGACTGGGAGCAGGTGATCATCGTATCTTTTCATTGTTGAATTAACAAACGACTCAAATGGTCTGATAACTACGGCTTACCTGAACCCAAGAGGATCACCCAGATTTGTGGGACTAACAATAGATTCGATTTTGACCACTTAAGATACCGATGGAGTGCTTGATTCTCGTCCCGGTCCTCAACTGATTCGAAGAGATATAACGTTTCCATCAGACTCCGTGTGGGGCAGACATCTGGATAGGCAGATGGAGCGGCCATAGGCCGATCTGATATTGCAAAGTATGGAAATGACGCAAAGACAACCGCAGGGCTGTTTGGACCTTGGTTTTGACCGACATGTCTCAGCACTGTTCCTGGTTCCACATATCGTCCATGCGTCGACTGCTTCACGTAGACTCTATTAATTTCGTCGAGAATTGAGGTTCCTAGCGCCTTCATGGTCCTGGTGAGTCCTCGAGCTCCTTGAACGAAGCGCTAGGAGAAATATCAGCCCCCTGATAATAATTTCCCACAGTATAATCACATACCTGCATTTCGTCGAGACTCATCGTCTGTCGCTGAAGGTGTCTATATGCGGGTGAGCAGGCTGACTGGCGGATGGGGACATTAAACGTACAGCCACTGAAACTGGATCTCGTCACCCATTTCTCCGAGCTCTGGGCCAGTTGCAGCACACGTCAAATCAGTGGTTTGGTCACCATTATGATCGGTGTAGCACTTGGACTCCAGGACGTAGAGCGCTTGATTCCGTCCTTCACGAGTTGTGCTCTCCGTATCCGGCCATTGGCCAGGGTGGCCGTACGAGCTTGTCGGGTTCCACACTAAATTCCGATGCTTCGGGAACTTGTCTTTTCTCCATGTTGGCGAGCCATTTCCGTCCGACTTTTTCGCGCCCTTTGATTTCCGGCCATTCCGGCCACCAGACAAAGGAACCACCCGGTTAAACTGATGCCAATCAAGATCCGCTCGTTGCGGTCGCTGAAACCCGGCTACCTGGGGCAGTGGAAAGCTGCTCACCCGGGAAGGCGGAACGGGGTGTGCAATTGGGTATGAAGGAGGCTGGCGCGCTGGCACCGGCCGTGGGACTGAGGGCGTGATCAACGACGTTGATGAGAGCCATGATGGCCTGGATTCGTTCCGCGACTGCGCTTGCGATTTTGCAGGAGTACTCCCTGGGTACTCCTCCCATTCATCCGAGGTGAGCGTAGACGGCAGTGAGGTACTTCGACTTCGTGACGAGCGCTCGAGTGATCTCTCTCGGCGGAATAAGGGCGAGCTTCTCGAACGATCACGCGGCCGGGGGGGCGGGGGCGGCGACAATGACAACGGCCTAGGGAACCCACGCAATTGCGGATATTCTGGAGGAGAGGCAAAACGCACTGTCGGTGGTGCTCGTGGGAGGGACGGGGACCGTGGTGGTTCTAGAGGCGGGGATGGCGCTCTTGTCGGTCTCGGATACGGATACAACGCCGGACTTGACCTGAAGTAGCCATCCGGTACGGATGTGAAGGCATCGACGTTTCCGTAGTTGTGTGCGTAATAGGGAGGATATGGCGGCCCGGTATATGACTGGAGGTCAGGGGTTGAGAAACCCCCCGGAGGGGACATGAAGCCTTGAGGAGGAGGGGGAGGAGGGGGAGGAGGGAATCGATGAGGAGGGAGGCCCGCAGGAGGAGGGAAGCCATAAGGAGCCCAAGGCTTCGTATAGAAATTCGGAGGATCATGTTGTGGGGATGTTATCGAATGAGCGCCAAAAGAAAATGGACTGTTGGATGCAAAATGCGGATCAAACGGGTTGGCTCCGAAGGGGACCAAGCCATCATCTTCCGGGTCCATGGCGACATGAGACGATCATTGCAATAGATTGACGATTGAAACACGGTGAAAATCAACGGGAAAGAGAGACTAAATAGAGCAATACGAACCGTCACTTCCAACTGTCGAGATAACTTGTGGACGGATTGCAAGGCTGCGAGCCTTGACCGGAAGGCTCTGAGAATGTTCTTGGCTGAGTTCTACAACCTGTATACATGTACTAGTAAGCGGCGCCAGCGCATCTGAAGGCTGGGATCAAAAAGTCACAATCGACTTATGGAACCAAACCTCCCCAATTTCTGAGGTATTGCATGGTGGACGTTCGAATATGAGCAACATGCATCAACCTGAACCCATTCAAACCCACCCTCTTTCGCCTTGCTGCAGCATCCTACTAGTTTTCGGAACCCCTTTTTGCTGCGCATCGACTTTTTGACAACATTTTCATATAATACTTCTCATCTTCCAACCTGTGGCTGAGAATCGCGTAGGGAGGATGCCAGAGCCAACAAAAGACTCCAACTCCAAGATATTGACATTCAGTAACCGCATTTAGACATAAAACATGAACGCATAAATAGAATATACTTTTGCAAAACGTGGTAACTATAACAAAAAATGAGAATAACGCAAAATGAAAACTTTGATGGATGGTTGAGGAATAAGGCAATGAGAAAATCTGGCTGGTCAAAAATGGAGGTTATTTGTTGGGTGATCAGGTTTGAAGGGTTTGGCGGGTTGGCTGAAGAATGAAATGTGGTACATATTTCAAAATTATTAATATACTTCCAACATTGGCCTATTGGCCCAATGGCAAGGCGTCTGACTACGAATCAGGAGATTGTCGGTTCGAGCCCGACATAGGTCACTTTCTTTTTTGTCCTTTTCGCCTTTTTTGCACTTGTAATTATCCACCATTGTTTTCTCCACCACCCCCACACCATGAATCCATCGGGTTTTCGTTTTACTTCTCTGTACACAGGCGAGATCTTTGAGAACATGATAGCTTAGACAATGATGGATTCTACATAAGAACATATATCAGCCAGCAATGCTAAGAAGAATGCTCGAAGCAATTGTGATAAGTGGCAACTCTCTTCGAGCAGAATTAAATCCAGGAGCAGGTCCAAACAAGACGCAGGCGATGGTGGAGTTCCTCTCCGTACGTATCAGGATATATAACGGCGGTTGAACTTCCAAGTTTCGTTCCATTTGACAGACATACCGAAATACCCATCAGAAAATAAAAGCGAGCAAATATTGTACACAGTGTACCTGAACCGTTATTTCAAACTAACGGATTTAAGTCCTATCATGAAAACCCGACCTGAAGCGCTGGCACCCCTCAACATTACGACGCCAGGACCCTTTACAATTTCGCCTGTCTCTGCTGATACTTCTGATATCCAAACGCGATCAACGCCACCAAGATGTATCGCCTCAACGCTCCGCTCGCATCCCCCGCACCGAGCCTCAGCAACCACCCCACAATCCCCACCTTCCGGTTTCCACCGCGATCGAAGTTCGGGGATAGGTCCTGCATCCGCTTGAACTGCGCCAGCTTGCCGTGGTAGGGCGGGTAGCGGATGCTCAGGAGGCTTTCGAGCCAGCCGGGCGTGGTGGTAATGCTGCGGCGGTGGGTGAACGCCTCGAAGGAGGCGCGGCCGCGGTAGGAGCCAGAGCCGGAGGTGCCGACGCCGCCGAATTGGAGGGTGGGGATGGAGGCGTGGAAGAAGCCGTCGTTGACGGAGGCGCCGCCGGAGCGAACGTTGGCAAGCACTGGGAACATTAGCGAAGGAAACGGTGGAGACGGGATGTGTATATACCTTTGTCGGTTTCTTGCTTGTTTCCGAAGGGATAGAGACCCAGAGGAGTGTCATGGACGGAGTTCGCCAGGCGAATCGCCTCGTCCAAATCATTGACCGGGAAGACAGGAATCAACGGCCCGAAGCTTTCTTCGACGACAAGGGGATCATTGACGTCATCCACCTGAACGACCGTCGGCTCCAGGAAGAGCTCTGACTCGTCCATGGTCCCGCCAAGCAGAATCCGTCCCCGACTGTTGTCCAACATGCCCTTGAGGCGCAAAAATTGCCGCTGATTGACAATGCGCGCATAGTCCTCGGACGCCTTCACGCCCTTCGGGTAGAACTCCTTCAACGCCTTCTCCAGCTCCTTGATGAACGCTGGTAGGACCTCCTTATCGATCAAGATCCAGTTCTGGCTGACGCAGACCTGCCCGGCATTGTGGACCTTCGCCCATAGCAGCCGTCGCGCCGCCAGGCGGGGATCGGCGCTCTTCGTGATAATGGCCGGGTTGCGGCCGCCCAGCTCCAGGGTCACTGGGGTTAGCGTCTCCGCGGCCTTCTTCGCGACGATGGTGCCGACCTTCTCGCCGCCGGTGTAGAAGATCTTGTCCCATTTCTCGTCGAGCAGGGCGGTGGTCTCCGGAACGGCGCCCTGGATGACCTGGTAGCAGGAGGGGTCGAGGTATTTCTTGATGATCATCTCCATCACGGCAGCGGCGTTCGGGGCGCTTTCGCTGGGCTTGAGGATGGCGGTGCAGCCTGCGGCGATGGCACCGATGAGAGGACCGATGGAGAGTTGGACGGGGAAGTTGTACGCCCTAGAAGGGGAAGGGAGGTCAGTATAGATCCACCGAAGAACGGCGCACCACATACCCGATGACAAGCGTTGTTCCCAGAGGATCTTTTCGAATTCGAGGCTTGAGGCCCTTGTTCATCAAGGGGATATCCGGTGGAGATTCATCCTTCGCCCATTTCTCCAAGTTGTTCTGCATGAAGACGATATCGTTCATCACCCATCCTACCTCCGAGAGGTAGGTCTCGTATGCTGGCTTTCCGAGATCGCGCTTGCATGCTTCGGTGAGGAGGTCGGTATTGTCCTTGATTCTAGAGACAACCGTTCATGAGCTTGTGATACTTCGCGGCTTTCGAATCGACTTACCCCCAGTATAGCTTCCTCAACTGCACAAGGCGGAACTCCACGGGTCTGGTCTTGCCAGCCAAGAAGGTCTTCCTCACTCTCTCCACAATCCCAGGGATTGCCTCAGCGGGCGTATGCTTGAACGCTGGGATCTTGGGCGCCATGTTGGTGAAGGTGTACTTTTCGTATTTGGGGATCTCGGAGCTGTTTGGTGATTCTGATGAGGGTCGAATTACACGTTACGACAAAACGACCGGGCGGAAAGGATCTTAGAAGAGAGAGCAAGATCAGGAGGGAGTAAGATGAGATCACATAATCATAAGCAAGTACTTGGTGCAATAATAAATCCTCTTGTTTTGGGCAGAGGTGGACTTTCATGTGCTTCCTGACGGGGATGTTCGACGTCAGAAGCAGACGGGCCTCGGTCGCCCGATCTTTCCGCTAACCCCATGCTTCTAATACGATCCTGTGTATCTCTAGACCTCCGCACTCTTGAGCCTTGACTCGACAGAAGCGAGCGGGGTGCAACCCCAATCACCAATGGAGTGGCTTGGGATATTGGGGAATATTCCATTGACTATAATCCATGGCCAGCCGTTCCTAGTAAATTGCCCCATGCCTGTGATGATCTAAGAGGCGGGGGAACTGTCTAGCCGCAGGATTTAGTTGCCATCTCCACAGGAAGATGCCATGCGCCCGGGAGCCGAATTCAATCGCTTCCTTGATGGTGTCTATTCTACAGGTAATAGGAGTCTTCGACCAGTCTATTGAAAGTTTGCAATACTTTCACCGATTCAGGATGCATCAGTCGACGATATACGTAGTTCCGTCTCGTCTGGCAGCTATGATAACCAGCCACACACTCTTGGGCTAGGTAAGTTCTTGAGCCACTAATAGCAGAATGGAGCTCATCTTCGGATCTTACACACTTTCTCACTTGCATCAACACGGGAATACCCCAGACAGGAGCTTACACCTCATCGCGGTTTCTGGGTCTAGTAATCATCTCTTCACCCTTAGAGATGATGAAACTAAGATGAACTCGTTCCCTCTCTGACCCCGATTTCCCTCGCGATATCGTCGAGACTGAAGCCCCCTGATGAGCGGAGCCCGCCACCTTCGCGAGTTATTAACAACCATTATCGAGCACGACGTCTCCATAATTGAGCGGTATCCCATCAACAACGACGCAAGCAATCGATTACCGCTTTCTACTCCTCGGAACGCCGGTCGAGCCAATTCGCGTCCCTCGCCGTCTAAGTTAACGAGACTCCCCAGTCCCGGTTCAACGATATCCTCCCCGTTTGCGGTATATTTGTGTTTAAGACATAACCCGTAGGTTTTGGCTGGTGATGGCGTAAGAAACTTTGGCCCAGAGGATGGAATGGACAATCTCTCTTCCCCGCCATCGTTGTGCCTTAGAGCAGCAAGTACTTCGAAAACGCTGAAACATATCCTAAGCGGAGCGACGCGAGAGCGGATAGGCTCGCTCTCGATGGCGGTTCCTCTTTCAAGAGGAGCGGCTTTGGGGGCACTAGATTAGATGACGGACCCTGGCTTTAGCAGGGCTTGCCTTTCCGTGTGGTCTTCGACAATATCTCCCCCGTAACTCCACTTATCAAACAAATAAACAACTTTTGGCCTATCAAGCTCAAAACGGTAATGCGATCCGACAGCATAAGATCTTCATGCGTTCTCACTTCTCAGGTAGTACTACCGACCTGGAGTAGCCAACAATCTACTCCACTAGCGGGTACTCAGGATACCAGGAGTAGATCTTAGCCGCATCTATGCCAAGTCGAGTAGGCGACACGAAGGGAGTTACTGATAAGATAACGAGCTTCAAGTAAGTTATGAACGATATGGTATTAGGTACATTTAAGATGGCCCAAGACGGGATTAAGAGCGGGAATGCTTATTTACTTAATGTCGGTCATTGTCAATTGCTGTCCTGTCATTCTTTGCTTTTTATTCAAGTTAGTCGAAGCGTCGATTCCCTCGCATTCGATTGTATACAAGGCCAGGCCAGTGAGGTATATGAGGTTGCGATAGCTTTGATCCTTCCGCTCCCGCGATCATGATCGCCTCCGAAGTCGTCCAGGCCTGGGAGGCCTGCGATAAAACCGACACTGCCTTCATCCTCGTGTGCAGCGTCTTTTGCTGGACCATTGTCCCCGCCGTCGGCCTGGGTTACTCCGGATACTCCACGCGACGTAGCGGGCTTGCTTCTTTCATGCCTGCTATCCTCTCCGTCGGGTGCTGTACGATACAATGGACGCTCGTTGGATACAGTCTGGCATATAGCGAAGGATCAAGTATCATCGGAGACCTCAAGTACGCGTTGCACATTGGAGTCTTGGCTGAGCCAGTTGGGACCATACCGGCGATCTTGTTCAGCGAGTTTCAACTGATCTTTTGCGCGACTGTTTGTGCAATTGCTATTGGAGGCGTGTGTGAGCGAGGCAGGCTGCTGCCTCTGATTCCATTTATATTCGTGGGTTGATCGCTACGCGTCAGTATCAAAGCTAATTGCATTGTCTAGCTTTGGGCAACATTCATTTATTGTCCATTGGCACACATGGTGTGGTCAGACAATGGCTTCCTTGCCAAACTCGGCGCATTGGATTTTGCAGGCGGGACACCGGTCCATATCTGCTCTGGAGCCACCGCGACTGCGCTGTCACTCCACCTCTCCCATCCAATCGCCCGGTCGCGCAAGTCAGCGACACGCACACCATCCCACCTCGCCCTACACCGGCCGCACAACTCAATGTGCCAGCTCCTGGCAATGGTGATCATCTGGGGCAGCTGGCTTGCATTTGACGCGGGCACGACCTTAGCACTGAACTTCAAGTCGGTCATGGCGTTCTGCGTGACGAACCTCTGCGCCTCCGCCGGTGCGATGACATGGGCCGGCTTGACCTACTTCGAGACCGGGAAATGGAGCTTGGATTCGACGTTTATGGGCGCGATTTCCGGACTGGTCCTCATCACCCCGTCCGCGGGGTTCATCGACATGATCACAAGCTTCTTCTTCGGGATGGCGGGCGCGTTGATCTGCAGGCAGGCACTGCGGATCAAGTCCACCGACTTCGCCAGGCGGGTCAGATGGGTTGACAATGGGGATACGTTTGCGACGCATTGCGTGGGCGGGTTCGTTGGGACGATCGCGACTGGGCTGTTCGCGCAGAAACAAGTGGCGGCATATGACGGAGCCACCTTCATCGATGGAGGGGTATTCATTGATGGGAACCTCAAGCAGCTGTGGATCCAGATTGTCGAGGCCGTCATCGGGTTTACCTGGTCGTTTGTGGGATCCTACCTGATTTTTGCCTTGATTGACTGTATTCCGGGCCTAGAGGTGCTGGCTGAAGACGAGTAAGTCCCTTCGATATTCAGGAACCACGTTGAGAGTCTGTTGTGGCTATTGGATGCTAACCTACGTGCTATAGAGATGTAATTATGGGCATGGATGCTTCCCAAATGGATGAGAGCCTGTATGAGGCTCAATGGGAGACTGAAGCCGACTATCATCCCTTCGCCAAGGGGCAGTTGGCCCTGGAATAAACGGGGGAATTAGAGCTCGAAGACATCTTTCTGCTAGAGGGTTTAGAAATATGACCGCTTAGAACGCTAGAGCACACTTGCTGGAAAGGTGACGAGCGGGTGAGCTAAGGGGAGTCGGTATGAATGAGGTGAAAAACATCCTCTCTTTGTAATGAGGCAATATCAAACATCATGCATGAGATCAACAACAAAACATATACTAAGAATCAAGCTTAATATTCGAATTCATTAATCTGAATCTCAAGGTTACTTACCTTATGTACAGTAAACCACGAAAAAGTCGGATGATTTACGCTATGCCAAGCAGATGCCAAAGTCCATGCGGATGAAATCCTTCGTTGGCCTCAGGCATCAGCAATCCATCGCCACAACATCAATGTGCCTGAATGCGAAATTTCGACAAACCTGTGCTCGGAGATATTGCTTGCATAATCACATCTCGCCGACATTTGCTCTTAAATTTCTCTATTAAGCGGAAACAACACTGCGTGTGTTGTTGGTGTCTTGGGTGTCGTAACAACATTTGCATCCCGCCTCGCCCCGAGCAGTTCCAAGTCAACGTCATATTACAACCCAGAATTGGAGGCACCATGGAGGAGAGCGCAGAGGCGATAGATGGGCCAAATCCTCATGCAACCCTCTTTAGGCTTGCATTACAGGCTCTTGTTGTGTATTTCAAGTCCGACGGAATATATATTTGCGACAAATTCTGGTCAACATGGGACAACAAGACCATCCAGACGACCCTCACAAAGACGGTTAAGAACCCGGATTTAAGGTATCATGAAATTCTAAACCTTGCTACTATCTTCAAATGCTGATGATCGGATCTTTAGGAAAGAGCTGGGGTTGTCTAGACTTGTCTGGGAGTCTCTGGCAGAGGCCCTCGATGCCGCTGTTCCGACACTTCGGCATCGATGCTTCTCCATCGACAAGGCAGACTCGGACACGGAGTCACCATCCAGTCAAACGATCGTTGCAAACGCCAAGTTGCTAGTGAAAGACATTAGAATTCTCATCAATCTTGTTAGTATCGCTCGGAACATTCTCGCCTGTGGAGCTGCGGCGCAGAACTTGGCCGCGGAAGCACTGGTGGACCAGGCGGTCCTTAAAGTCATCAGCGTAGACGTAAGTGTGACCACTCAAGGATTCGAAGGAAAGACGGGCAGTCAAGATGAGCAAGAGTTTCAGAAGGTTGTTGATGAATGTAAGCCGGTTCTCCACCTTCGGTTCTTAATTGCAGTTATTGACCATGGTGTAGATAAGGAACTGTTGTACACATGTCTTCAGTTTCTGAATAACCTGATGATCCAGAACGAGCAACGCAAATTAATGTTGTGGCTCGATCTATTTGACATGTCCTTCGACCGAGGGCTCTCCGATGAAGATCGATTGACAAGAGAAAAGCTCCTCCGGATTAACCCTCCGTCAATTCCAAGACACATCCCTCCTGAACCTGTGAAGCTAACGTCCTCATCGCCCTGGGATAGCCGCAACGGATCTGCATTTGTTGTTTTCCTCGCTACAAACACCCCGAAGATCCGCGAGCGATTGATCGATGAAGGCAAACCCGCCGGGCCCCGCGAAATTACTGAAATGTGCATGTCGGAGTGGCGGGCGCTCTCCGAGATAGAAATGCTAAGCTGGTGTACCACATATCATACAGTCCTGGTTAACTACATCGTTTGCGAGAAGCCAAAACCATCCAAGGACGGAACGGTCATCCGCGAGTCTAGAACGTTATCGGATCTCTTATATCTGGCCGAGAAATGCGACGATGGCCGCGTTCTGGAAATGCAACTTCCGGGAGATATGGATTCAAACACAGCGGCCGAACCCAGACAGGAAAAGTTCGTTGGAGGATATGAAGGGCTGAGTCGAGCCTGGTTTGGAGAAATGGTTCGAAATTCCTGGGGTTCGAAACCGATGCACCAGACGGCTCCAACCGAGGGAGATTGCCGTACCGGTTATGATGCGCGGGAAGGCGCGGAAATGCTTCGCAGAGGCAAAGCCGATCTGATGAGCAGGTTGAACCCGCAATCTGAAGAGGGGGTGCTTCATGACGACCGACATTTGCAGACCGAAACAGAAGAGGATGAGCAATCTGTCAGCTCACCCGTAGCGGATTACGATTCCTCTTCGATCAAAGCCGTGGTATCCGACGACGACAGTGATGGAGACCGCAGCGACGACGACGACTATCCGATTTCGGGGGAGGAAGGACGCGGACTTTTGACCGGTGTTCCTCTCGTACTCGACCCTGCCGAGATCACAGTCTTACCGATGATCGTCCTAAATGGCATCGTGCCGCCAAAACGTAACGAGGGATGCCCTGACTGCGCCAACGAAGAGCTTTGGGATGAGCTAATTGAGAACTTATATACCGTTCGTTGCAACATTTTCCTCGGGCAACCCAATGGCAGGAATTTGATGCGCGAACTGCTGATCTTTGTCGCCGCTTGGGATTGCCGCGAGGAGGACCTATACTACAAGTTCATGGTGAGAATCGTTGAGGCCATCTTGAAACGTGGGCTGTTGGTATATGCCTACCAAACTTTGAAAGAGTATGCATCGATTTATAAAAAATGACATCTTCACATCGCTAACTTTAAACAGGAAAAAGGACTTGATTTCGCCGGCACAAGCGGTCATCATGAAGTTGTTGACAACGGTTTTCCGATCCCGCCAACTCACGGAAGAAGCGGCTGCCGAAGGGAATGTCGAGATGCCAAAGCAACCATCTGTTTATCCATCCCAAGTCGATGTATTCGTTGTAGGCCGCATGATGGAAGAGTTCAGAAGTGAGATTATTCCCCAAGTCTGCTCCTTGATCTTCCTTCAAGGTCAGATCAAAGCTGGCCTTGCATCACCCGACGAATTCCCTATGAATCAATGGGATATGGAGAGGATGTACGAGGGCCTCTACCAATTCATGGAGTTCTTCGCCATCTTGACCGAACATAAGTTCTGGCAGAAGATGATGGCCGACTGGGAGTTGGTAAGCGAATTTATCACACTTCTCAAAGAGCTCGACCGCGCCATTCCCCTTGGGAAGTACCGACCAGCACCGAAGGATTCCCGCCCGGACACCGACTCAGGGGCACAAGCGGTTGCAGTGGAACGACCATACGATGTCTCACAAGAAGCCGGTCCTGGAGAGCAGCCCCCAGTTGATCCAAACTACGCTCCTGTTACGCCGACAGAACCAGCAGACTTTGAATGGAAGAACTTGAAGAAGCTTGCCGTGCTTGTTCTGTCCTCTCTCGTCTACAAATGCCGACCCGTGCAAGACCAGATCCGCGAGTTCGATGGCATCGAGCCGATTCTCTCCTGCTGCCGGCCCGACGAGCACAACCCATATATTCGTGAGCACGCCGTCGTTTGCCTACGTTTCTTGATGGAGCAGAACCCGCGGAACCTGGAAGTCGTGCACCGGCTGCAAGCGCAGAATATTCCGACCGAAATCCTTGAGAAACATGGGTGGGAGAAGTACCAAGACGGCAACACGACGACCTTAAGAAAGAAACCGGGTGCAAAGCCGCAGGGACAACCTTCGGGTTCTCAAACTCAGACACAACCTGGGGCTTCACAAGGTCCAGCAAGAGCCTCTCCTCCAACTGCAAGTGCTAGTGACCATGGACAGTCTGCCACTCAGTCCGGTTCTACGCAAGGTGGGGCACCTAGGACTAACACCAAACCCAAAGGCAAATGAACTCAAACCAGGGGAGGCTGAAATTGCACTCTCCTATATGCAAGCGCTATTCAAGATATCAGTACCAGTTTGGCCTTTCTGCGATTTAATATGCAAACAGAGGAATCCTCTTGGAGATGAACCAGGACCAATAAAGCAGCGCATTGTCCTCATTCGGCATACCCGTCCAATTGTGTGCCACCGCACCCAGAACAAGATCGCTGTACAACGCGCCTAAAACGCCCAAGCTTGCGAGAAATGCACCGAGAGCAGCCCCGCCTGCTTTCATGCCAGTATTGAAGCACAGCCGACCACCACGCTCGTTCGCCATCCATTTATCCCAACCCTTCATATAGAACGCCGAGGCTGCTCCGATAGTGATCACAATCGTGGTGATTACGAAGCCATATGTAAGATTCCGAAGCTCGCGGTTGTTTCCAAAGTCGGCGCGTATGACGGCAATAAGACCGGTCAAGCCAACGAACGTTCCAAGAAGATGCAGGATAACCCATCCAGAGGGGCTTTTACTAGTATTGGGTCTCGATACCGGCACAAGGGATTCGTGGGACGGGACTGGTCGATAGCTTGGACTTGGGGCTATTTGCGCCTGTCAGTGGATTCGGAAGGGCGAGGATCAGGTTCGCATACCTTTAGGACTTAGATAAGGGCTTGTCGAGGATGAAAAGTATGAAAATCGTTCACTAGCTGGAGTGAAGCCAAAACGTGCATCCGGCGGCGTGTACGGCGAGGGCGATGGCGATGGCGATTGGTTTCGTAGAAGAATTCCGTCCTGTTCTCGGGCCCTTGACATCTGAATCGCGCGCCTCACGATGAGCGCACGATGGATCGTCACCAGACTCAAAGTGACGGACATCATCATCTTCCATACTGCCATCAGGATAAACGGCCAGGTCTGCTTGCAACGATAGATCGAGATCGCACCGATCGGTAAGGTGGCGAGCAGAGGAGCGATCGCAAGGACTGTATCGAATTTCCAAGAGTCCAGTTTGTGCCATGGCCAAAATGGTGCGCGCCCGCCGTATGCAATCCACGCTACCGTCCAGTAGAAGAGTAGATGTGATAGGAGTCCGATACAACCATAGGGAAGGGCATAGCACTTGATCTCTCCCTCGATTCCGGCTGTCTCGTTTCGATGCGGGAGAACCGAATTGATTTTGTCCTCAATTCTAGGATGTGCATTTGCTGATGCGATTAGAAGGGCAAGGCTGGCTACTATAGAATATCGAGTGGTCGCTTGGAGATATAATGGAGCATGCATTGCGAGACTTTTGGAAAGCACCGAACGACAGACAAGGTCAACATACAGAAAGGAACGAAATAACATGAACTGGGATTGAGCGGGGACGAGTTAAGAAATACATCGGGTCGAGAAGAATCATCGACTGTGTTACTGGAAGACAAGGCTGAGGCTGAAGGCTCGAAGCCCCTGGCGGCGGCGAGATATTGAGGCTCTGCGGTCCGCCATCGACGTGTCTCTAGAGCCTCGTCAAATGGAGCGAATAGAGCCCACACGATGATTTGTTAGAAATGTGGCCGCAGTATCTACCGTCAAGGTCGTTCATAAGGGACCGCGTTGGTTGTTAAGAGAGCAACATCGCTCCGAACTGTCTGGCAATACTTGAACGCGGCGATCAAGACGTTCGGCCGGAGGATGGAATTCAAATCGCCATACCTCGACGCAAGGCTTCAGTATACAAGGCAGAAGACTCTAATCCCGTCTTGATGTCGAAGTCTGTGTTTGCACGGTGTAGGCCGTGGGTTGTGCCAACGACGCAAAGGTTTTCAAGCCACCAACTGCTGCGGCGTGGAAAGCGACGCGGTAGTGGTCGGCCAGCCCAGTGTACTCTCGTTTACGGAACTGGGAGAAGTAGCCTTGAAAGTTTTCGTCTTCCGAGTACCAGGTCTCTATTGAAATCCTATTGCCCCGTCCTCAGTGCTTGTAGTTCCGAGCGCCAGTGTGCATCGTGTTCGTTCTTGAGAGCCAGATGTGGCGTATGTTCTAGACCCGACGCGACTAGAAGCCACACGGGTGTGATCGGGCTCCTCTCACATTGGATTTATTGATTCCAACAAGGGCTCATGCCGCTGACATGGATTTGAAACGGCAATGTGACAAGTTCTGTGCTCTAGAACTGAGCGCGCCGAGATCAGACGCTAGAATTAATTGGGGGGAGGCTGCAGGACAGGCATTCTCACAGACTCTCGTGACAGGGACTGTCCAGATGGTCCGGAAACACACGATGAAGGGAAAGTCCGGGTTTTACCACCAACAGTATATATATTTCAAGGTAATAGCCTCGAAATCGGGCCAAAGGATGGAATCCTGCCCCCCCATCGAAATTCCGTGAAGAGGGTGTCGAACAAATGTGATATTAAAGATATTCGACGCTTCACCCCGGAATCATGGATCTAGCGAATCAGCTATAGACTATAGCATCATGGAAGCGGGGAACGAGAAAGCTGCCCCGCAGGCTAAGAATGGACTTCCCTGCGACGACGTATGGCGTGGACCGGTGGACGCCGCTGAGTGATATATATGGCGGGCCAATTCCCCGGCGAGATGGGCGGGTGTTCCTTCGAACTTGAACCTCCAAGACGACGTGAAAAGCGGCATCGCGCGAGAGATAAGCCAACTGGGATCACGGCCCGACGACCCTGAAGAAAAAGGATTACCCACACAAACATGGGGCTGACAAACGGAGATGCCAATGGCGACAGCGTCCGGACGCTCAACGTGAGTGTGTTCCAACTCATTGGCAGGGAAAAGGCACTGACTATTAATTGCATGCAGTTGAAGGATTCCAGCCTCTTCGTCCAAGATGCTTTCATTGACGGTGAATGGGTCAGCAAGTCCAAGAAATTTCCGGTCTATGGTGGGTTTTCCACCTGGAGCTACATCTCCGATCTGGTGCTGATAAATCCTTAGAACCCTCCTCTGAGACAGTTCTTGGCGAAGTCGCCAACTGTGACCTTGAAGACTTCAAGAAAGCCATTTCTAGCGCCGATGTCGCGCAGCGGGAATATTGGCTCTCCACCACCGCTCTCCAGCGGGGTGCGGCGCTGCGAACGTGGTACAACCTGATCATGGCCAACCAGGACGACATCGCCCAAATTCTGTGTCTCGAGAACGGCAAAACCTTCGCCGAAGCCAAGGGGGAAGTCGCCTATGCCGCCAGCTTCATTAGCTGGTTCTCCGAAGAAGGTACCCGAGCGTATGGCGAGACGATTCCCTCGCAAACGCCCCATACCACGCTCATGACCTTCAAGGAGCCGGTAGGAGTTTGTGGAATCATCACGCCGTGGAACTTCCCTGCCGCCATGATCACCCGGAAGATCGCGCCCGCGTTCGCGGCGGGCTGCGCCGTCGTCATCAAGCCGCCGTCGGAGACGCCCTTCACTTGCCTGGCGCTCACGAAACTGGCCGTGGAGGCGGGGATCCCTCCGAAATGTCTCCAGGTCTGTCCGACGAAGGATCGGCAGGCGGCAACGGAACTCTGCACGAACCCGATCGTGAAGAAGATTAGCTTTACGGGTTCGACCGGAGTGGGCAAGATGCTCGCGAAGCTGGCTGCTGACACTTTGAAGAAGTGCAGTCTTGAGCTGGGTGGAAACGCTCCGTTCATCGTCTTTGATGACGCGGATGTTGACCTTGCTGTGGAGGGTGCCATGTTCTGCAAGTTCCGATGCACGGGTCAGACCTGTGTCTGGTGCGTGGTATTTTCGGTGGTTGTAATGCTTCTCATAACTAACCGTTTCTCAGTGCCAATCGTCTCATCGTTCAGAAGGGCATTGCCCCTGCGTTCACGGCCAAGCTTGTTGAAAAGGTGGCCGCACTGAAGTTGGGCCCGGGTATGGATCCGTCCACCACACAAGGCCCCCTTGTCAACCGCGGCGGGGTCGACAAAGTCAAGGAGCACATTAAAGATGCAGTTTCCAAAGGCGCTAAGCTCGAGTTTGGCGGAGCCGCTCCCGACCACCCCGGGTTCTTCCATGAACCCACTGTGCTGTCTGGCGTCACCCGCGAGATGCTAGTCGCCTACGATGAAACCTTCGGACCTCTTGCTCCGATCTTCACATTCGACAACGAGGACGATGCCGTGAAGCTGGCCAACGACACTGAGTTTGGCCTCGCGGGATACTTTTTCTCGAAAGACGTCGGCCGCGTGATGAGGGTTGCGAGGAGGCTAGAGTGCGGCATGATCGGGGTCAACACCGGCAAGATCAGCGCCGCAGAGGCTCCCTTCGGTGGAATCAAGGAGAGCGGTTATGGTAGGGAGGGGTCGCACTATGGTCTGGCGGAATACCAGAACATCAAGAGTGTGACGATTGGGAATACGAACGTATGACCTCGTTTTCTCTCCCTTCAGACATGCGTTCCTGGCGTGAGGTCTTGACTTAAGGATACATAGATCAGATACCAATCGACTAGCAAATTGTAATCGGCGTAACTCATTCTCGTGGACGACTGGACAGGGTGCGCAATGAAAGTGAAAGATAATGGACCAAATTGACACAAGGCTGAAAGAGCAACGAAGGAGCATGGACACATCATTTCTCTAGTCTATTTCCAAGCGGCAAAAACCTACCGATGTTGAATTTGCAAATCAAAGACTGCAATGCCGTGTTGACTATGCTGCCACTTACCGCACTTTGCTGGGAGGGCGAAACTACCCACTGGCTCAGTCAAAGTATCCTGGAAATAGCCAGCCAAGTTTCTCTGCAGCGTCAAATTTCCGCCCTTCCTTCGCCGTGATGCTACCAGCTCCCTTCATCATACCCTCCAGATGCTTGGCTGCGACCAGATCTGTGTGCTCGGATTTCGAGAGCTCGTCGAGGACCGCGCTGACGAAGTGCCTCGCGTTCGTGGAGTTCGCCCTCATGTGGGCCATGACCATCTCAACATTGACGTCCTCGTGGCCTCGCCAGCAATCGTAGTCTGTCGCCATGCAGATCATAACATATCCGATCTCAGCCTCTTTGGCGAGCTTCGCTTCGGGAAGCGCGGACATGTTGATGACATGAGCGCCCCATGATCGGTAGAGGTTGCTTTCCGCTCGAGTCGAGAATTGCGGTCCCTCTACAGTAGAATCAGCATAATGCCTTCAATCGAATGGCGTCGCACAGCACTCACCCATGCAGATCAACGTCCCGCGGTCATGAAGCACTACCCCGTCTCCTTGCAAGGTATGTCCGCATTTCCTGACCACCTTCGCTAAGCTCTCGTCGAACGGGTCCGCAAAGCCAACATGTCCCACCATGCCCCCTTCGAAGAACGTAAACGGTCGGATCCCCTTGGTGCGATCGATCACCTGGTCCGGCACGAGGAAGTCGCGGGGCTTGAACTCTTCCTGCAAGCTTCCGACGGCGCTGAAGGCGATGATGGTTCGCACGCCGAGCTTCCGTAGCGCGGCGATGTTCGCGCGCGCGGGGACTTCGTGGGGCGCCAGTTCATGGTGTAGGCCGTGCCGCGAGATAAATGCGATCGGAATCGGCTCGCCGTTGGAGGGAGAAGGATGGTGGAGAATGGTGATCGGAGAGGAGGGAGTTCCCCATGGCGTGGTGGTCTCGATGGATGCGACGCGGGTGAAGTGGGGGAGTTGTTGGAGACCTGTGCCGCCAATGACGGCGATACGGACAGCACCTAGATATTTGCTCGTTAGAAATTGGCATCTTTGCTTCTAGGGGAAAGAGAGATACCGTCGTATGTAGATGCGACTTCTTCGGACATTTTGAGTTGAGTGAAGGACGATACCCAGCTGGTGGCGAGAGGACTTTTATTCCGTCCTATGGAAGATACAACGCGATCGCAACATCGTTTCAGGCCTGGATCTTCCGAATTTCGGACACTTTTTAGTCCATCTCAGCCCTCTCCACGTTTGAATATCGGCTAGTTTTTACTGGTCTTCTAGCGGAGCGCTTCACCAAAGCAGGTATGGCGCCATCAGATTGTCTAGGGTAAGTTCAACCCCCTGTCAAGTAGCCAACCACTCGAGTAGCCAGTATCACCATCTCAACCTCCATCGGTCAGACAGCAATATCTCTACTAAAACATATTATATTTGGAAATCTATACAGCATGATTCAAAAGATACAGCTTGGAGAGACTCTGATGTAGATTTGGCCTCCGAAATTGGATGTCTTCGTTGGTAATCTTCCTCTACCGCTCGTACAGCTTCTTGTGCCAATTTGATCTCCCGAACTTGCGCAAACCTCTGATTAAGATCTATCTGAACTTTCTTTTTACGTTTTGGTGCTGTAGCAGCATCAAGGCGTGCCTGTAAGCCCGCGATTTTCAGATCTGATGAGGCCTGACGCGCCTGTAGCACTCCGATCGCCTTGGCTGCCTTCTCTATATACGACTTCGTCGTCTTTGCCACGCGTGTATTCTTGCTAAGAACGCGTAATGCACTCTGTACCTGTTTTGGCTTGTAGGGCGTCGTCTGGAGAACGGAGGGGACTGGTATGGGGGTGCGTGGAGGCGTGTTTGGTGGTGGAATTGGTGGTGCGGTTACGGTAGGCGGTGACGGTACAACGAAGCGGTTACTGAGGCCCTTTGACCGGTCAAGCGGCACAAGTCCTGCAGCCTTCCACCCAGATCTGATTGTACGGTCGGTTAGGCGTGCCTGACGTGCCTCTGCATAGAGGACAATGAATCTCCGTCGTTTAATCGGTAGGGCCTCGTCGATATACGCGCTTTGGCGGAGGAGGGTCTTGTAAAAGCGTTTTAGAGGCGAAAAACAGGCGAGATCCAGAGGTTGAAGGATATGGGAGGTATGTGCAGGTAGGAAGACCACGATTACGTTGTTTATCTTGCATTCGTACAAGAAATCGATGGTTGCGTGACTACCGTGCCCGTCCATTAGCAGAATCCGGTACTGCCGCTGTGTAGCGGTTTCAGGCAGGAAAACCGTACGGAGCCAAACCAACGCGTGTTGATTTGAAGTCCAGCCGTTCTCTGATACCGTATAATGGAAGTCTGGAGGTTGTTCAGGGAACCAAGAAGACTGTAACGTGGCGCCTTTCTGTATAATCGCTGGTCTGATGTACTGGCCGGTCGCGGAGACAGTTTCAACGATACTAATCCATTCGCGGCCCATAGGACTAGTGATATAGGCCGTTGACTTCTGCGAGTCTGCGATAACCGTAGAATTAGCGCAAATCCCTAGTCCTATGCCAACCTCATCCATATTCCAGGTATCAGAGGGGTGGACATCGTACTGAGTTTGAACTTGGTGAAAATACGTGTAGAACGCGTCGATTGTATCCTTAGTTGCAGCCTGACGTCGGGCAACATCAAGACTACGCCCGATACAGGTCGCAACGCGTGGATTACGGTGTAGGAAACGCGTTACCCAGTTCTTCCCGAGGGGCGTTGAGTCTCCTTGGAGGCGTAGAACTCGAGATGCCATTTCGCGAAGCCGTGCGTGAGTAGGGGGGAATCCTTGAGCGTCATTTTCAAGTATCCAGTCGACTAAAAAGGATTCTTGGTCCGGTGTAAGGCGTTGGCGAGATTGTTGAGCTACTACGCGTGGTAGGCGGCCTTTTAGGCGGGTTTGAAGGGTGCGTCGGTTGACCTTGAATAGCGCCGCAGCTTCGTTTTGTGATTTGCATTGACCGGTCTGTAAGGCATCAATAGCCTGTTGGACCGGGTCTTCCGAGTTTGGTATCATGATATTGTACGGTGGTGGAGATATCGCGGTTAGAGAGATGGTGATAGAGGTGGTGATACTGGCTACTCGAGTGGTTGGCTACTTGACAGGGGGTTGAACTTATCTGGGTATGACATAGTGATATTTCCCGCCATCTCCAGAATCCACTCCTGCCATCTTCACTCCTACTATCTAATATTAAGTATGGTTACCAAGCATCGGCTTCTCAAAATTCAAGCGCAGTAGATACATGGACTCCTTTTATTTTGAGTCATTCAGATCATTCAGACAAGAGTCAACTTTGATTGCTACATAGGCGTTTCAAAGCCTACCCTCAACACAACTAGAGATCCACAAGCGGAACGATTTCGGCTCAGTCAAGAATATATTCGGTTCACTCCATACATCCATATCGATCTGCTGCTTCAACAGCATTTAACATTCGACGGACCTGGGCATCGTCCGCTAGTGAACCCACGGGGATTCTTACATCCCTCTCCAGTATTCCTGCAGAACCCATACCCAACTACCTTCGGGACAGAACATCCGACAACGAAGCAGCATTTGATATTGGCTGGGTCTATGTCATCTCGTCAGCATGGCCGCCTCGATGAGCCAGAGGACTGCCTGCCTCTGGGTCTTCACTGAACGAGGATAGATCGCCATACCATTTGGACAATCACCATTCGTGTAGTATCCTCGCAAGGGTGAATTGAGGCCGTTCGCACAGTGCTGCGTGGTGGTGCACACGCCAGTCAAACCAGTCGCCTGGATTCTAGTGAGAAGAGTGGACTCTCCAAGTAAATGGGCATTGGTAATGACATACAGCATTCCGGCATGAATTCTGCGCTAAAATAGTGGTTGCCAGAAGGCCGGCTAGGTAAGCAGTCAACTTCATCTTCAACAGGTGTCCTCAAATTATCGTACTGTGGTAGAAACAATGGGATAAACTTGCTTCGAGATTACCGGTATGCTGCCATTATTTATATCCCATACAAATCTGCTTAGATTAGGACGCACTCATAGAAATACTCTACTGACCTTGGTTTTCGATGTTTAATACAAATGTTATATAGTTTCTCGTATTTGTATATCCGTACTTGCTACCCTGGCTGTCGGCATACCGAACACTAAGCGGCCCAGACAACACAGAATGAAGTCGTTTTATCCTCACAAAGTAATTTACCGCCTGCTGAATGGTTTATGAATCTCCCACAACAATTTGGAATGCGGCTATACCCAGCGATGGAATTTCCTAGTGCGAGCCGCAATGCCATTCGTGGTGGTAGCATTCAATGGTTCAACCCCCTTGATGCAGGACTTCAGTGCACGACTCACAAGTTCCCATCTAGAAGAGTTGTAGATGAAGGGATGACGTTCGGACACCCCACACCCGGATAAATTAAGCTTCGATTCATGTATGCCTGGAGGTAAGCTGCACAGTTACCAACTTCTCCAACGTCGGCACCGCTGGAGACGTTAGAGTACTTAGCTATACTCTGATACAGTGATACTGATCGCATATCCGCTAGAAGTCTAGCGGTTCATACAAGAATACAAAATGGTGTGGGTGTAGATGTTATATTGAATGCACCTCACTGTAACCACTTCTTATTGGTCGTTAATCAAAATCTTACATTGGAGCAGGCTTGGATCGAGCCATTGAGGCCAAGTCGTTTAGAGATGGCAATGCCGAAAACCTGAGGACCTAGATTGTGATACGAGTTTCGGTAGTACAACTGGAAAGATAGGAAGACAAGACCAAACAACCCAAAGGACGTCACAGTGTAAGTCAAGATATGGTCGTAGGAGCGCTGCGCAAAGTTTGGGTAATTAGAGTAGGTGACTCCAATTAAGCTGGGAAGATCCAGGAGAGAGGAGGGGCATTATCCATATATCACATGACTATATCGGTCAAGGATCTCGACTTGCCTTAATTACTCCTAACTTTTAACTAACTACCTAACGTGCCTAAGTAACGCGTTTTCCATTACTCTCCTGAGACATCCACCTCTTTTTTTTTGAAGGGGTTTGCCGCCATTTCCTGGCGGCACATGGACCCAGGTATCCCTGGCACTGCACTTCGGAAATGACGCAGGGTTCCTGTTGACCAAAAGCCATCGGCAGCAGTCCACTCCCACTTGTGGCGCCAGGTCGGACGGTCTCCCTCCGTCGCAGTCTTGAGTTTGGATACTGGCAAAAATCTTATCGGCGATCAACGAATGAGATCCAGTATGATCTCCCCTGTTCCGCACCCCAATGGCCAAATACGGTAGTCTTTGGATTTTGCTCCATAAGGTCGGACGAAATGAGTCTGCCCGGGTGGTCACCTTCCGTTGTGGCATCATGCTGCACGAAAGCCCACGGGGCTTCAGAGCCCGAGTATGGCTCTGGTCCTACTGAGTAGCTCTTGGGTCGCGTCGCGATATCAGCTCTCCACCAAGAGGAAGATCCGCGACTGGATAAAAAGAGAAAGTGAAAGAAGCGTAAGCCATCCGCTGTGGAAGACATTACCACTTAATCCAAACTGTATAGGGTCAGTCACAATAATCTTACCATCCATTCATACCAACTCCGAATCTCCAAACATTCCTCATGACACCACAAGCAGACGACGGTCTCGATCTACCTGCATCGCCAGATGTTGATGTTCTGGTCATTGGAGGCGGCAACGCTGGATTCTGCAGTGCCATATCGGCAGCAGAGTCTGGAGCCAAGCGTGTCCTACTCATCGACGCGTGTCCTGAGAACTGGGCTGGAGGCAACTCATACTTTACCGCGGGAGCTTTCAGAACTGTCTACCATGGCTTGCAAGACCTACTTCCAATTGTAAACAATGTCGACGAGGCCACAGCGAAAAAGATTGACATGCAACCTTATACGACGGCCGACTTCAATGCCGACATTGATCGAATCTGCAACGGTCGCTCAGATCCAAAACTCGCCAATCTTCTTATCAACGAGTCCAACGACGCAGTCAAGTGGCTAGCCAAGAATGGTGTCCGATTCCAGCTCTCGTTCAACCGTCAAGCATACGAAGTCGACGGTAGATTCAAGTTCTGGGGCGGCATGTCGCTCAAGACACAGGACGGCGGGAAAGGCCTCATTCAAGATCATCTCAGGGCCGCCCGTGCACTCGGCATTAAGGTCCTCTTCTCCACCCCAGCCAAGCGTCTCGTCCTCGACCACAAAACCGGTGCTGTCAGGTTTGTCGTAGTACAGGCGTCGAATGGCCTGGAGCGGGAGATCAGCACCGGGTCCGTCATTTTAGCCGCTGGAGGTTTCGAAGCCAACCCGAGGATGAGGGCGCAGTACCTGGGTCCCAACTGGGACATTGCCAAAGTGCGTGGCACGCCGTACAATACCGGCGCAGTCCTGGAATTGGCCATGCGCGATGCCCACGCGAAGCAGGTCGGCAACTGGTCTGGCTGCCACTCTGTCGCATGGGATGCCAACGCTCCAGCTCATGCAGGAGATCGTCAAATCTCAAATGAATTCACCAAATCAGGATATCCACTTGGCTTGATGCTTAACACTCACGGCGAGCGCTTTGTCGATGAAGGCGTCGATCTCCGCAACTATACTTACGCCATTTTCGGAAAAGCTATTCTTGCACAACCCGATAATGCCGCCTTTCAGGTTTGGGACGCGCAAACCACCCCGTGGCTCCGTGATGAGGAGTACCGTGACGAGCGTGTGGAGAGGATTGTGGGCCAGACGATTGAGGAGTTGGCGCGCAAGTGCGCCGAAAAAGGCCTCAGGAACCCGGACAAGTTTCTCGAAACCATTCGGACCTATAATAATGCTGTCGAAGCCTTCAGGGCTGAAAATCCCGACCTCAAGTGGGATCCACCTATCAGAGACGGTCTGTCGACACAGTCCAGCAAGCAACGCCTTCCGCTTGCCAAGTCCAACTGGGCTTTGTCGCTCACTCAGGGTCCGTTTCTAGCGGTCAAGGTCACTTGCGGTGTCACGTTCACATTTGGCGGTCTTGCGGTCGACCCAGAAACGGCTGGCGTCATTTCAGCGGCAACCAACACTGTTGTCCCAGGCCTGTACTGCGCTGGAGAAATGCTGGGAGGTCTATTCTACGACAACTACCCAGGAGGCAGTGGTCTCACCTCTGGAGCTGTGTTTGGACGCCGGGCAGGAAAAGCAGCAGCAGAAAGGGCCAGCCAGAGTACTTTTCTTCCAGCAAGGTTGTAATATGTTGCTTACGAGATGTGGTTGTATCACGGAGGCAGTCAATAGAGTATCTGAAGCGGATTCAACAATAGAGCTAAACAATGAATCAACGTCTAGTCATGTGTTTGCAATATTAAGTCATATTATGGCTCCATTTATACCTGGTGTGAGCGGCAACTTCTGGCTAGATCAATCAAGTATCTATGGACAACGTGTAGCCGCGGTCCGAAATAAATCAGCACCACGTTATGAAGATTGCATTTGTCAAGTCTAACACTTCAAGGTCTCCTTTCACAATACTATAGTGCACGCTCCTTCCAGAATGACTGTAGGCCTAGGCGTTATCACTCATCCTGTATACATCCGCTTCGATAAAAGGCGCTAACCGTGGATGCATGATATTAACTAAGCCACAGGCACACACATATAACTAGTCATACTCATGATATCTTTACAACAAGCGGGATTCAACATATTTACAGTAATCCATGAATCAATTGGATTGACTTAAGCTGCCAATCTTCCTCCGTCAACTGGAAAGTTGACACCGGACACGAAGTTGGCCTCGTCGCTCGCAAGATAGACAGCCGCATGCGCAATGCTATCGGCATCGCCCATCCGTCTCAAGGGAACGGTCTGCGCGAACCTCTCGCGCTCCTCTGCCGTGTCGGGAACCCCTGAGAACTTCTCCAGCAATCCAGTGGGGCTTCGTAGCGGGCAAATGGAGTTGACGCGAACGCCGTGCGGACCCCATTCGGCGGCCAATCCTTGAGTGACCTAGTGGTTCATGGTTAGCGGAGTTGGAGGACTGGAAGAAATTGTTGCTTACTGTGTTGAGGAAGCCCTTAGTGCCTCCGTAGAAAACTTGTCCCGGTCGCACTTTCATGCCAGCGACAGAGGAGGTATTAAGGAAAACACCCTGCTTCCGCTCCGCAAAATACGGCATGACAGTGACGACGCTGTGATATATGCTCTTCGTGTTGACCATGACCAGCTTATCAAACTCCGCCTCCGTTACCTCGGTGCTAGGCTTCTTGTTGTACGTCGTGCCGGCGTTATTGACGACGATATCGAGCTTGCCGAACTTGTCTTGAGCAATCTTGAGGCCCTCCTTCCATGCCTCGCTCTTAGTGCAGTCGAACTGCACGAATATGGCCTCGCCTTGCTCACCGCTGCGGTCCGAGTTGATTCCATTTGTGACCCGCTCGCCGTTCTCGGTGGCAATGTCCGCAATGAGGACATGAGCGCCCTCCCTGGAGTAGAACTTGGCAATGGCTTCGCCAAAGCCAGAGCCTGCACCAGTAATGAGGGCAACCTTTCCTTGCAAGCGGCCCATTCTAGAGCTGATGACCAAGTTTCTGGAGTCTTCGATTGGATTTGAAACTATCAGTTTGATTCAAGTCATTGGGGAGGGTCGTGATTGGAATGCCATGTCTGCAGTATCTTTGGATGCTGCGCTGCATTTATGGAAGTCGTCGCGATGAGACAAGGACTGGACGGCTCCACTTGGATCCGACTACTACTCTAGTACGGAGCAAAGGGATAAAAGAGTCAAAGCAAACATGAGCATGAAAGTGGTGGTTGCTGATACTGGCTGCGGAGCGGACATTTTGTCTCCGAAAGATCCACATCGGGCCTGGGAGATAATAGTGCCCGCGGCTGATATGACCGGCCGGTCATGATCCTTTGAACTGTGGAGCAAGGCCCGGAAACATGCAGTGTGCCGATAAGCGCAATATAACGACCATCAGTGTGACATGTAAGCGTGGGCAGCTCATCGAGTACGTAAAACACGAGCACCAGGGAGCTGGGCAACTGGCCGAAGTCTGGCGCTCGGATTAACACACTGAGAAGGGTATAGATGCATGAACAGATCATTGCCCTAGCTAAAGTGTAAAGAAGTTTCAATTTCCTATATCCATAGCGCGTTCAACTATTGTCTGTTCAACTTCGCGTCATACCAACGCGCATCATAAGTCGGGATTCCTCTGTTGTCCATTGTTCATCCAAAGTCCTTCATTTGACCGAGTACAATCAATAATTTTTCAAGTTTGCTTCATACCAATCCGCATCATGGGCCAGGATAATCTCCACTCCCGTTTCCCGCGCAAACTCCTGAACCCGCTGCAAGTGTGCTTCGGCTGCCTCTAAGTCACTGTGAGCGGACTTGCAGCGGAGACCCGTGGCTTCGTCTGTGTATATTGCAGTCTGTGCCGTGCCATGCAGAATTCTGGCATTGTGAGTAGTATCGGCAGCCAAATAGAGCCACTTCTGATTATCCACTCTGACGAGAGCATTAAGGTGACCGATGCAGTGACCTGGCGCGTTAATGATGAAGAGCGACTTGTCGCCGAAGAAGTCGTGCGTTTGCGGAAATGGCCCTAACGGCTCCCAGAACCCGCTGGTGTCGGTTGAGGGCACCGGTAGGAAGGAAAGCTTGTTCCCTTGGGGTATCAGGTTCGAATCGTAATTAGATTCTGGGTCGGTTGGATAAGTTTTTGGGCCGAGAATCAATTCTTCTGCGCCTGGTCCAAGCAGAAAAGTGACGTTTGGCCCAAATTTCGATGGGTCTCCAACGTGATCGTAATGCAGATGTGAAATGATAACAGTATCAACATCGTTCTGCGGGTCGATGTGAAGTTTATTGAGGCTTTCAAAGACATCCTGAGGCACCTCCGTCTTGACGACAGTCTGCAGTCTTTCGTAGACTGTGGGTGGATAGTTTTCAATATCCCTCCTGATACCCAAATCGAAAACCACTTTCCGTTTTGTGACCTGGTGCTCAATCAACCAGGACATCGAAGGGACCCGGCGGATGTCATCTGGAGCGGACCCCTGAACGAATAGGTCCATTGGGAGATAAAGAAAACCTGCTTCGAGACGATGTAAATTCACGGCGGTTCCTGGCACGGCCAGGACGCTAGAAAGAGGTGCAACCATGATTGCGATGATCAATTGGATGTATCGAAACATAGAGAGGAGTTTGTCTGTTGTAATAAAAAGCTTTTTTATGCTTCTTTCTGGAACTACAATATGTATGTAGATGGCATGATTTATAGTTCTCTCGGCCTTGATTCCATATGAACCATGACGTAGATGACGATCAAAATTCGGCAAAGACTATCCTTCACTCCGAGTACTGAAGTACGAGCAATGGGTTATGACGTCTCCGATGGTTGGGAGAGTTGGTCGGGCTTGGATCAAGTCGGACATATCTGATGTTGTTCGTGATGATCCAGGGATGACTAGAACTGGTCGGAACAGTTTCCCTAGGCTATCCACTTGCGGAGGATCATCCTCCGCCCCCGGCTCCACGCTGGCCCGCTGGCCGCTAGCCTCGCCTCGCACTCTTGCTCAATACGACTGCATCGCAGTGGCTCCGTTCAGGCGTGCCGGCTATTTTTGCTGGTCGCCCTTTTTAATCACTCTGCAGTGCTGCTGTTACTGTAGAGTCATTAGTTAGCCCGACCCGGTAAGATTCGAGTTTGCTGAAAAATCTCATCGTGTTTCATTACTATCAATCTACCCATCACCAAGTCTAATATCTTCAAACATGGCAGCAGTTTCAGGCATCGAAATCCTTTCCAAGCCTGTCCCTTACCAGGTAAACACCATCACTACTCGTTGTAAGAGAACTACCTTATCTGACAGCATTGTAGTTCAAAGATCCCTCACTGTTGGACGCACGAGCCTACGTTGGAGGCCAATGGGTATCCGCCAAGAATAGCAGCACTTGTTCCGTATTCGGTAATTAGGTTCACCCCTTGCACTCGTATGCTGACTAAAGTATTCGGTACATAGACCCCGTGGACAATCAACCCGTCTTCCAGGTCGCGAACCTTTCTCGTGAAGAAGTTCGAGGTGCAATTGACGCTGCACAATCCGCCTTCCAGACATATAAGAAGTTCACTGCTCGCAAACGCAAAGAGCTCCTTAGAAAATGGACTGACATCATCCGTGCTAACCGCGATGATCTGGCAGCCATTTGTACCCTGGAGCTAGGCAAACCCATCGCGGAATCGCTCGTCACCGTCGACTATGGAATCAGCTTTCTTGAATGGTTCCAGGGCGAAGTCGAGCGCCTTTATGGTGAGACCATCCCTGCGGCGAAGGGTGACAACCGCATCTTTACCACTCGCGAGCCGCAAGGCGTTGTAGCAGCCATTACACCTTGGAACTCACCTGTTGCTATGATTCTACGCAAGGTGGGCGCGGCGATTGCCGCGGGTTGTACCGTTGTGCTGAAGCCAGCACCGGAGACGCCAATGTGCGCGATTGCCATTGCAAAGCTCTTTGAGCGAGTGGGCGACGGATATCCGCCTGGTACTCTGAACGTGGTGACTGGCGATATCTCTGGAGCGGCATCAATCGGAGCAGAGATGTGCGAGAGCATCTTTGTTCGCCATCTGAGCTTCACCGGTTCCACAGCGGTAGGCAAATTCTTGAATGCCGAATGTGCCAAGACATTGAAGAAGACGAGCATGGAACTTGGTGGCAACGCGCCCTTTATCGTCTTTGAGGATGCGGATATTCAAAAGGCAGTCGACGGTAAATGTCGTCCATACCTTCTTCACGCCATATGGTAACCATTTAGGTTTGATCGCATCCAAGTTTCGATCGTCCGGCCAGACATGTGTATGCGCGAACCGCATTTTCGTCCATCGTTCCATTATTGAAAACTTCGCCCAAAAGCTGAAAGCCTCGCTAGAAACGACGTTTATCTACGGCTCGGTTTGGGACTCCAAAGTCAACTTCGGCCCTCTGTACTCGCCCAAGGGCGTCACCAAAGTCCAGCAGCACGTCGAGGATGCCGTTTCCAACGGGGCAAAGTTGTTCAACGGGGGCTTCATTAAAGAAGACCTCGGGCCGAATTTTTACGTCCCAACGATCCTGCTCGACGCGAAACCGGACACGATGAAGTTCGGTAGTGAGGAGACGTTTGGACCGGTGGCTCCACTGGTGCCGTTTGACACCGAGGAGGAGGTTCTCAAGTTGGCCAACACGTACCAGAGCGGGCTTGCTGCATACTTTTACACGGAAAACATTTCCAGGCTATGGAGAGTCGCCGAGGCTTTGGATACTGGTATGGTGGGTGTTCGCGTTGGGCTCATCAGCGCCTGCGAGCAGCCCTTTGGTGGTATCAAGGAGAGCGGTATTGGCAGGGAGGGATCCAAGTTTGGTGTGGAGGATTATACGAATGTCAAGAGTATCACTGTCGGGCTTTGATTAACTTTACTATCACTGAGAAGTATATTTAATAGAGTACAGCGCCGTTCTGCGATAATACATGGTTCCACCCCTATTCCCAATCTTTCCAATTTGTCATCCAAGCATGCTTGAATGTTGGAAATACGTGACCGCCTAGATCTCACCAATTACTCATTCTGCATAATGTTGGATAAAAATATGCTTACAGCTAACGGCTGGTTCTTTGTTCATGCGGCCTGACTAGTCTTCCTGTTCTATATGGTAAAACTTCTGGAGGTGACTTCAACTACTTGGCTTTCACCTTGAGTTCCTTCGGTGCATCACAAGGCAAACGTTATATACGGTGCTTTAGAACCATGGACGAACCTGCATTTATTGCATCACTGGGGACTCAAATGGGTCCAAACATGAAGTCGTGCCACCCATGGGTTGAGGGGCCGAATCGCCTAGCTGATATGATTGCCAGCCCATGAACCCAAACAGCACATCATCTTCAAACGACTCATGCCAGTTACTCCAATCAAACTCCGCTTCTCCTATGGATAAGCTCGTCGACTGCACGCCAGAATCAAACCGAACCGCCGATGCGTACTCGCAATGCAATCCGGCAATATGCTCACTCGCAGCATTTGGTGCAGCTTCTGGGCCACTGGTAGGATCAGCAGCTATTTCTACACCCTTGGTGACCATGAGCTTTTCGATGATGGAAGTAAGATGCGATACCCCGGGATTAGGAACGGAAAGGTCCCGTAGGCAGCGCAGACTCCATGCCAGCAAGACGGAGTGATCGCCGGTCGGGTTCGGCGCGGCCGCAGTGTTGCGTACGTGGATCGTGCTGGCCACGTAAAGACCGTAGGCGATGAGGTATGGGGCGGCGCGCAGCGTATACCGAGATTGGTACGCGATGGCAAGACTGGTGATGTTTCGCGCGGCGACAGAGCACCGCTTCCAAGATGTCGCAGGTACAGTGGTTGCCCAGTTCAGGTGCCCTTCAGCGACCAGCGGCCGGTGCAGGAGAATTATAACAGCGTGGTAGAGTATGTGTAGAGCCAGCATGTTGGGCGCCGGTATGCGACCACCTTCGAGAGTGGCGGATATAGGATCGAGCCGGATAAATCCGGGGAGGTCGGCCTCCCACTTCTCGAGAGCGTTATCAATTCCCTTGAGACTCGCCTGAGCCTCAGCTGGAGTTGCTCCCACGACATAGAAGATGTCGATAATCCGGTCGACGATTTTGAAGAGAAGGCAGATTTGCTGAAAGTAGGATACTGAATAGATGAGGCCCTGCGGAGCGGAACCCAACCGCAGGCGGTCTTCAGGAATTGAAGGGTCAATATATGGGGCCCAGAGCTCGTTCTCCTCTAGATGGTCGTTAAGCTCATGGGAAACATATGCATCGCGGAGCCGAATGCCCACCGGCCGTCCCAGATAGAGGCTCTGCAGTTTGTCACAGATGAAGGCGCCCCAAAAGACTCGTCGATACATTTCAACTTCTTCCGCATTTTCGTCTGTGATCTTGTGGTCCAGATGCAGGCCAAGGTCGAATATCATGCGTAGTGCTGATCCCGTAAGCATCCAGCCCTTGGATGTTGACCCCTTGGCGATATAGGAGGAGCCCAAAAGAAGCAGGCCGGCTATGGTTGGGATGCTTGGGGTTAGCAGGAGCTGCTTCTCCTCCATCAGCTCGTCGCATCGGCGGAAGAAGCGGCCTCCGGCAGTGCTGGGATTTTGAGGATCGTCCATGACAGCCGCTCGCTGTGAAAACTTGCTTGCGCAGGCAAAGATGGCATTGATGAGCAACTTGGACGCGAAACGGCCACCGCGTAGTATATCCCGCATGATCGCCGGTCTGTACGTCAAGAGAAACGTATGGTGCTGCCGGTTCCAGTGGAGATCTAGTAAGTGGATTGCAAGGTCGATCGGCACGCCGTCTAGCGAAACCAGCTCTCTCAGTTTGTGCTCGTTCTGTCGTGATATGACGGCATTTGCTAGGAGTGCGTTTTGCATATGGACCGAGACTACCCGATCCTCCTGGCGGGCGGTGTTCGGTCGGGATTGGAGCGCCGATGAAGGCCCAAAAGCGTTGACCTTTCCTTTTTCGTCTGTCCATAGGTATGGGGACACGTCCGGCGTTGACTCCACGGTCGCTGGTCCACCTTCGTTGGTCCTTGCTTCGCCGGGCATGCTCGCATCATTGCTGCGATCTGTTGAGTCGAACAGTTCATGAGATATTCCTCCAGAGTCGGCTTGATTCTGAGATGCAGATGGTTGCACTTCCCCAATGACACTGCTGGCTACCTCGAGCTCACCTGATGCGGGATGAGACACTTGTTGCTGTCGCTGTTGCTGCTGGATTAGTGATTGGCTGTCATCCGCCTGTAAAGCATCGGCGACGTTGCTACCCGCATCAGGGGATCTCATCCCTCCCATTCTCTGGATCATGGCACACAATCTTGCATTCTCCGTCCGTAGCTCCTCTAGCATCGCCAGCGTGGGTCTACGGCACAAGTCAGGAAGAAACCAAGAGAGTTGGATAAATGAGTGAAGATCCAACCTTGCTTTTCGCGGTTGAAACACATAGACGCATTTGCGATTCTGGCGGAAACATGATCCACATGATGGCCTCTGCGTATCACATCGCACCTTGCGGGTGCGACAGTATTCGCAACTCCGAGTGGTGCTTTGATGCGAGGCAGTGTCGCCTTTGCCTGACATGACAACGTCGTCTTATGTCTGCCAAATGGAATAGAACTCTGACTTAAGGAGATACAGAATGAAAAAGTTTGGGCTGCGGTCTTCGACCTAGGTACTGGGATAACATAGTCCGCCACCGACATACTGTACGGTATACAAAAGAGACTGCTAAAATTCTGTGAGCCTTAGCAACCTTGTTACCAGGAGTCTTGACGACTCCCGCTAAGAGGGCGCTTCATCGGTACATGTACGGATAGCCGATGCGCGGGGTTGTTGATATCGTAGATCTTGGCGTTGGTCCGCGACTGCACGTGTCGCATTTCGCCGGGGTGATGATTAAGCACGATCGCTGCTGAAGGCCTGAAGCTCAGTTACTGTAGTCATAACGCAAATTGGTATTAACGATTCCCATTGCCTAGAAAAGGTGGTCTAGCCAGTAAGCCAGATGAAGATAACTTAAATACATAACTAGGAGAAGACTGAGGAGTCCTAATTAGGCCTAGCCCAGGGGTAGAGGGCAGTAGAAACCAACAGGGGCATCTTGCGACAGAGGGAGCCACCAAAAACAGCGGTCAACTTGCTGTCGTCTCTTTTACTATTATTAACTAGAATACCTAACAAAATGAGTGAGCAATGACACAGACAAAAATGAATCCCACCCCGTTCTTCCCATGCAGAATTACGCTGCTTGATCTATGTCCCTTATTTAGGACCACAGTGTCCTATCTCCTTGATGCCATAGAAGTGTTTCTCAAATTAGCAGCCATATGAGCATTCTTTTCCCATATAAATTGGTTATCCTCCGGCCCATAGTCCTCGATAAAATATACAAAAGGCCCGGGAAAGGCTGATGTCGCAAAAACTGCGTATCCGGTGGCAGCGGAGAGGGGGAATAATATGATTTTGCCCGGAGAATGTCGTCCTTGAACGAATTTATATATGGGTGTAATGTGTGAGATAAATAGCGGTTTCGCTCAATCAGGTGATTAATGCAGCGACACGGTGGGAAAACTCCGTTAGATTCCAAAAGAGCGTAGATAGATTCAACTTGATCCTGAAAAGCCGGATCCTACGAAAACAGGCTGTTCCTGCAGCTATTTTATATGGTTTACAATGGTGATCTTTTCCCTAAAAAGGGAAAGAATAGGGGTATAGAATCGAATGCGGAATGAAGCCGTGGGGAAACGCCAAGAAACACAGATATTCTGTGACATAGTGTGAGGATGAGATTTTCCATCGCGATAGCGCTCCCCTCGTTATCTCCAACAACCAGAACAGGATCAGGCTTGCGGTAATATATCCCACAATGGCAATCTTTCTGAACAGTTCCATCGTCATTCTCAATATCTTCGCATTCACATTCTCTGAAAGTGTAAGAACTTAATTCGCCAAGGCAGTCGATGCCAACTTTGATGGAGCTAATATCTGAAACACGAGGGTTTGCGACCGGATGTAGGCTGCTATCGGGGAGCTGGAAGGGCTTAGTTGGGGCAAAAGGATCCGTAGCGTCGTCAACAACTAGAATGTCGCTCAGTTCACCAAAAACGGGCCATCGGATCCGGAGCGAGTCAATCGATGGATAAACGTGTCCAAGGAAGTGGGATTTGAAGTCCTCGTACGGCCGAGAAGGTTCATTAGAGGATGCCAGCGGCATTTCCTCGACGATCTCCGTACCATCTTCATCTGTTGTGATCCGGAGGGGGGGAGGGTGACTCTGGGCACCATAGTTGGGAACAGATGCTGGCCCACGTGGAAACTTGCGGCCTCTGAGAATGGCCATGATCGTCAAGTAGAGAGCGGACTCTGTTTCAGTCTTGAGGTGATGCTTTCTTGAGCGATGATTTTGACAAGGTGGTTCCAACGAGTTCAGGAGGAAGTACCTGGCAAGGCCGGCCACGATCCAAGGTATAGTCATAGTGTAGTCCAGCACACTTCGTGGACCTGGTACAGAATTTACGCGACAATGAGTGCGAGGTGGAAGATGGAGGCGTTGACATAGAAAGTGGTAATATTGAGCATTGATCAACTGCCTGTCGTTGAAATGAAGACGATGGCACTGCGGGTCGTTGTACTGAGCAGAGCAGACAGGATATATTATGTGAGGGTTTAAAGCCTTGGCGTGCCTCGGCCACCTACCAATTCTGTCGGGTTTCCTCTAACTACCATATTGGTCAGTTCATATGTACGTAGTTACATAGAATCTGACTTGTAATGTTGTACACAGGACAGAAATGAGAAAAGTGGACGGAATTCTCTAAAATTGAAAAGATATTTTAATAGAGAGCTTAGACTCCGGACTCTAGTAAATACAGTTGTAAATGACTCGGTAAATAAACAAAAACCCATCGAAATTGGAACGCCGGGACGATGCTCGCTAATAGGGACATGATGCTCCAAAAATCAAGATCTTCTCACACGGTGGCATTACTTCCTCTTGGGAATCTTGCAGTGCTCCAAACATTGCTCAATGCCACGGGCAACATTGGCAGGAATCTTGCTGCGGAATTCTTCAATACGGTCTCCATCGAATTGTTCCGGGAAACCGAGAACAGCCTCGATTGTCTCGCCATCCAAACCGAAAAAGTTCTGTGCAACCTGAGATACACCGGGATCGTCATTGTTGAGGGCAGAAATGAAAGTAGCATCATCACAGGTTGGATTGACTTCAAAGTGGATGCTACCCATAGGAAACAAAGTGGCTTGAAGTGGACCAAGTTTGCCAGCGATTTCCGATTTTTCACCGGGATCGACAAGTCCGTTCTCAAGGATATAACCGAAGTCTACCTCACTACCACTGGCGACGGTAAGAAGTTCGGTAGCTCGTGGATGGACATGAGGAGTGTTGATGCCACAAGGACCGAGGAAGCCAACAGTAACAGCAAGTCCCGATTCGGCGAGAATGGGCCAGTTCTTGGTATTGGCGAGGTTGACGGCACCTCCCTTCCCTTCTGGTGCAGGTAGAGGAGTGTTAAAATCGAAAGAAACGACGCTACGTAGTTCGTCCTCAGGAAGAAGTTTGCCGTCCCGAGTGACAAGTTGCTTGAAGCGATCGACAAGAGTTGGTTGTGTTAGGAGCTTGGTGAAGTCGACTGAAGGCGCTGGAGGGATAGGGGAGATTCCGGAGGCAGAACGGGGTTGTCGAAGACCGATTGGTTGCGGAGCGGCAGTCGCACTAGCTGCAAGTGCAGCGATGAGGAGTTTAATGATGGTAAAAGACATATTATTGACTGATTATAGAGTTGTAAGAGTAGATGAGTGAGAGAAGACTGGTGAATGTCTTGTATCTGGTAGATCTACTTAGTGATAATGAATTCAAACCATCTAGACGTAGAGAGAGCACTCTTATATAGCTCACTGTCTTGTCTGAGATGTCATCCAATCTCACTATACCAGGCGGATCGTCAGGCACAAGGCCGTCTCCGCGCTTGTGCTATGTTCGACACTGAATTCTAAGATAGAAATAAGCAGGCGGTAGTATGACAGCGCCACTCTATAAGAGTCCACATGGGGCCAAAGTATGCTTATTTTCCGAGCTTAAACTTTAATCTTTAATTAAAGTCTAGAACGTACAAAGGCAGTGCAAGTACAGCCATAACCTGTATCTCGGCTGTTGAATGATCCGAGAAATTGGGGCCGTGTTCGATCTGCTCAAGGTTTAATTCTATTCCTGGGTTGGTAACAATTCAGGCATATCCATCTCTTGATCCAAAATAGGAAGATGATTCGATACTAAAAAGTCAAGAGAAGTTGGTGTTTCCGTCGAAGAAGCCGAGAAGTTGAAAATGGGATGTTTGAAGAATTGGACCAATCAACACCAACCAACATCCAACAAACCACAGCCTCTCCCCCCCCACTGTTCCTGGCAGCAGCCCCGAAATCCCAAAATAGATCTTCATCCCCCATATTAAGTCAGCAGACCCCCTTGTCGGCCACCCCCCTTGTCAGCCACCCTAAATCGGGTTGTACGTAGATCTGTAGATAGTTTTGAATCAATGAAACAATCAATGCAAGGACTATTGTTCTTGCCAAAATGCCTGAATATACAGAAGAGGCTCTGCAAAGTGCTCTAGATGATTTTCCGACCCGGAAAATCCCCTCTTTGCGCAAGGTTTCGGAGCTATATCAAATCCCAAGGTCTACACTTCAGAGTAGACTCGCAGGCCGTCCAACTCGCAAAGAGAGCGCCCAGATTACACAGAATCTATCCCCTGTTCAAGAGAGATACCTTGCGGAATGGATTATCGAAGAAGACCGCGCCAATCGGGCCCCTTCTCACGCAAGAGTGGTCCAAATGGCAGAATGCATTGCCCGGGAAAATGGGGATACGACCCCTTGCGGTCAACATTGGACTCAAGGCTTCCTTCGTCGTAACCCGCAGGTAAACTCTATGGTCAGAACGGCTCTCGAAGCGCCTCGAGCAAATGGCGCAACAAAAGAGGTCATCTCGGAATTCCTGGACCTATACAAGAAGATCTGCGACCAGTACAAGACCAAGCCCGCGAATAGGTGCAATTTCGATGAACACGGGATAATGCTTGGTATAGGAACGAATGGGAGAGTTATAGGGGCCTCAACGAACGGAAAACGCAAACGTACCTACGTTAAATTCCCTGGTGATCGCGAATGGGTTTCCATTATCGAGGCAGTTTCCGCGGAAGGTCGAAAAGTCTCTCCCCTTATCATCTTCAAATGCCAAAACCTCCAGACTACGTGGTTCCCTTCTTCAATCAAGGACCTGACCGATTGCACTTCACGACATCAGAGAATGCGTGGACTTCTAACGAGATTGGCCTTAAATGGCTGGAGAAGAAGTTCCTCCCTGAGGCCTGAAACCATTCCTGACAGTAACGGACACGATGAGTGGCGTTTACTAGCATGCGATGGCCACGGATCTCATGCTACCATTGAGATCATGAAGACCTGTAAAGGTAACCGCGTCTTCCTCCTTCTCCTCCCTTCTCATTGCTCACATATACTCCAGCCTCTTGACGTCGCATGTTTCTCCCCTCTGAAGACCAAGTATCGACAAGCACTGTCCCTCCTAAGTTCCCTTGACGATAATACCCCTATTAAGAAGCATAATTTTATTGATATATAGTAAAGCAAGAGTAGAAGGCTTGACTGCACAGAATATTCGTGCAGGATTTCGTGCCACCGGAATGTACCCCTTCAATAAATATAAAGTATTACATAGCTCCCAGTTAAACACCAACCATTCTTCTACCACCATTGCACGTCCCACTACACCTGAACCAATTGATATACCTATTTTCCATACTACCAAAGGCCCGAAAGACGTTCCGGACCAAAAATTCGAAGAACTGACGGAAAGGGGGTTCCGGGGGTGGAAAGGGAAGATTGCAAAGGGACTTGGGGAAAAGAACGCCGAAATCGCCGCCCTTAGAGCTGAGGTTCAACGCCTCAACAAAACCATTGAAGATATGGGTGGGGCACACACGAAAAGGCGAAAGAGAATACCTGTAGATCAGAACGAAAGATTTGCTAATATTGAGCAAATCGTTGCGAAGATGGATGAGACAGCCAAAGAGACTGAGCGGGCAAGACTGCCGAACAAGGCGCCTCTAAACCCGATCTTCAATGCTCAAGAAGAGGCTGTCAGGCTGAAATTTTTTCGAAGGCTACTTACGAGTCATTTCTTTATGAATTTCAAATTTAATTAGGCAAAAATGTATGTAGAGAGTTCATATTGATAAATCTGTCTACCTGTACGTTGTCAATTGAATTCTTGATGAGGTGGCCGACAAGGGGGGCGGCCGACTTATTACACATTGGTTAGGCACATGGATACTAGAATGGCTGGTGAGGTTTTCCCACCCGTTTTTGGGATTTGGCTGGTGAGATTTGTCTCCAACATTTTGAGGTCTGTGAGAGAAGGAATAGATTGAACTGTTGAACATTGATAATTGAAGTTGTCCCTAGGCGAAGCCGAAGGAAATTGCGCGCTAGGCCCAGTTAAGCAATTAATTTCCACCGTTACTAGCAGGAAGGAGAAATCTCACCAGCCAGATTTATTTTACCCAGGTATATACCTAGCTGGAGTGGCCCTAACTCGGCGATTTCTTGATTCTTCGCAACACTGGCTAGGCAGGGCCAAAATTTTGCAATTCTATTTTATCTGGTGTTGCGCCTCTAAGTGGAGTCGCGACTCAATGATCTGCACTGACTTCTCATACACTGTGAACACAATACCACCGCTAAACAGCAATCTCCCGAGCCGCATTGTGCTACCTTGCCAAAGACCACGCATGCCATATTCTAGGATGATACTTCTCGTTGCGCTTCTCATACTCATAGATGTCAGCGCCTGGGACCGAGTCTTGATCGAGTCAAACGGCTGAGTCGCATACACCGTAATAGTGCCAGCAAGTGCGCCAGTCATGAATATCGTCACCGAACCATCGTTAAGCTTAAACTTCCTACCCAGCTCCTTCAGTATATTGTAGCTCCCCATCCGTACGCCCGATGTCATTGCCTGCTTCAGCATGGTTGGCATCAGGCCTTTGTACAAGTCTGCGATGCCCCGCGTCCGAACAATGACCTGCATGGCGTGCAAGCCGCCACCCAGCTGCTTTTTGCCGGATTTTGCATCGTCGATAAGTGCGGTCTTGATGCGCTCGATGGGAGTGACCACCAGGACGCTTTCGGCAATGCCGGCGCCCATGCCCGCCACGACCCCTTGGAGCAAGTTGGAACATTTCAGGTACGATGATGCTAACTGCTCTTTAAGGCCATCGTAGACGAAGAAGCGCACGCCGCACTTGGCCATGGTGCCCGTCACGAGAGCATTACATCCCGTGTATAAGGCGCTGACGCCCTGCGTTCGCACGATGCGATGGGCGACCACGAAGGGATTCTTGGATACATTGCCGCCACGTAGCTGGACGCTTGTCTTTGTGAATTCGAAGGGATACTAGGTAGCGGTCAGCACTTCTTAAAGTTGTAGTTGCTTGCTCGAGGGCGTACTGTGACGAAGCATTCTACACCTCCTGCAATAGCACCTGACGCAAAGGCTACAGCGGGTGAAGAAGTCTTAGCCTTTTTCTGCTGTTTTGTCTAGCTCATAGTGTCAATATCTAACCGTATGCCTCGTTGGTAAATCCGCGGTACCTCTTCAGCTTGTAGCTGGATAGTATTACAATGCTCGGCAGCAGCGCCGTGCACTAACTGATCCATAGTAGTCGGCCTCGAATTATAACGGCCCAGTTGAATATACTTAGGTCACTTTCAAAGATGATATCGACGAGTGATTCGATTTAATATACTCCATTTACCTTTGATGAAATGTGATTGGAGTCAAGCGCTCCGCTCAGCAGGTTGTGTCAGTTTGAGACATTCATAGTATCAATATTATTCTCATTTTCTTTGCAAAGAAATGCTCCGTCGACCTATGATTCAAATTTAAAGTTTGAGGCCGTTCTACTAGTCTAGGTTTAGCGCCCACACCTATGCATGACACGGCTAGTGTCATTCGGCGTGTTATGCTCCGGAACCCACTTTTTCCACTTCGTATAGGTAAGACTGATTTCGGCATCTAACGCCCCGCCATCTATTGCTGCACTCGGAACAATAGGGGCTATCGGCGACTCATCCTCCGAACGGTCATACGCCATGGGAGTAGTCCTCCCGTTCAAATCCCAAACCATGGCTCAGCGCCGACATGATAGTCATTGTTTTTTAGAGTGGTAGTTGGTAGTGTACTGGAGTTTGAAGAGGACGGGACGATCTCTCCCGATTTATCTACAATGATAATTCCCTAAGCTCAAATTTTCCAACTATCGGGGCATTGTTGCAATCCGATTTTATGCCCTGCCATGCCGATATCAAGTATCTCCGATAGTCTACATTTAGATCTGCATGAAGAGTTTGACGAAGCATATTTTGTGCTGGTCATTTCATTAGCTTAGTGAAGATAGTAGCTCGTATCTCCCATACCGAGGCTGAGCCTAAGGTCCACTAGCGACGAAGATGTGGGTTTTGGTTGTAAACAAGTCTGGGAAAATGTACATTTAGACCTTGAAGTGGATCCTATGCCTCGGAGTGTGTAGCCAACAACGATATGACAGTTACTTCGCCGTAGAAAGCTGTCTTTAAAAATATTCTCTACTTCGTAATTTTCGGACCTCGATTTCCCGATTTTGGGCCACCCCGGATTGTGGAATTTCATGCGGGGGTGGCTGAACACGGGGTAATGCCTCCCTTAGCATAGTGTGGAGAGTTGAGTGCAGGTATATAGTCAAATCTTGTACTCTTTTAGAAATGGGTCATTCACTGGACTGAAAAATCTCTTGCGCTTCCTTCATTTCGCCCATCATGACCGAAATTTCCGTTGAGAAAGGCTTTGAGGATCGCCAGGAAAACGTCGCCATCTCTTCGGACCACGAAGAGTATACGGAACTCCTTACTAGATTTGATGCCAAACGCCAGAAAGAACTGCTGCGAAAAATCGATTGGCGCCTCTTGCCTTTGCTTACAGTCTTTTACCTCTTATCATTCATGGACAGGTCCAACATGGGCAATGCAAGGCTCCAGGGGCTTGAAAGAGACCTCCAGATGACTCCCACTCAATACAATCTGTAACTCGGAACCTTGCGTCTGATAGCCGTGACAATGCTAATGAGCGCAGCTGCTTGACCATCTTCTTCATCCCCTATGGTCTCTTTGAGGTTCCAAGCAACCTGGCTCTCAAGTTTACGAAACCTTCTTTCTGGCTGCCTTTTCTCATGGCATCGTGGGGTCTTGTGTAAGCCAAGCGGTTTCTTCTCCGTTCCAAGCGAGTCTAACCCGGTACTAGGATGATGTGCATGGGATGGGTGCACAACTACGCTGGCCTCCTCTCTGCACGGTTCTTCTTGGGCGTTGCCGAAGCTGGGCTCTTTCCTGGCGCGACGTATCTTTGCTCTACATGGTACCTTCGCAAGGAGCTCCAGTTCCGCATCGCCCTGTTCTACACTGCTGCCAGTCTTGCGGGATCCTTTTCGGGTCTTCTCGCGTACGGAATTGGTTTCATGGAGGGTATGGTGACCTTGTCGTCAACCAGAAATGGCAAATCCTGACAGGCTACAGGAATCCGTGGATACGGTGGCTGGCGATGGCTTTTCATCCTCGAAGGCCTCTTGACCATTGTCGTCGCTTTGGTCTCCATTCCATTCATCTGCGATGCCCCTGACGCCGTCGGATGGCTTACGGACGAGGAGAAGAGGTTCGTGCAGTTGCGGCTCCAGTTTGACGGCCATGAACGTGGCTACACTGAGACGCGATACAAACCGAAGTATCTGAAACAAGCTTTCCTGGACCTTAAGGTCTACCTTGGCTGTGTAAGTCTCGTCTGACATGTCGACAGAACATCGATCTCTGACAATGCTTTGCTCAGATACTGTTCACTACTTGTTGCACGGGGACATACTCGCTCTCATATAGTCTTCCAACAACCATTAAGCTCCTTGGATACTCGGCCGCAAATGCACAGCTCCTGACGGTTCCTATCTACGCCTTCGCGTGCGTTGTTTGCGTTGTCAACGCCGTCGTCGCCGACAAGCTCCAAAGACGCTTCCAGTCAATCATTATACCGTTCCTTCTTGGCCTGTGTGGATTCATCATATGTCTAACGGTTTCGCCAACCGAAAAGCCGGGTGTTATCTACTTTGCTATGTTCCTGGTGGCCAGTGGGTTGTTTCCTACAGTGCCAGGCATCGTCTGCTGGATTTCGAACAATCTCGCTGGTCAATGGAAACGATCTATTGGTATGGCGCTGGAGTTTACCTTGGGTAATCTCATTGGTGGTGTGGTTGGCTCGAACATCTTCCTCAGCGGAGAGTCTCCCGAATTCCGCTCTGCATATCTTGTTCTCGCGAGCATTTTCTCCGTTGGTATCTTGACAACAATCACCAACCTGTTCGTTCTCGTCTCGGCTAATAGGAAGGATGCTAAGTCCCTCAAATCACTGTCTCCAGCAGAGTTGGAGAGGTTCCACGAGGAGACAAAGGACGATGGGGACAAGAGCCCCTTTTTCAAATATACACTGTGAGGTAGAGCAACATGGTTACTTTCCGGTCCCTGCTTGCGACATAGAAATATATTGGTACTGCAACAATCCAGCACCTGAAATGGAATGACGCCTTTCGTGAATCAGGGCTCTATATGTTGCTGGTACCATGCTAATCCTATATGATCAATAGGAATCTAAAATACCTCGAAGATGCTATAGTTGTGACCCTCTCAAGTGGTATAGGAGATTGTACTTGCGTCGAAACCACAATTGTTGGCTTCGACAAGTCGAAGTGGCGAGTTTTCATTAAGTCCAGATTCGATTAGTCTGGTTGGTAAAGTCCTGTGGATCTGATGATCGCGAAATTCAGTATGATCCCGGCTGCACGAAGGGTACCAGTTGTGGATGACCGATCAGGTGGAAATCGTGGCAGACATGGACGTTTGCGCCAGAATCGAAGATGAATCGATTAGGGGCATAAGACCGGCGTTCGGTTGACGCGATAATGATGGTGCTCGCCTCCATTGGAATCTGCAGTGCCGGAGGAACGACGAGCTAGGCACTTGGATTAGGAGGAAGCCATGCCGGTGCCGTGACCTTGTCGTGTTGGAGTTGCTTATAGATTTTCTCAAGCGGTCTTGGAGGGAGCCTCTTAAATCGTTCGATAATAGCAGGGTCTTCGCAATGATCCTTGGATCGCCTAGACGAATTGACGTGAGGGCATTCCCCAAACCAATGCTTCACTCCACAGATGCAGTCTTTGAATGGACCCTTCGCATTACGTTGTTCTCTTTGCGGTTGCCGTTCGGCAGCTCCGAGGGTTGTTTTAGCGAACTTCTGTACAGAGTCTTGGCTATTGATAAAGCTTCCAAAGTTGAGAAACCAATCGACAAGTGTAGGAAGGTCGGCAAGAGTAGGGCTGAGCAGATTTCCAGCGATGCGGTCAAAGACAAGTAGCCGAAATCCCCTCTCAATAGAATTAGCTGCGGCTATAAAAGCGCGGCAAATATAACGGTCAGTGAGATGATCAACAAGATCACGGACAGACTTAATCTTCTCTTGTAACCTAAGCCAATCATGGGCATAGTCTAGATTAGACTGATTCCGGTCCTTCTTGCCCTTCTTCAAACGGTTGAGCTCTTCTTCAAGGTGAGACGCCAATTGGATCGACTGTGGAGCCGCGTAACGGTGGAGTGACTCCAACATATCCATGGCAAGGTATTTGCCCTTCTTCGAACGGTTGAACTCTTCTTCCAGGTGAGGCGCTGATTGGTCGGACTGTGGAGCCGCGTAACGATGGAGCGACTCCAACATGTCCTTGGCAAGGTATTTGTCCTTGATATATCGGGTCATATCACCACTGACGGAAGCGGTGATAGCGTTCGTGAGGTTCCTGAGTTCAGCCTCACGGAGATCGTACTCCCTTTTCTCGTAGTCGAAGGATTTCCAGAGCCATTTTAAGTTGGGAATCGTCTCGTTTGCGGCTGGGCAACGAGGAGGAGTAGGAGACTCATGGATAGGTTGCGTTACCGCTTCCTTTCCTTCAGAGGCAGGGATTTCGACGAAGGTTGGGTTAACGTAGTCCCAAACTTTGATGCGTTGGGCGTAGTTCTTGATCTCTTCATACCAGTCGATCCAATTGGCGATATCCTTCAACGGGTTCTTGATGGTGACCGTGTGATTGGAGTCGGTAGAGGAAGACATAGTGAAAGGTGTTATGGGAGGACGGTTCCTAGGCGTATGTAGGAATCGAGACTCGCGGGACGCGTCAAGGGACGGAAGGGGATGTTGCTTTACGGAACAACGGTCCGTGTTGAGATCAATCGGAAAGTTGATATAGAGATCGAACTTCAACGCAAATTAAGTTCATAAGTATTGATAGTTTAGGCGTATCAATCAATCACGGAAGCAATAGGTTACCTGACAGAGGCAGTGAGATGCTTGTATTCAGTCAGAAGTAGTTTATCCGCGCCCCTGGTTCGTCAGCTGAAGCTTACCTCATCCACACTGTGGACGCTAGATCCTTAATCTAGCGCCTACACTCTAAACGATAATGTCGTCTAAACGATAACTTAATACATACTCCGCGCTATGAAGTTTATAGATGCCAAAATTCCATCACCAACACTACTATTCATCTCCAAATCGACATCGCCAGATAGGATCAAGCCTCATGCTTCCGATTAAGCGCGAAATCTCTACATGTATGCCCTTGAACGCCTTCCGGTGGTTGATTTGGCGTGTCTTCCAGCCCCTAACCCATTTGTCCAATTCGGCCTGTTTCTCGCGCGCCGTGCGCTCCTTTATCATAGATCTAGCTTGTTGTGAAGTAATATATCCCATTTCGGACGGGAGGACACGTTTGTTGCCTCGTTGTCGTGCTGCACGTGCTTGGGATTCCGCCATGTTGGCCTGTATCGTGTGTGACAATTGCTCGGCTTGGAGGGCGAATTGGAGGCTACCGTTGAGGCTGTTATCGAAGTTTTGCACAAGAAGTGGTGGTAAATTTAGTTTCTCAATGTTGGCTAAGCACCATCGTACATGGTTGCGTGGCGTGGCATAGTCTTTCGTTGGGGAAAGTCGCCGCTGAATATCGGTGTCTGTCGGTGGCGTTTGATCTCGAATTCTAGCACCATGATCGTATGCTGTAAACACGACATCGATTGCCATTTTATCCTCACGGAGTTGGCGTAAAATCCGCTCAGGATTGTGAGGAATAAGGCCTGTTTCTTTCCATCCCTTTATAGTTGTTCGCGTCTTGAAAGTGTTCGTACGGATCGACTCGAGTGCGGCCAGAAATTCCACTCGATTAAATTGCGTGCAGCCAGTGCGAGTGGCTGCATCGATGGCCTCTGCATGCCAGTGTTTATAAGGCTGAAATGGGCCGACATCAAGCGGCTGGAGGATGTGGCTTGTATGAGGAGGAAGACGAAATGGTATAACGTGGTGGGCTTCGAGTATCTCGAGGAACATACTGCTTTTTACTCGGGTAGAACGAAATAATCCATTGGTCTTTGCCTACACCGACGCGGAAGCCAGTCTCGTCGAAATTCCACATGTCCTCGGTCGCGATTCCGTATCGGATCTTAATATGGTATAGCTGCTCAAACCATCTCTCGAGAGCCTGGATATCATGAGCAGCTTTACGATTAAGATCAAGTACACGTGCTTTCCGTGCATAGACCTCTGGCTCTCGTTTGAACCATGCATATGCCCAGCGAGTGTCTATAGGATTTGGTATTTTCTGACACGGTCTGGATGCGCAAGGTCTGCGATTACCAAGTTCCATTAATCTAAACTGAAGAGAGAGAGAGAGAGAGAAGAAATCTCCCGGCACCTTTGTGCGCGAGATAGCAACTCTCCTCTCCAATGCCCTAATGCTGTGTTACCATGTTTGTTTGCTTCTCTGATATAATCCACCAGCCACGTCTTCAGCCACAACCAAGAGAACAGGCCGCAGGCCTGGGACCATAACATTTTCCTAGTATTTTGCAGGGAGGAGTCGGTAGTTATCGGTAATGGTTTCTAGTCACGTGTAATTGTAATTATGGGTCCTAATCACAGCCCTCTAAGTATGGACATACTAAATAATGCCAAGATGGTAAACTCCATAGGAATATCTCGTTATGAGCACATCACAGACTCGTAGAAGCGGCGATATGATAGAGCCAATAAGCTCATATACCGATGTCCGGCACTACAGAGCGGCGACAGCCTCCCTATCAAGATCCTCACCTATGATCGGTGACAGATTCCGAGACCTTGGGAACTTCCCTTGATCGCATTGCGACATTCACCGCCACAGCTGCCGAGTCCAATATCAACACACCTGGAGACTGCAGTCGATTGGGCACAACACGAGAGAATGCGGGGTCAGGCCCACCAGGGGATCCCGAACGATCTGTGCAGCTTCTGACTTCGCGCTACTTACGGCGCTATTTGGCCCGATCGTCAATAATGATCGGCGTTGATTGTAGAAGATTTCCCCACACGGCTTGGTTGGTGTAACTACTTATTCAGCCTCTCCGACTCGTTCCAAATTCCAATCGACATGTCATGCATTCTCAAGGAAAGGAGTCAGGTAATTTCCCCAAGTCAAGCCTTTATGAGTTATGGCCTATGGGGGTTGGGGGGTAATCATTTTGGCCCGAACCTCCAATCCGCAAATCGCAATCAATTGGGCGGAAAAAACCTTTCTAAGTTCTGGCCTTTCTAGGTGATCAAAAACTGCCGGCAGCTGATTGGCTCCCTCCGAAGGAATACCGCACTGCCTACGACTCAGTGCTGTTAGTGCTGCCGTCAATAACTCAATATTCATCCAGAGATCGGCTTCCTCAATCCCAACGGAAGTGCAGGTTCCTCCTTCAGAGCCCGTCCATGCCTGCCATTGGATTGTGGAGTGTAGACGCTGCTCGTACTGGTGTTTATACGAGCCTGCAACCAGGACATGGCTTTCAGTCGGCGTCCTCGAGCGCTATGACAGTAACTCAGCTGATGAGCGTTGTTAGCGAAACAGTCGAAGATCAGGGCAAGAGGCATCAAAACCACCCTCTTGAGAGATACTGTTTGGATTCCTTAAGGTAATTGAGAGTGTCAGAAGGCTTGCGATCGTCAGGCCTTCCGCGAGAGACTGAATCCCACACCGGCCTCATTCTCTCCTTTTGATACCTTGGAAAGTTCTTAAATCCTCCGTCTGCAACGCCTTGCCTATAGGGTCGAGATGAGCGTCTCTCAAACAGATTCAATTTGCTAAGGTGTGTCACCTCCCGCGTGTCCGTTGTACTTCTCTATGATCCTGTTCGTACCAAAGTGATAACTTGCTTACACTTCATTAGCGATTGACCAAACCTATTCACATTCGTTACACTGTCACCATGGGCGAATCATCTACCCTCGCTACGGAATTCGCTTCCATCTTCTTCGGCACTTTTATTGCACTGTTTTTCTTTACTACGACCAAAGCAATGCGACAGTCCTGGAGCATCTGGAAACGGACGCGAAGCCTTCTGAACTGGTACCTTTTCATGATATGGGTGGAGGTGATAGCGAATTTCATATTCGCTCTTGTCACGTACCTATTCTTACGTGGGACTATCCCGCCAAGGTGCGTTGCCCTGAATTCTGTGTTTTCAGCGCCGTTCCTGCGCTGGCTGATCGGAGTACTAACATCAGGTGCTCTAGTTTGGCATACTTCTTTGGTATTGGTAGGTCATGCACAATTTTGCAACGAAGGTATTTTTTTGGTTCTGACTAAAAGCAGTGCTTATATGGACCATCATAACCCAATTGTTGTTGCAAATCGTCGCCAACCGTGTCAGTTTGATCATGGTAAACAGGCGGAAATCCCGAATGATCAAATGGGGTCTTTTTATTTTCGTCGGCCTTGTCAACGTCTCCGTTTTCTGCCTATGGATTCCTGGAAACCTAAAAGTTAGTCCGACCTACATCCATCTAAACCATATTTGGGAACGGGTTGAAAAGTCTATCTTCCTCGTCATTGATCTCGGGCTCAATTTGTACTTCTTGTACCTGGTACGATCCAACCTCATTGCAAAAGGCTTGAAGAAGTACTGGCCCCTTTTCAAGTTCAACGCGGCGGTTGTCCTCGTTTCCACGTCCATGGACATTTTGCTTCTTGGTTTGCAGAGCCTGCCAAACAACTATGAGTATGTCTCAATTATTGATTCGCACCTGTCCGGAGTGGTTCTCTACAACTCCATGGGGCGCTCTATATATTTGTGCATATCAGGAACTAACATGAACTCAGCTATATCCAGTTTGCTCCAGTCGCTTACATGGCCAAACTCCACATCGAACTCACCATGTCAGAGCTGATTTCAAAAATCGTCCGAAATGCCCATCGCGTCGACATGTCAAATTCCGATACCGATCACGTATCCGGTACCCCGCTTGCTACCCGCACGAACGGCAGATCAGTCAGGCAGCAATCGCAATACTTTCCTGGCTCAGTTGGGATTGATACAAATATTACTTGTGGAAAGATGGAGGATGATATGCGCTCAGCAGAGTGTAAGCCATATCATGGTGATGGTATTATCAAGACCGTCATGATGTCGAGAGTGACGAATGGTAGGGATTGTGAGGATTCTAGCAGTGGAAAAACGACGGTATAGGAGTTTCATGTACCGCGAGAATTGGAGACCCCATATACATTCGATCACCCTACAGGGGATGTACCTACTTAGCATTCACTTATATGAAGTGTTGGTAATCACGTTCTTTTAATTGTAGTTACTTAATGAGTCAAGCTCTTCCAGCTTCGACTGTTATCTTACTAATTTAAGTCATCATCAGCTTCTTGATACCCCCAAGGCCGGAATACCATTGGCGCAGATAGCGTCAAAAGGCCTTCTCTAAGGCTGTTCAAGACAGCAGACTTGCCTCAATCGATCGATGAACTTATAGACTCACAATCCTCCACTTGGCAACAGAGTTGAGTGGTTTGGCGCGTCAAGTCCTGTTCCATATGATTATCGTATGTCGGCCAGTTCCTTCGAATGGAAGTCTGCAAAAGGAACTCAGATCTGAAGAGATGACGGAACGGACACGACTGGGTCCGCTCATCTGTCTTGGGTGACGTAAAGAACAGTTAGTTTGATCTCCAGCCATGTTCCATTCCAAGTTACTTGCTTTCGCTGACTTGATGGACATCCTAGGGAATCACTATGGGTGATAAGAGACGCTTATTTTTGTGGTCACCTCAACTATTCCATTCCTAAGTGCCGTCTCACCGATCCCTGCGAAATGTGTATGAAACTCCCTAAATTGCGCTTTTGAGATTCTATGTGAGGGACAGCCGGGTGATTTGTCAAACCTGTTGTGAACTTGGCTATTTTGAATTGGTTTGTCCAGTGCTCAGCGATCTCCCTTGGGGCTATATAATGTCCATTGACTTTACACACTACGGCAATCCATTACAAACCAGAGTGCCTGCTGACACTGCAGTTGGAGTTGATTGATAATACCGAATATTATCTTGGCAGCTGCGGCATTTGGGGCTAATGTCAGTTGGCTTTGTATGTCTATTAATAATAATAAGAATCAATTTAACGTACTATCTGGATCCCTTTCGGGTCTATGAGCACGGCATTCTATCTGGTCTGCCGAGGGCAAAAATTTCCCCGTAGCCCTGAGGCTGCGGATACATAAACCCCCCCTCCTCCCTTTAGTAGACTATCTCAAACGTTTATCATCTATCCGTACGAGTCGGTGTTTCCGCCTACGCGGAGAGCTTATTCTGGCACGTCGTGGAGGAGCTGGAACGGTTTCCAGTCCTCTATTACCTCCTCCTCAACTTCCTTGGCCACCCGGTATTGCTCTAGGCCTCCCGCATCGATCAGCCACCTTGCTGCGTGGCGCACCTTGTCCCTGTCATGCAATATCCTCTTAAAGTCCGTTGTTCCAGCTCGTTGGAGGAGCGCGATCCTCTGGTCGGTCCGCTGCGGGCAAAATGCAAGGAGATGGTAGAGAGACTGTCGGGGGGCACCGCACTCACACGCTGGGTGGATTCCAGGGACACCAATTTTTGCGAGCCATCCTTTAACTCAAACTACCTCAGTCCGTAGTGCCATGAGCGCCGAGGCCTCGTGTTTCTGAAGGCCGTCGTACCGGTTAAGGCACTGGGTTTCCCACGGGTCCTTCCATGTCCTTGCTCTCCTTCCTGGTCTGGCCGCTTCGACTTGCCATCTCTCCCTCCATTTCGCTCGATACTCGTCCTGGATCGTCCGGTGCGGGCCTTTTCGCTGTTGTGTCTGATATCCCCTAACTGGTTCGGGCCGGGGGAACAGAAGTCTGTCATACTGGGTCCGAAGTGTACACATCGCGGGTTCAGGTTTAGACCGGATACGGCGGGGTCGGCCTCGAGTTCGTCTCGGAGGAGCAGACGCAGCATCCCAGACTTGCGTCAGGGCTCCCTCAATCTGGGTAGTGACCTTGTGGGAGTTCGTCGATGCTGCTCTTTGGGCAGCCCGTTCTTGGACGTAGAGTTCGATTGGGGGAACGTCCGCCTCTCTCTCAAGCGCGGCGATTGGTGTCCGTTTGTAAGCCCCTAGGATCTTTCGTAGACACTTGTTCTGAACCTTGGCTAGGTCCTTCATTTTGCCTTCAGAGATTGGCTCACCCTGCTGACAGACTCCCCAAATAGGGGCGCCGTATGTCATAATGGGTCGTGCAACCGCTGTGTAGAGCAGCCTCGATTTCCGGACGGATGGCCCCCATACCGATGAAGTTACCCTCGCCAGGGAATCGAAGGCCTTAAGTCCCCTCTGTGTTGCCCGGAGGATATGGTCCTTCCATGAGAGGGCAGGACATTATGTTGTGTTTGTATACAATCGCAGGTTTCACCAGTCTGCCTATCCAGACTCCTGCCACAGTTTTCTGAGCTGTACCATCTGTACTTTACTCTTCTACAGTCGCCCCCGGACCAAAAGGGTCTCTGCCTGTGTAACGCCTGCTTGCTCCCTAAGCATACAACACCAGCGTTCCAGTCTAATTACGACTGGTCCTGTCTCTCTGTATGCCGACACGCGCATCCGTTCTCTCGAGCCACGTGGTAGTCTCTCCGGCCGGGGTCTGATCCCGTCTGCTTTCAGATTCACCAAGGGTCAGAGCCCATTGAAGGGATGAGGTCCTTGGAGCCAGCAGTGGCTACCACGCACTACGCCCCGCGACTACGGTAAACAGTAGCCGTTTCGCGTTGCCCATAGAGGTCTCCCTCTGATGGGCCGACCGTGTCTTGCAGGATAAGGCAGTACGCATTCGTTCCGCTCCGGGCAACGCAAGCAGCCTTATCCTACTAACCAAGCTCGTGTCTCCATCATCTTAAGTTGGCCCGTAATTCTCCCATTGTATAGATCCAAGCGACGGGTCTGTGTCCCCATCAAGCCTCCACCAGGAGCATACCTATGTTTCCCCTCTATCGACTGGCCTGTGACTCCAGTTCCGTAAGCTGTCGTGCTTGTTACGCCCGGTAAGCTCGTGTCGTTGTGATATTAACAGGTTCCGATAGAGGGGCCTTAACAAGCGCTCCCGTTGCGAAGAGGCCCTCCGGCCTTAACAGAGTTCGCCTAGATTTATACAAGTTAGCCTTAACAAGTTCTTTAGAATTAGGATTGTTCCAAACCCTCGCTACGCGTAACCCCAGAGTAGGCGAGCCTGAGGGTGTCCTGTTAGAGGCCTAGGACGCGTCCTCATCCACCTAATGATAAGTCAGGCTTCCGGATCCAGCTGCGAGCTAGATAGACCCCTATCGGATGGTTTTCGTATCCCTTTGTATCCCTCAAGAGGCCTCCCTTGATGAAAGGACACCATGTCTAAGCGGAGGCAGTAGACACAGTCGTGCTGGTGTTGGTGGTATGGCGATACCACGCTCAACACCTGCGACCTGCACGCGCGACGCGTGCGTCTCTCTCATCGCCACTGTACTTAGCCATCAATAGAGAACTCTTCTCCATCAATGTTTCCACCCGCGGCGACGTGGACGCGTACAGTTGGACTTCGGGGGCAGTTGAAGATAACTAAATACATGAGAAGAGACTAAGCAGTCCGAAATAGGCTTAGCCTAGGGGTAATGGGCAGTGAAAGGAATGTTAGGGCAGTAGAAACCAATAGGGGCATCTTGCGATAGGTGGTGATTGTTGAAGTTGCCATCGCTGGACCGGTGACTGATGAAGAAGACGCCAGTACCACTTCTTTGAAGATACCTTAAATAATGCGGAGTACTTCAAGGGAGACATCCATTTTCGTTGACAAAACCGCTTGCGGGGTGTGCTGAAAAATTCGCACAGGGTAGGTGCAAATCGACCCAGATCCCGACATGGCCAAGGACCGCATTCGGAATCAAATTGATGCCAAAAAGTGGTCTTAGAAAGGTGACTGAGCCATTTAAGGAAATAGATGCGTATGGGTTTTGAGACCACTTCTCTTCGGAAAGAGTTTGGTAGACATGAAGCGTACAGGTGGCAGAATGAGGCCCAAGGCGTGATCGCTTCCGCTCCAGGCTGTGGGCGAATAACAGCTTAGAGAGAAAATGGAAAAGGAGATGGAATAGATTGATGGAGATGATTGCGCGCGCAAAGATTTGGAAATACTCGATATGACCAAGAGAAGATTTATGGTCATCAAAGCGCTCCGAAACTGTGGCCAGTGTCATAGAAGTGCTCCAATACAAATACCTTCTCTTCCCACCCATAAACACCATAATATCCAGGGGATTGTCAACACGGGACTCATCCCCAGTCTAACGCACATTATTATGTACGCAATCAACATGAGCACAGGATATGTTCATGATACCCGCCTTCCGGTGCCATGGACGACCCAAAGCCTGTGGCGCAAGCGAGATATAGAGCGCCCGCACAAAAGAAAGAGAATAGTATTTTGTTAGAACGCAGCAGCAACGGCGCTGATTATGCAACTGGCGTGTAGAAGTGTCCATGTTATATTTTCTACCCGATGAGTAAATCAGGAGATCAGGAAGCAGGACAGAGCCGGCAGTTGGTGCTTGGCAGTCTCGTTTCTCTTCAGGGGTTTATTATGGTACGTACTGTGCGGAGTATGTAGAGCTCGCTTGCGGCCCGTTCCTTCCAACTTGTTTCGCTCTCCTAGGAAGTAGGATGCCCACATGCTAAACACTACTAATACGCAGTAATACATAACGGGCGAACGACGGACGGGCTGAACGCCGGAACCCAATTTGCAGGTTGCAACTTATCGAACTCCCTATTCAGCATCAGTATTTTGGCGTCTGCACATCACGGATGAGAAGGATTCAACCGGCTTGCTTGTTAATTTAGCACCGACTTCTGTGGCGTTATTAAACATAGCTTATTGCAGCTGAGATCAAGGATTCCGGAGACCAAAACTCTCGCCAAGAGAGGGGTAACTGCCATTGTGATACTATTATTGACTTCCAAGGCGTTGTGGCGCTGATATCGTGCATATTGGAGGGTCTCGTTGAGATAGGGAAATCTGATAAAGCTGGTGTAGGGACGGAGGTGGGGAACAAAAGTCGGCCAATCCTTCAGGTTTGCTCTTAACTTGACCTCAGAACACTTATCAATTCCAAAGATTGCGTTGGTCGATCATATTTGCAACCTGGCATCGAGCAACAGTCCAGTCCAGTCCAGATGAGTTTGAAAGCAAAACTACTACCCCATGGATGGCGGAAGCCCACCTCCAATCTCCAACATGAACCCTCCAATCCCCAACCTTCCGGTCTCCAACCCTCCAGTTCCCAGTCCCAACTAAACTTGGATCCCGAACATACGCGAGTGGATCCGGCCTTCGACGACGAGTGCGCTTGGCCGCGGCGACTTCTTCATATATCAACACTGACTTCATACCCCTGGCGACCAGGAAACATCTACGGGGGCAAGGAACAGCCACAGTACCATGCTATCACATATACTTGGGGAAGATGGCAACTCTCTCCTGATTCACATCCTTCCATCACAGCGTTGGACTTTGGCACTCCTTGGAAGATACCCCGGGTGGATCCAGCTCGCTTCACCAAGGAGCAGTTCGTCAACCTGATCCGGAGCCTGCCGAGCTCCCACAGAAAAGGCATGTCGGGCGCTTATTATGATGTGCCAGTGGAATTTGTGTGGCTTGACGTCGCATGTATCGACCAACGGAACGGATCGCGCGAGAAAGAATTGGAAGTTGGACGCCAGGCTGCAATTTTCAAAGGAGCGCACTCCGTTTATGCATGGCTGCATGAGTTTGAAAATGCTGAGGTTGAGAAGATCTTTGCACAATTCTGCAAAGGATACCGTTTTCTGTCAGCGAGCGAAGACTACGTGAAAGGTCTCTCTTCTGGACTGCAGAAATCTGGGAAAGCAGCTGTGTTGGAAGAACTAGACGCCCCGGATTGGGGCTTCGACTTACGAAAAGCTCGCGCGATGGCAGACTGGAGGGGGTTGAGCTTCGAACCAGACGTTCCAGCAGCAATACTGCCAGAAACCATTGCTCACGACCCACAACTAGCTACGATGAATGAGATGGTCAAAAACTTGACAAAGCAGAGTGGGATGTTCACTCGTTCTGGAAAGCCGCCGAAGAAGGTGCAGGAACCGAAACCGACAGTAGACGACTTAGTGGATCTGTTAGACCTTGCCCGAGACTTGAAACAGTGCATCTGCACGATGATTGAATCCATGGAGAGCTTTGCAAAGGAGCCTTGGTTCTCATCGCTGTGGACTCTTCAGGAAGCATACTTACGGAGCGATGCGCACTTAAGGGACCGTGATGGACAACCATGGATTAAGAGAATCAGTAAATGGTCCGACTTCACCGTGCTCTCCGATTTCACGGACTTTATTGACGAGGTCGGGCAAACCCTCGATGCGTCCTTTTTCCGAGACGTACGACCAGCACAAGCCCTTCGGACATGTCTCGAGAATTCAGGATGCATGGAACTCCGCGCTCGACTTCCAACAATCCTTCTCCGAGCGTCACAGAAGCGTACGGTGAAGACAAAGCGCGCGAATGATCGCGTCTACGGTATCATGCAAGTCTTCAATCTCAAGCTGGGGAGATCAGCCCCAGACTGTCCTCCGGACCGCGAGTTTGATCTCAATGATTTGCAGGACCAACTTGGAGCTGCACTCATAGCAAAATCTCCAATCATGAGCCAAATGTTCTTCCATACGAAGCCGGTACCACCTGGGAAAGGATGGAGGATAGGCCCTCATGTGGGTATTCCGAAATTAGCATCCAGGATGGACGCATTCTTGACAGACGAGGCAGACATTGGTGCTAGAATCGACTCGAGAACAGAAGTGTCCGTGACGACAGTCGGCGGTACTATCGTCGGCGACACTGTCGTCGGCCGCACTGTCGTCGGATACTTCTCAGGTCCTACCTGCAATATGACGGCTCTCCATCAGACCTTGATCGGATTTGGGCCAAAGATCGATGCCTCATTTGAATTTGATGAGCTCAGTCCGTTCGATATGTCGCAAGACGGTTCTAAAATCGAGGCTTTGCTTCTTGGTATCTGCAGTCAAGGAAGCAGGCCTACAACAGCAGTGTGCTTGCTGCTCTCTCCTTCAGCAGATGCTACGCCAGTCACCGAATGGAAGCGTCAGGGACTCATGTTCTGGGACTTGGAGGACCCGGTCATACGCAATCTCGACCAGGGACAGAGGGAAATGATGCAAGGAGTGGGACGGCAATGGCAACACCGAATAGGGACTTTCGGTTAATATATGAAACATCCCTAACTTAACTAACTAGTTAGTTGTATATAAATTGTGTGCTGTAGTCATTCCTTGCTGTTCGAAAACCTTCACCCACGAAAATTACGTTGGAGTGCCGCGTTCTCGCCTGATTTCCGGAGATTTTCTCTTCATAGCTTAACTGAATTCCGCCACTATACCACCACCATCGAGCTCTTGTTGCTTTTATAACTCACTAAAGGCCCTTATCTAGGCCTTAGAGTCCTATAACGATGCTAGAAATCTTTTCAACGGTGTAATCGCTATAGCGTGCAAGTTTGCGCAGTTCGCCACGCAGGTAGACACTTCCCATCGAGACGATAACAATCCAGGCAAGCATAAAAGGATTATGCATCTATCATATACATAGATAACTGTCGCAGGCCAAGGCATCAGCTCTAGGAGTCCGAGGGTACAAACTGCGATAGGAACGCTGTAGCTAATTACTTGGCCTTTCTTAGAAGGCCTCTTAGCCGCCCTACGAGAAGTCTTCTTTTCGATGTGCCGCTCGACTTTAGTTCCTGATCTGTTGATGGCTGACCTGACAAAAGATACACTCCTGTTTCAGGCCTCTTCGGCAGATCTTTGTAGAAAGCAGCAAGTACCCTCTCTGATAGTAGTCGATCGGGATGGTCTTCTGCGAGCACTTCCGCTTGTATCGCGACAACACGCTCCAGCAGCTTGACCGCCTCCTTGACCTGTCCGTTTGCTTG